AGCTGTTACCTGCAGCCCAGTCTAAAATGCTACTGCCAGACACATTTTACTACCTCAGCAAGCGCTGGCCTTCAGCTTCAAGGAGCCTCTCGGATGCTTCTGAGCAATGGAACAGTAAGTCCCATTAGAAGCTGAATTGGTCAAATTTCTGGATTAACAAGGGGAAAAAACTTGCTAAGCAGTCTTAAGGGGAGATAAGAAAGAAGAGAATTAAATTATATATATTTTAAAACGCTTTGTAACGTAAGCATATAACTAAGTATAGTGAATCTTTTAAAGTTTGTTCAACAACAGATTTCTAGATGACATTTCACTTTATGATTGAATTTTGAAACTGTTTATAGATGCATGTTTCTGTAGATATAAAGCATATATCATATGTGTCAACCTTCCCTTTTTTGGCGGGAAATTCACTTATTCCAGTGCCGTTTCCCACTGCTTCCCACAGCTATCCCGGATTGTTAGATACCCTGTAGACTGTCCCCGGGAGACGTGAGGCTGCTGATCCCTTATTTTTAGCTGCTGATCCTTTATTTTCAAACCTGAGAGTTGACAGCTATGGCATATATGAATCTTTTACTTCTCAGTATTTCTTGGCTCCCTCGGCCAGTAAAGCGAGATGGGTGCCGCAACCCCAGAGTAGTTCACGACTGGACTGGACCCCGGTCAGGGCCGGGGTCCTTTTTACCTTTTTATTTCTGCATTAAGGTATTTTATGACCTCTAGTGGTGGCATGTGGGAAATGCTAAATAGTTTGATTAATACGTATGTCAGTAGTGATACTGACAAGCGTCTTTTATTTTTCTTTCAAAAATTTATGCAATAACATGACTGCCAGAGTGAGAGTGGGCATTTCTGGTTCTTCTTCTTCTTTCTTTTTAAAATAAATGTTATTAATTTAGATTTTCAAGATAGCCTACAAAAGAGAACCAAGAAACAAATATAAAACAGATTAAAAACATCAGAAACAAAAGCAATTATTGTAGCAACAGTAAAAATACAAAAAGCAGTACATATAAAATCAGTTAAATTAATTATTTAGATTTAAGGGTGGAGCTGCATGTTTAAAGGAGGGGTGATCTAGCAGAGACATCAATGGTGAAGGCCTAAGAGCCAATCCTGAGTTCCAATTCTGCCACGCCATCAACGTTACTTTTTAAAAATGGGTTGCCCACCTTTTCTTGTTCCGTGTGAGGCAGCTTCAGGAAGAGCAGAGCATGAGCTGATGGTCTTGTGTGGGCACTTTCTACCTGTACCCATTTCTGGTTCCTTGACAGACACAATTCCAATTAATTGGGGGCGGATGAAACACTGGTGTCCCCTGGCTGCATTACTCTTGAACATCTATTCTGTAGTTTATATTTTTTTTCTGCCCTCAGCTGGTCATCTTCTTTCTTAGAAGACTCTTGTGGAAAGAACAAAGTCTACTGTTTGTAGAACCATAGGCATTATACTAAAAAATGTCATTATTATAATAATGAGAACTACAATGAGAATTATAGGAATTTTGGGAGCTTTGTTGATTGAATAAAAGATGAATTGGTGCATTATGGTTCCATGAAGTTGCCTTGTCCCAAGTGAGATCATTGGTCCACCCAAGTCAGCTCTGTCTGCACTGACAGGTGGTGGTGATGCAGAATCCCAGGCAAATGTCTTTTCCAGCCAGAGAATGAACCTGGGCTAGTCTTACTCCAGAGCAGGTGTTCTGCCATTGAGCTTTGACTCTTCCCCCTTGCCTTAAGGCAATGAAGTGGTATAATGGTTTTATTTATTTATTGTACTTCTGGGTCACCCCATAATAGAGGTTTTTGGGGTGACATGCAGTTCAAAGAAATAAAAAGTTATAAAACATAATCAAACAAATCAGTCAAGTATAACAATTCCAGAACAGTGCCAAAATCAATAAAAACCATGGACAAAACACAAGAATCATAACCACAGCAACTGAGATAATTAATATAAGTACTGTACAGTCATACCTCGGGATAAATACACTTCAGGATAAGTATTTTCAGATTGCACTCCGTGGCGACTCAGAAGTAACGGAGCGCGTTACTTCCGGGTTTCACTGCTCGCGCATGCACAGACGGTCAAAATGATGTCACGTGCATGCACAGAAGCGGCGAATTGCGACACGCCCGCACGCGCAGACAAACAGTCACGTCTTATGTTCTATTCAGGATGCGAACGGGGCTCTGGAACGGATCCCGTTCGCATTCCAAGGTGCCACTGTACCACTGTTTAAAAAGTATCATAAAAAACTGGTAGGATGCCTGGTGCTTAGAAGATAAGCCTCTCTAGGGAGCGTATTCCATAGCTGCTGTGGGGCAGGGGCTGCTGAAATGGCTTTCTACCTTGGGTCCACCCAGGGGTGGAGGAAGGGGGTTGCGGTGGGGGTGGGCTGCCCTGGGTGTCACCACTGAGGGGGGGGTGATAAAATGCCGGGCAGCACTCACCGTGGGGCCTGCAGTGCTCCCAAGCCACACGACTCTCCTGGGAGTGACGCGGTGGCTTAGGCACCCGCAGGCTCTGCGCTGCCCAAACGGTCTGCCCACTGCCTCAACCTCAGCCTTAGCTGTAGGAAGGCTGAGTGGGAGACGGCAGGCAGACTCCGGAGGAGGCCCTGTGGAACATCCTGCTCCGGTTCGCCCCACCCCCACAGGCAGCTGACTCCACCCCTGGGTGCAGGGCATGCACACCGCCCCAGGCACCTGAGGCTGGGTCCACCCTCCACTTCAGAATAAGGGGGCTCTTAGGCAGTGGGACCACCACTTCATGTTATCTTTCAGGGCAGGAATGATGACATCAGCTGCTGGAACACCAGGGTAATTGGCAAGCTTTCTATGCATTGGCAAGTGAATGAGGTGATATTAAGGCCTTCAAGTTTGGTTTTTGACAGATTAGCATAGAATAAATCAGAAAATAATAACAAAGCAGAGGTTGAATACTCCCTTCCTTTCTCTGAGGAGGTTCCTACTGTTACCGGAAAAATCCGAGGGCTCCCTTGGACAAAACAAAGACACCAACCAGGATAACTTGGAGCAAAACAGCAGCCTGTAGGCTTGGCCTTTATTGAACTGATGCATCAGGGTGTTCCCCTCACTTGCAGGAGAGAGGAAAGACCCAGAAAAATAGTGTGCCAGGTCTTATAAAAACTTTTGAAATTCCCCTCCTCTAGGTCAAGCCCACCCCCAGAAACATCATGCATACATTACAGAAAGGAGGGGTTGAGGGAGGAGTTGGTGGTAACCTGAGTGTCTTGTCACCTGGCTGGTTCCTCCTTTCCCCCCTCCCAATGAGTCACTTCCAGGAGACAAAGGGGAGTTTGCAGTTTCCTGCCCCCTGAGGGAAGATCTGATTATTGTCCTTTGTTTCAGTCCATGCTGAATCCACTCCCATATGCAAGTTCTTTGTGATCTTGATTGTCTTCTGTCTGGGATCATCTGGGCAGGGCTCCTGCAGATGTGCTGAGACAGTGAAGGGATTATGGCTGACCAGGGCCAAGCCACCCCCCTTGGTTAGTTCTTGTCATATGGAGTAAAATAAAAATGGAACAGTGCAAATCCGATGTATGGTTGATTTTCTATGAATTTATAACAGAAATGTGGCGTATGTAGTGTGTGAGTGTGTGAAGTTTGTACAAGCAGAATGACTGGGGTGGGGGGGGGGTTCCTGCTACACTACTTTATACTAGCTTTAAATAGTGGTACTTCTTTGGGAAGAATATTTGCATTTCTAAATAACAGCTTAACATTTCACCTGGCTGAAGATCTGTTAAGTTAAACTAGTGACTTGCAAGTTGAAATGATGCAGTCAGAAGTAAGCACAGCTGGATTCAGTGGAGCTTGATCCCAGGAAGCAATGCATATGATTGCACTCATGCCCATCCAAGTAAATTAGGCATTAACACTGTGTACTACCACTCTTTGGTGTGTATGGGCATAATAATGTATTAGTAAAGCTGCCTGGGGGGACGCAGGTGGCGCTGTGGGTAAAACCTCAGTGCCTAGGACTTGCTGATCGTATGGTCGGCGGTTCGAATCCCCACGGTGGGGTGAGCTCCTGTCGTTCAGTCCCAGCTCCTGCCCACCTAGCAGTTCGAAAGCACTCTTAAGTGCAAGCAGATAAATAGGTACCACTTTATAGCGGGAAGGTAAACAGCGTTTCCGTGTGCTGCGCTGGTGCTGGCTCGCCAGAGCAGCTTCGTCACGCTGGCCACGTGACCCGGAAGTGTCTTCGGACAGCGCTGGCTCACGGCCTATAGAGCGAGATGAGCACGCAACCCCAGAGTCAGACACGACTGGCCCATACGGGCAGGGGTACCTTTACCTTTACCTTTAAAGCTGCCTGAAGTTTGGTTTCTCATTGGGGAGGGATCTTCATTGAATCTGCAGGGATTTTCATTTCCATCTGCAGCACTCTATGCCATATTCCATACTGTTGGAGAGGGTCTGCTAATCCTCTTGGACAGATATTTTGGAGGAGGGGTCTGCAGCAGGAGGGGGGTACTGGCAAAAACCACCTCCCTTTCTCTTATGTCAGGAGTCATGTCTGTGAGTGGAGCAGCAGCACTCTTAGGAGCCTTCTGTGTAATTGGAGCTTTCTCTAAATGGGCCTTTCCTAAGGAATCTTCTTCCTCAAGATGTACAGCAAGCAGGGCATAGGAATGTTTAGAGCTTGTTTCTCCAGGCTTTTGGGTGTCAATCAGGAAATTTTATTGGTACTGTGTTCTTTAATCAAGATTTATGGTGACATATATGCATATTAATTTTATTATTTTGTTTAATATTGTCTATATGGGTGTTTTATGAACTGCTTTTAGGGCTCACTTAATTTATTTACAAATATCATGCTTACACAGACCATTGTGTGCATAACTTGATTTTGATACATCAAAAGAATTTGTTGATTCTTCTCTTCTGATGCTGTGAAGCTGGTGCTCTCTGTGCTTTGGTGTGTTTAATTTGAAAGATATGCTTTCTTCATGTGCTTTCTTGCAGGTACAGGAGAAAGCGGAAAGAGTACATTTATTAAGCAGATGAGGATTATTCACGGATCAGGCTATACGGAAGAAGACCGGAAAGGCTTCACAAAATTGATTTATCAAAACATATTTTCCGCTATGCAAACTATGATCAGAGCTATGGATACTTTACAAATTCCATACTCATCTGAGCATAATAAGGTACAAAACTCTTCTTTATTGGTGTCAATAACACAGAAAATGCAGCAGTTGAAATTCCCAAAATAACAGTTCATTGAATGTACTTTCCCACCTCTTATGCTCTTAGTTTTAAACCTTGGCCAGAGAATCTAGCATATGGCACCTCTTCTCTCCCCAGTCTTTTCCATAGTCTTTGTGCCCGCTAACACAATGCAAATATACACGTGACTTCAGGAAAGAAGTGTGTCTTTGGCACATGACAAAAAAGCAACACAATTAAGTTGCCACATGTCCGGGTTTTCCTGGACATGTCCTCTTTTGGGGGGTCAATATGGCCATCAGGGCGGAATAATTTTACCTTTTTCAGGAAATGTCCAGTGTTTTTTAGGGGGTGGCTTGTTGAGGGGTGAAATGCGGCACTTCCTGTGCCCTGGAAGCAGAAGCATTGTGTGGAGTGGTTGCTTTGGCTGCAGGAGAGCGTGCAGAGCAGCCATCGGGAGGAGGAAAGCCATTGGAGGAGAGCCATCAGGCATTAGGATGGCAGTGGCTGACGCGTATAGAGCTTCTCCCAGCCCAGGCCACCAACGTAGGAAGCTGGGTACACAGTGCCAGAGCCTAGAAGGGCAGGGCAGGCAGAAGGGTGTGTGTGTGCCACTTGGCTGCCCCAGTGGTGCTGCCCACCGCTGGTGCCCACCCCGCATCCTCCGGGGTGTGGATGGCTCTTCCAGTGGTGGCTGCCCATTGACATGTGGGGAGCACCCAGACTCGTGTGGGTGGCAAGCACCGCCCGGTGTTGACTCGGCTGGTGGGTGGGAGTGCTGAGACATCGCCACTGCCAGCCTGAGCTGGGGAAAGAGGCGCGCAGCACTGGCAGCAATACTGGTGGAGGCGACAGAGTGCAGAGGAGACTGAACATGGCAGTGCCCACTATTACTCTTTTTCTTTCTCTATTATTTTTATTTCACTATTACTCTCCTTCTTTCTTTCTTTCTCTCCCCCCCACCTCAACTCGCCTACAAATGTGTCATCTTTTTTGCTTTTTGAAATATGGCAACCCTATGTCACATCCACCTCTTTGAAGATGGAATTCCACAGACTAGGGGTGGCCAGAGAGAATGCCCTTTCCCAGGCCACCACTCCAAGCTTTCAAGGGTGATAGAACTATCAAGAGTCGCCTCTCTGCCAATCTTATCACATGAGAGAGTTTGAAATCATGAAACAAATTGTCTGGCATCTGTAAGGTGTCATTGAATGATAGTGTGGGTTCTGCATTGTGACTAAGAAGCTTGAACTAGCTTGTGAAGTCCAAGGATGCTGAGAACAGAGTAACTCTTTTTTTGTTTTTTGTTTTGTTCTTATGGCTCTCATAATTTCATATTTTTACTTGTAGCATATTTGTTGTTGTTGTTTAGTCGTTTAGTCGTATCCGACTCTTCGTGACCCCATGGACCAGAGCACGCCAGGCACTCCTGTCTTCCACCGCCTCCCGCAGTTTGGTCAGGCTCATGTTGGTAGCTTCAAGAACACTATCCAACCATCTCATCCTCTGTCGTCCCCTTCTCCTTGTGCCCTCCATCTTTCCTAGCATCAGGGTCTTTTCCAGGGAGTCTTCTCTTCTCATGAGGTGGCCAAAGTATTGGAGCCTCAACTTCACGATCTGTCCTTCCAGTGAGCACTCAGGTCTGATTTCCTTAAGAATGGATGCATTTGATCTTCTTGCAGTCCATGGGACTCTCAAGAGTCTCCTCCAGCACCATAATTCAAAAGCATCAATTCTTCGGCGATCAGCCTTCTTTATGGTCCAGCTCTCACTGGAGCATATTTAGGGATATGTAATTCATTTATTACAGTTTAGTGGGATTTACTCCCAGGTAAGTGACTACACAATTGCAACCTAATCTGCATTAGGTTGACAGTAAGGGTTGTTTGACAGTGGAACAACCCTCTGGGGTTTGTGGTCTCTCCTTCCTTGAAGGTTTTTAAGCAGAGGTTGGATGGCCGTCTGTCATGAATGCTTTAGCTGAGATTCCTGCATTTCAGGGGGTTGGGCTAGATGAACTCTACAATTCTGTGTTGTTGAGACATAGAAATTTACCAGAATACATCTGATAATACAAAGCACAGGGAAAATGTTGATAAATCTGAACAAATAATAGTAAGTGAATGAAAATTGTTGTGGTGGCAGTAATGCTCCCTGTGAGACACATTCCAGAATTTCACAACCCTTTCCAGATGGTGGATAATTTCACAATAAATATTAAAACATCCAGAAAAACATTTCAGTTAAAGTGGGCTCAAATTGCAACAAATGAAATGACACCAGTTATTTATTCAACAGCATACCGTATTTTTCGCTCTATAAGACGCACCTGACAACAAGACGCACCTAGTTTTTGGAGGAGGAAAACAAGAAAAAAAAATATTCTGAATCTCAGAAGCCAGAACAGCAAGAGGGATCGCTGCACAGTGAAAGCAACAATCCCTCTTGCTGTTCTGGCTTCTGGGATAGCTGTGCAGCCTGCATTCGCTCCATAAGACGCACACACATTTCCCCTTACGGTTTAGGAGAGAAAAAGTGAGTCTTATAGAGCAAAAAATACGGTAATTGCATGTCCCTCCCCACACAATTCCAAATTCTGCATCTTTGTACTGAAACATAATACTTGTGCCAAAAGTATGTATGGCAAATACATATCTGTGATTACAAAAAAAATTCCTTCCAGTAGCACCTTAAAGACCAACTAAGTTAGTTCTTGGTATGAGCTTTCGTGTGCATGCACACTTCTTCAGATACACTGAAACAGAAGTTGCCAGATCCTTCTATATAGTGAGAAGGTGGGGAGGGGTATTACTCAGAAGGGTGGTGGGAATGGGTGATTGGCAGATAGCTGGGATGAGCCTGTTGACGACTCTTAACGACTGCAGTAGGTCTTACAGGAAAAAGCAAGGGGTGAGAAGGTGAAAAATGGCTTTGTCATGTATAATGAGATAAGAATCCAATGTCTTAAAACAGCATTGGACAAACAGGCCAAAATATTGGACAAACAGGCCAAACCTTACGCCAAAGAATAAACGGACATAAATCTGACATCAAGAATCACAAGACAGAGAAACCAGTAGGAGAACACTTCAATCTCCCAGGACATTCTATACAAGATCTCAAAGTAGCTGTTTTACTACAAAGGAATTTCAGAAATAGACTGGAAAGAGAAGCTGCTGAATTGCAACTCATTACGAAACTTAAAACCATGGAGAGACCTGGTCTGAACAAAGACATTGGATTCTTATCTCATTATACATGACAAAGCCATTTTTCACCTTCTCACCCCTTGCTTTTTCCTGTAAGACCTACTGCAGTCGTTAAGAGTCGTCAACAGGCTCATCCCAGCTATCTGCCAATCACCCATTCCCACCACCCTTCTGAGTAATACCCCTCCCCACCTTCTCACTATATAGAAGGATCTGGCAACTTCTGTTTCAGTGTATCTGAAGAAGTGTGCATGCACACGAAAGCTCATACCAAGAACTAACTTAGTTGGTCTTTAAGGTGCTACTGGAAGGAATTTTTTTTGTTTTGACTATGGCAGACCAACACGGCTACCTATCTATATCTGTGATTGTTACTTACAAAGTGGTATGGTTGGAACGTAAAGTTAAGATGGATTCTCAAGTTAAGCTGATTTAGATATAGGTATGCAAATCAACAGACTAGGATTTAAGGCAGAGGTGAGAATTTTGGGGAGAATTTCCTGCCTTCCCTCCAATCCATGCCATGATTGTCTCCCTTCCCTCCTGTTTTTGAGCAAATGGTGGTTTGCATTTGCCCTACAAATTAGAATTATATGCCAGAATTTATGAGGTCTTTCTTGAGACTTTTTTGCATGCAAACGTGAAGTGCTACCTGTGTTTATCCGCTAAGAGGCATCACACCTTGTGCCTGTTGAAAATGCAATGTGGCTCTCAAGCAGAGGGTGAATGCAATTAAATCACATTAAAGGCCCATCTAGGAATATGAATTCTGTCCTGTGTGCTTGGTTGTTGTTTTTATAAAAAGAAGTCAGTGAGTGCTGTACGATAGTCAGGCACTGGAACTAAGGAGTTGGTTAAGGAAATAAATAATAATTTGCCATTGGGTGGTTTCACTTTGAAAACCACTCAAATATACCAGTAATTGTCAAACTAGAACAAGTAAAGGGGCTTTGGATATTTTTATTTTTACAAATCCCACCATAAATAGCTTCCAAACATACTGGTGTGGTTCACATTGAATTCAATCAATTGTATGCAGGGCCAGATTTAGGTTTGATGAGGCCCTAAGCTACTGAAGGTAATGGGGCCCTTTATATGTCCAGCTGCCATTTGTCAACAACAAATTGTTGCTGTTTTTTGTGTTGAATATATGCTATATGGTAATTTATGGACCCAATTGGTATCTAAAGCCATTTGCACATAACAAAATAGTATTTTATCAAAGTAATTTTTGAACTTATCTTATATTTTGGAAATGTACATCCAGGTTTTTTCGCCCTTTAAATATTTTGGGGGCTCCCAAGAGAGTGGAGTCCTAAGCTATACCTTATTTAGCTTATACGTGAATCTGGCACTGATTGTATGGCTAAATAATAAAAGTGGAGTGACTTCTTCCAATGTTCACTTGATACAAACTAAAAACAAATTAAACAACTGACTTTGGAAAAAGGGACTGCTAAGACTTCTTTGATAATGAATAAATACTAGGTGCATCTGGTTTTAGATTGTTTTCTTTGAGAAACTAGAATCTTAAGTGGAGAATGTTCTGCCAGAACGTTTCAAGACATTTAGGCCAGTGCCCTAGTGTATCCCTATTCATTAGAATGGAAGACTGGGTTACTTAGGGACTTAAACATGTACAAAAGGAAGGAGCCCTGCATGTTCTTTTTTAAGGAAAAGAGTAAAGTGGAGACATGTTCACATTTGTTTAAGTTTTTGTACAAAAAAAATATATGAATTAAATAATACTTTTATCACAGCAGACAAAATTCATGCTTGCATGTACAAAGCAGAAATTTTGGGAAAACAGTGAAAAAGCAGGCAAGATCTTGGCCAGTCGTTTAAAATGAAGGACAGGGCAATGGGTCCCAGTATTAAATAATTTTACGAAGGTTTTCTTGGCTTACAAAAGTACATGCATTGTCTCTTTTTCATGTTGTGGAGTCTTTTCTACAGATCAGTTACATTTGATATGAGACATTAGTGTTGTATACAGTATAAGATTGGGGAAGAAGAGAAGGGGGTGGGGGTGGGATGGTGAAACTTACATTCTTTTCTATAGCGTACATGTGGGGTTTTGTGTCAGCATCAACTGGGTAGGTTCTCTTTCTATTCGCTTATTATATTTCCTTAGTGCTGAGAGGGATTGGGGGGCCCAGGATGTGGTTGGTTGTCTGTGTTTGGCTGCAGTGAGGTTTGTTCGCATTTGTGAAGGGGGTGATTGTTGGGTCAAGTTAGCCATATTGATTTGTATGCTGTCAGTGGATTCTTCTTGTTGTCTTGTTGGGCTGTGTATGTGATAAAGGGGAGCCATACTGGGACGAAGGTGTCCTCTTCTATTTGTCACTGTGTTCGTTTCAGTCTGTTGGTTAGCTTTTCCAGTAAGGTTGTTTCCCATATGATATGGTACCACTGGTCCACTCCTGACACGTCTCTGCAGTGTCTGGCTATGATGCTTCTGGCTGCTGCAAGTAGGTGGGTTATAAGCTCTTTATAATGTGAGTGGGCATTATCATCTTGGAAAATGTTCAAAAGCAGCAGTTCTGGGTGAGTTCTAATACCTGTTTGGTTATTTTGCATATTTCTTGTATGATTGATGTCCAGAAGAGTTGGATTTTGGGGCACTCCCATCACAGCCTCTCCAGGATTTTGATGAGTCAGGAAATATATGGAATATGATGGCTAGTAAAAATAAACGTGATCAATTTTCTCACAATAAATTGACCCTATGGGGAAATCCAACTTTAAAAATTGGGTGGGAAATGGTAGTATGGAAAAATTGGATGGATGCAGGTATGTTATCTATAGATAAATTAATAGATGAGAACAATGATTTTTTTTTACATATGCTACCTTAAAATTAAAGTATCGCTTAGAGGGAATGACACAGTGGCAGTTTTTACAATTACAGCATTTGCTAACATCTACATTTGGGCCTGAAGCTTTTAAAGCATCCAAGACAACGAAGATACCTGAACGCTTGACTGAATCCTTTGAGGCTTTTACTTTATATAGATATCTAGTATCTATTAATCAATTTGACATACAGACTTTTAGAAGTGAATAGAATAAATAATTAATAAGCCCCATCTTAGTTAATCAATGGGATCATGTTTTAGCCTCAGTTTCTAATGTGTCAATAGACCAGGCATAGGCAAACTCGGCCCTCCAGATGTTTTGAGACTACAACTCCCATCATCCCTAGCTAACAGGACCAGTGGTCAGGGATGATGGAAATTGTAGTCTCAAAACATCTGGAGGGCCAAGTCTCCCTATGCCTGCATTAGGTTATAATCTCCAACTTTTTGTTGTTGACTTTCTGTATGGTCTCAAAATACACTGAAACCCTAAAGCTTTTGCATAGAAAGGCAGGCCGGTGTAATGAGAGCCACAGTTGTAGAGCTGTTAAAATATAAATTGCATGCTCCCAGTGTAGTTGGAACCTTTGCAACTTTTGTGTGAGCACAGCTCTCTACTTGCAGGCTGGCTGGCAATTGGAGGAAACTCCCTTGTTTAGATCAGCACTCGGAGAAAGGAGAGGGAGCTTGCAAAGGATGGTTAGACAGGGGCTTCTCTTTCTCTAAATACTAAAATAAAATATTGATTCAAACTTTAGAAAAGTCAGCACGTCTATTAAGAATTAGTACATCTCTCACAATATTTTTATTCAAGAATAACAAAAGCAACAGTAAAGGGATGTGAGATATAAGTCAATAATATTATCCCAATATTATAGATGCATGGTTGAGGTATAGAGGCATTGATGGTGATATAAATATGTTATCCTTATATAGTACATTTTTTAGCATTCAAGCCAATTCACATGTATAGTAATGCTTGCAGCAGCCCTTCAAAAAAACCTACTACTATTCTCATATTGCAGGACAGGGGGATCTTGAGGCAGGGCCGAAAATAGGCTTTCTGTCACCCAGGTCAAAGACCCAGTTTGGCACACACCCCAGATGCATGTTTGTGTACACACACACACACCCCACACTCCTCAACACATTTATTTGTAAAGGGCATAAAAAGTAGGAAATATATTATTTGAATATAAAGGAATCCTAAGAAGTATTATGATTGTATGACCAAAGGGGAAACGAGCATCCCTTCCAATAAAAGCAAATTGTTTATCAAAAGTAGAACTTCCATGTTCAGCGATTGACCTGAGGTCAGGTTTTGAATTGGATTTATTTGGTCACAGGATCATTAAAAGACCCTCTTTGAGGATTTTTGACACATCACCCCCTTCTTGGTTCTGTGCAAACCCTTTCAAGGAGTTCTGACGTGGAAATTTGCTCCTAAGCTTCGACATGATTCCTTCCAATTTTATTTTTGTTTGATTACTCATTTCAATGATAATTTTCTAGTCATTTTAGCTCCCAAGCAGGGGAGCCCAAACTTTTTTCAAAGAGGGCCAGATTTGATGAAGTGAACTTTAACCCCAAAGTTGTTGAGCTTTTTTTTCCATTTTACCCCAGGACATATACTGCCACGGGGGCCAGATTAAATCTGTGCAGGCGTGATTTTCGGTGTCTGGGCATGCGCAGGAACGATTTCCAGCATCGCGCTGCGCCAGTCCGGCCCATGGACGATCTCCATGGGAGTGATCTGGCCCATGGCCGGTGAACCTTGCTGACCCCTGCAGGCTGGAAGCTTCACCCAGGGCTCTTTTAAGGCAACCCAATGAGTTTTTTTGTTCTGCAGTGGGTAAAAGCCTCAGTGCCTAGGACTTGCCGATCAAAAGGTCGGCGGTTCGAATCCCCGCGGCGGGGTGCGCTCCCGTCGCTCGGTCCCAGCGCCTGCCAACCTAGCAGTTCGAAAGCACCCCCGGGTGCAAGTAGATAAATAGGGACCGCTTACTAGCAGGAAGGTAAATGGCGTTCTGTGTGCTGCGCTGGCTCACCAGATGCAGCTTGTCACGCTGGCCACGTGACCCGGAAGTGTCTGCAGACAGCGCTGGCTCCCGGCCTATAGAGTGAGATGAGCGCACAACCCTAGAGTCTGTCAAGACTGGCCCGTACGGGCAGGGGTACCTTTACCTTTACCTTTATCCAGAGCTATATGTTGCTAAAATGGTTAGTGCAACATGTGGAGAGAGAATAGCAACAATGACATTCAGTTCCCTACAAGATAATGGTGCAGATGGAAGTTGTTAGAGGATGGAAATGCAATATAAAGGAGAGCAAGATCTTTGTTCTAAACCTTGCACATGGCAGGAGCAGGGTAGGGGTGAAGGAAGGCCATGATTTAATGAAGCCTGGAATGATGTCCAAACCAGACCATTATTTCTGAAAAGAAGCATCAATCTTTCACTAGGGATTCTGTGTGTGCTGTTCTTGGCTTGTGGTAGCAGAAATAAAGCAAATATTTGGAAAAGCAAACATCTAATGTGCTGTTCAAGATTCAGAATGTTTGGAAACTGATAGTCAACTATGTTTGTGCACAGAATATTGCTACTAAAGAGAAGGCACATTGTCAATGATTCAGCATGAAATACTTTCTAGCATTTGGCTTGGGAGGAAGCCTCTATGGTATTTTTCTGCAATAAAAAAAACTAAATGGCATCCTGGTGGGGTGCCATCGTGGCTGCTGCCCACGCCCTTGGGACGTGCGCCAGCCACGCCCCTGCCTGAGCTTGAAGCTCCACCACTGACCATGTGAAAGACCTCTCAGTTGGAAACATAATCCAGCAAGACTCATCTTTCTTTTTATGTTAGGATTGAAGTAGCTGATAGTTTCCTGGTATGTTACAGCAGAGCCGTAGCTATGGAGGGGCAGGGCTAGTTGGGTTTTTTGCCCCAGGTGCCATTGAGGCTCCAAGTGTGTGTGTGTGTGTGTGTGTGTGTGTGTGTGTGTGTACACAAATGCGCATGGGGGTGCCAAACTGGGTTTTTGATCCAGGTGAAATAAAGCCTACTTTCATCCCTGTGTCACAGTGGCCAAAATTAAATACAAAAAAGCATTGTCCAGACCATTGTCCCACTGCAGAATTATTTACTTGTCATTACTGTCCATTTTCTAAGCTTGCACAGTTATAGAGTACGTACATACTGATATATCTATGTACAAGAACCAGTGTATTTTTCCCCTGCTGCAAGGTGAGCTCATCTTCCCCTGACCAAAAGTGAGCGCAGTTCCCCAGCACACCTTCCCATCAAGCTATGTATGTAACCTAATTCAGAAGTGTTTAAAAATAAATAAATAAAACATCCAAATAATGAGGTAGGAGCAGAAATGTTATTTATGCATCACAGAAACAACAGAAGAGTTCATTGTTTCCCATTGATTCAGTCATATACAGTGTGCAGGGTATTTTTGTTTCACTCACCCTCACAACAACCCCCCTTCCCCAAGTGGTTCTAGGTCAAAGTTAGTGCATGAAGGATGAACCGGACATTTGGGACTGTTGGTTGTGCTTTGAATGCCCAGCAGTGTCTAATTTTGCAGTTCCATGTTGACTAAATTGATTATAAATCCCTAACTACCTCCCTCCCGCCCTCCTGCAGGAGGCTGGCCAGATGATTGAAGAGCTGAATGTAGACTCAGTAACAACACTGGAGAGAGAACTTGTGGAAGCCGTTAAGAGGCTGTGGGAGGATCCAGGAATCCAAGCATGCTATGATAGGCGAAGAGAATACCAGTTGTCGGACTCGGCTAAATAGTATGTATCTTACAGTAATAGATCTCTGGTCTGAAATGTTTAGGTTTGGTAAATATTAGGATTTAACTAGAATTTATATGCAGTGCTATTTTTCAAGAAAAAGAGGTGCCAGAACTCACCATGAGCACCTCCCTTGTTTTCTTATAATGGCAACGGTGCCCTCCTGAGTTCCAGCTGGAAAAAAGCCCTACTTGTATGTATGCTGGGATATAAGACAGTCTCAACGGATATTAGAAAGGGGGTTATGCAAAGGGGTTGAGGTGTTTAAGTAGTGTTTGTGTAAAGACTTGTGTCATACTTTGAAAATGTAATCAAGATCCATGTGTATTGGAATGTGTGGACCCACTTCTGAGCATCAGCAGTTAGCATTTGAAGAGCTAACTAACCTAGGTAAATGTCCTAAGTGTGTACCAGTCTTTAATCCTAGTCAGTCAACAAGTGGGAACTCAGGGGAACTCCTTTGTTAGGTGACACCTGGGGGGGCTAATCATTAGTACTCCAAAGCACCAAAAGAACTGACCATTAGGATGCAACTGAATAAGGAACAGCAGAATTAGTAGGAGAGATGCCTTGGAGTGGAGGGCTACACTCCAAGCCCCTCTTGAGATGACCAGGCTGTAAGAGCTGGAATCCCTCCATGCAGAGTGAAGGTGTAAATATGTGAATAAATCATCTTTCTTTGTGTCTTCAGTTCTCCAAAGGAGCACAGACCCAGGGTGAGTGTCTGCAGGCCCCTGCAATCTTGCTACCATTCAGCACTTTTGCCAGATTGTATTATTATGATGGGTTGTACTGCCAACTCTTCCCCTGCCCCAATTTGTAACTCAGATTTTGGCATGAAATCACATCTGTCTCTTCATGTAGATGAATTAACAAAGAACAGTTTTGTTTTAATATTACTAGTTTTCTTTTCTATGGGTAAGGAAATGATGAGCAGCTATTCTTCTTCCCATACATACATACATACAATCTATTTCTCTTATTATATTAGTAGAAAATTGAGTGGGGTTGTTTGTTTGTTTTGTTTTGTTTTTTTTTGCTAAATACAATAGTTTGGTTTTGCTCGAGGTAAGAAGAGTTTATAGTTTCTTAGTGAAGCATGATCCAGATAGCAAATGAATTGTGAGTAGTAGGGCGGTTCATAAAAAACCTTTTTTTTTAAAAAAAAAATGCCTGCTCCACTGAATTGAAATTTCAGCCATAGGAAAATGGCAACGTAAACAGCTATTTTCATGGAGGAGGGTCAAGATATTAACTGATATGCATGAAATTTTAGAGATAGCTATATAATCCCTAGTGTAGTAAGATAAGACCTTTGGAGCAGGCATTTTTTTAAAAAAGTTTTTTATGAACCTCCCTAGGGAGCAAGGGCTGAGCTTGGCAAACAAGACATCTTTGGCTCAGCTGAAGGGGTTAGGCTTGAATAGTCAAGGGTCTGGCAATTGGGGGCTGTGCAGGATAGTGGAGGTCTTAGGATTTAATATGTTAAATAATACTACTTTCTTACAGTGACTAGTCTGGCATTTGTGGTTTCATTGTTCCAAAATTAAACTCGGTTCAACACATTTCTGCAATACTTTGCTTTATATAATTTGCTAGCATTTTAGTGGCTTTAGTTTCTCTGATCAGGTTCATTATACAATCTTTTACAGCACAATAGTGCTGCAAAGAATTTTATCAGAGAGAGGGCTCTATGGGCTTTCTGTTTGATCTGTGCTGTACCCCAGCTCAAGAAATTGCTTATTGAACCAGACTACTAAAAAGTCCACCACGTCCTCCTGTTCTGAGCCCCCTTTAATCCCCCAAGTATCAGGTTCAGTCTGTGTGAATTATTTTCCAGCTGCTCCAACCTTACATCAAGCATAAGAATTGCACTCTCCATTTTTTCCAAGACCTTAATGCTGATATCCTATGCTTCCATTATAGGCATCCCATCCATTTGCACAGCAACCTCATGTACCTTTTCCTCTGGTGGTTTAATTATTTCAGTTAGATCCCCTTGCGTTATTTGCAATGTGATCTCAGAGAGCAACTCTTCTTCATCTTTGGATAGTTTTGGAGTTTAGGGCCAGTGTGGTGTAGTGGTTAAGAGCGGCAGCCTCGTAATCTGGTGAACCAGGTTCGATTCCCCGCTCCTCCACCTGCAGCTGCTGGGTGACCTTGGGCCAGTCACACTTCTCTGAAGTCTCTCAGCCCCACTCACCTCACAGAGTGTTTGTTGTGGGGGAGGAAGGGAAAGGAGATTGTTAGCCGCTTTGAGACTCCTTAAAAGGGAGTGAAAGGAGGGATATCAAATCCAAACTCCTCCTCTTCTTCTTCTTCTTCTAGGGCACCCTCATCAGTTCCATCAAACAGATTATCAGGCCCGGTTATTTTCCTAGTCTCAGAATAGTTTCTAAGCGTCTTAGTTTAAAGCAAATGTTAATTCCCTTGCATTAAGTCTGAAATTGTTGAGTCTTTTATTCTTTTATGCTTTTTTTTTTTAATAAAAAAAGAATTCTAGTAACTAAAGAGAGGAGCTTGGAGACTAAGTTACAATCTTGGTTTGCACTGTCACTCCTCCCCCCCCCCCCGCTGGGTTAGGATTTTAGTTTTTATACAATGAAATAGCAATTATGTTGGTCTTTACTTAAATGTTTAAACTTACTACTTTGTAAATGAGGACAATGTGTGGAAAATGTGAATATAAATTGACAAGCTTCTTTTTGATACAGTCAGCTCAAAATTAAATAGCGTAACTGAAAATAGGCCACTATTGTTATTCATACATGGCGGACTGGGGGTGGGGTGGGGTGGGGGGAGCGCTGTGGCTGAAAGTGTCTTGTGTAATGGTAGTTGTGCATTAACAGTAGCACTGAGTTTTGAATCTAGAATGTCCGTGTTCTTTAATCTTTTACCTTGTGTGGTCTATTAGCTCTCATTTATTGGTGAATTAATCTTCTACTTAAATAAATATTTGATTTCAACATGTGTTAATTTGTTTATGACAACATGTAACACTTTGCTAAATAAGTGTGTCTGTATTGGACTTGGAAGTTACCTTTCAGACTTTGACCGTATTGCTGCACCATCATTTGTGCCAAACGAGCAAGATATTCTCAGAGTGAGAGTGCCAACCACTGGAATTATTGAATATCCTTTTGAGTTGCAAAATGTTACTTTTAGGTAAGTTTGGTTATGCAAATTACTAATCGAGGTAAAGCAGTATTGAGTAGCCAGATACAGCAGCACCAAATGTGAACCAAATGGGGAAAGTTTATCCTGGAGAAGGCTTGGTTACATCAGACGTAATTAGATTTTAATCTAAACCTTAAGAGTTCGGCGGCTATAAAAAGCCCTTTTGAATGTGGGCTTTTGTGAGCCTCTAAACATGGTTTCTGAGTTTGGTCCTGGAGCAACTTTATCAGCATCTCAGGTTACTGTACATAGTTTGTTCAGCTATCAGGTCTTCTTCACAGCAAAGTTGAGTTGGGTTTATTTTGTTTGGTTGGTGCCCTGGAAGCTTATTGCACACAGTTACTCCTATTTCTATTTACAGAATGGTAGATGTTGGTGGACAGAGATCAGAAAGAAGGAAATGGATACACTGCTTTGAAAGTGTTACCTCAATAATATTCTTGGTTGCTCTTAGTGAATATGATCAAGTCTTGGCAGAATCCAGCAATGAGGTAAAAGAACAGAGTGCTCTAGATTATTTCAATTAGTGCATTTTACTGTGGCAGATTATTTTCTCAATGCGTCTCTCCATAGAATGGTCATCCTCTCCTGTTCGATGAACAATACCAATTTTTGTACGTGTATCCTGACGAAATTCTGGAACAGACACACTCTTAGTTTTTCATTCTTGCACATATAGCATCCATTGCATTGTATTTCATATTATTTTATTGCGTTTATATCTTGCCTATCCTCCAAGGAGCTCAAAGTGGTGAACATGGTTATCTTTCACCCCATTTACACTTTGTTTGCCGCACTGGAAGAATAGCTAGTGTTATAATTAATTATACTTGGAACACCTCTGGGTAGAAAATAAGGATAGATGGGAAGAGGTTTTGGGTATGAAATAATTATACTGTAATCTGAGCACAGAAATGGGGTGCGCAGGCAGAGTCCCACTCACACAATAGACTTGCCCTGCTTTTCCTTCCCCCATTCACCCCCAAAATGTGCTCTTGAGGGTCCCCCAAACCCCTGGGGCATTGTGAAAGCAGCGGTATGAAGGTGGAGTTCTATTACACAAGCAGAAATCAGTGTTGGATACAGCCCAGCACCCACTAATTTCTTTAAGACTACTTTGCTAACATTTCATACTTTTCTTGCAGAATCGGTTGGAAGAAAGCAAGGCTCTATTTCAAACAATAATCACATACCCTTGGTTTCTGAACTCCTCAGTCATCTTGTTCTTAAATAAAAAAGACCTTTTAGAAGAGAAGATTATGCATTCCCATTTAAGCACCTATTTTCCAGAGTTCACAGGTAAACCAGTTGTGGTTTACATCTGATAAGCAATTATTGTAGCTGCTTTGTCAGTTCACTAATGACCAGCACTTTAATGTGAAGTGTTAGCTACCCCAGTTGTCTGTATAACAGACAACATTTACCGTATTTTTTGCTCTATAAGACGCACTTTTTCCCCTCCAAAAATTAAGGGGAAATGTGTGTGCGTCTTATGGAGCAAATGCAGGCTCCATGGCTTCAGCGATAGCAACGCGAAGCCTCCAAAGCGCAGCGGGAGCGCTCCTGCCACGCTCTGGAGGCTTCGCGTTGCTTTCACTGAAGCCTGGAGAGTGAGAGGGGTCAGTGCGCACCAATCCCTCTTGCTCTCCTGGCTTCACTTCACTGGAGAGGCGCTGGGCAGCTTTCCCTCTCTGCGCAGCGCCCCTTCAGCGAAGCAGGAGGAGAAATGGAAGGGGCTCCGTTTCTCTTGCCGCTTTGAAGGGGCGCTACGCAGAGAGGGAGAGAATTTTTTTTTCTTGTTCTCCCCCTCTAAAACTAGGTGTGTCCTATGGTCGAGTGCATCCTATAGAGCGAAAAATACGGTACCTATTTTTGCAAGCAAATGATTAAAATTATATGCACATCCATATTCCCAATGTGGGAAGTTAGCATTTGTTACTACACACAAGTCCTACTGTCCAAACGCTTGTTACATACCCAAACATAAGGAATGAGTACCCAAACCTCGCTACACACGCATCACAGATTCTGATATCAAGACAGCCAGACATAATTGTAGTCCTGTAAACAAATGAGCAGCCTTAAACAAGACTTACTTTTTGTGTTTTGCTAGTTCATGGCAACCAAAAACCATGGTGGGTGGGGGAAAGATCAGACAAATAAGACAGCATCCTTTTCCTTCCCTCCTTGCCTTTTGCAAGGTTTCAGTGGATTTTCCTGGTTTTTTTTCAAAATTTTGGGGTAAACATTCTGTGGTTGGGAACATGGTAGAAATTTTCCCCTAGGAATAATTGGAAATCGTTGACTCATTATGCAAACGCTCACCTAACAAATGATTTCCTGAGAATACATTGTGTTTGGATAGCAGGACCTGTGTGTATTAGTATATTTGAAAATAGTTAATTGGAATTAATTAACTCTGCATACACTAGTGAAAATAGAAATTTATTTGAAGATTGCAAGGAGTCTCTCTCTCTCTGTTTAATGGTGTCATTTTTTGCTTTTGAGCAGGACCAAAGCAAGATGTTAAAGCTGCCAGAGAGTTCATTCTCAAGTTATACCAGGATCAGAATACAGATAAAGAGAAAGTGATTTATTCCCATTTTACATGTGCTACAGACACAGAAAACATTAGATTTGTCTTTGCTGCTGTCAGAGACACAATACTACAGCTGAATCTAAAGGAGTTCAATCTGGCATAAACCACAGGGACTCAGCATTGTATTTAAACTCCATGTATGTATTTGCAGCAATTGTTTGTGTTCCTGTTGACCATAAAATATTTACTTAACAAAAATGGAAATTTAGACATGATACTTACAGATTTTTAATGTATACACTTTCAAAATGTTTTTTTCCCCAGTTTTTGATTTGAGGTGCATAATTTTAGTTTTGAGGTGATTAAAGAAAAAATATCTGCCGTTTATTTATAGATGCTCCCTGCACCCGCTAATTTAATTCATTTGATAATCTTTTAGCCAGAGATGTCTTAGTTACAGAAGATTGGATACTATATTGTCATTTGACTAAGGTACATTACTATGCTGAATGAAAAATAGCCTATATTTATATAATTCTTTAGGTTTTTAAAGCCTCTTTGAAGGACATGGCATACATCTTATTTTCCTTGAAACACGGCAGCTTGTTGTGCAATTTTTGATTCATAAGTAAAATGCTAGCTGCCAATATGTTTAATATTTGTTGTTTTCTATATACTTTGGGGCAAAGTTATTTAAAAAATAAATAAAAACAAGCTCCCTTCCGCCCTTTGCTGGAGCCTATAAAAAGTAACTGCTTCTGTGACTGGAGAAGGGAAGGGGGTGCACTTGTCTCAACTCCAAAATGTATCAAGGCACCCCTGAATGGCATCTATCATTCAACAGTTCCATTGGGGGAACCATACCTTTTGGTGGCCATTTTTGGCAAAGGCAGTAGTGAGTGTTCATTTCCCATTTTATTTGCTTTTCCTTTGTTTTATATTTAATAAATAAATATAGTTAAGACCTCCCACTTGTTTGCCATCATTTACACTATTGCTATGTCACCCCTTCATATGAAGTAATGCAGCATAAACTGTTTGAAGAAAGATAACATGTTGAATACCATGTTTGACACAGTGGTAATTCAATTAGCATCTCTTCACTGTGTGAACATTCCTAAAATTTAAAAATGACGTGAACCAACTCAGTATTTGGGACAGCACATGTATGTGTTTTTCTCTACAGGTCTAGCAGACACAGGGATAGAAATCTAATAAGCACAAACAAAAATAATGTGTAAGCAGCCTAGGAGGCATCGCACTCTTTATTGTACACATTTAGAAGGCGTGATCTGTATGGTTGGTCTGCAGCTTAAGGCCACAACTCAAAGTGTCAATGCTCAAGTATGATATGAGTGTCAGTTAAACCAATGAATCTGGAAAGAGTTTGTTCATGTTCTTGAGACACAACACAAGTTATATTTTGGCATATCCAGTAACCATTAATTCAATATACATTTTGTATAGCAAGAAATAAAATGTTATGGGGAAGACTGCAATGTATTCCTTTAAGCACCTCAGGTGGTTACATAATGGAGCAAGCAAGACTTTTATATAAATACATACAATTACATTTGGCATGCCATTTACTTTATTTAGCTTTTACAACAAAGCTACAGTTTGAGGAGTTTAAGTACCACCAGCAAATTCAGGAGGGCCAATCTCTTTCACCTCAATCCTCCAAACAAGAGTTTGGAAAGAATATTCTGGAGCAGACATTTACTACATGCATCAAACAAGTCAAATCTGGATTAGGCAATACACTTACATACATTTGCATTCTTTTCCCTTTTATGATGTGATTTCTTCATCTACATGTGCATTTATAGGCATTATTGTATAGCCTAGCAAAATCAAATTAAAAGAAATGTGTATGCAACCCTCCACATACTGAAATCTTGTTGTTTTCATGCAGAACTAAAAAGATGTTATGAATTGTTCTGGGTTTAAATGCTGAAATGGGTTGTATTCCCACGTCATACTCTGAGCAGACCCACTGAAATTAAGAGACTTGCCTAATTTACGTCCATGAAATTCAGTGGGTCTATTCTAAGAAAAACAGTTGGATGCAAACCAAAGTTAATGAATGTTCTCAATTTTTTAAAATTAATGACAATGCATTCAGCATGAGCATGAAATTTAGATTCCCCTCACTCAAAACAGTTTTTCATTCAAGAGTGTTCCTTAGGTTTATATACCATTTCAAAACATGATCTTTAGAAGGTTTCGATGACTTTGCTGAAAATTTTATGTACTGAAAGTAAAGATCATGCCATTCAAAGCACTGCTGCAAAGACACATCCCTGCCTAGGTTATCATTTCAATAATTCATGTTTATCTGTGTACATCTACCCATCATCATCATGAGGTACCAGAACACCTTGCTAATTTTTTGCATCATATAAAAAGTGAGTGTTAAAAATAATATTACAGTACCACAAACTGTTTATTTGTATTAAAAAAACTAAATAACCTCATGATATATATATTGGTAAATAAAAAGGCTTCTTGAATAAACAGATCAGCAAGATCATTCATAATATAAGAGCATTGCTGGTTAAATCAGTCTTTCCCTGAAGAATTTCAGTGAATTACATTATATTAACATGTAATGTGGCAATTATAGCATATTAATTAAAATCCCGATGACAGGAGAAATAAAGCTTAGATGGTGGGGGAACCCTGATTATCACATAAAATCACAAGATTAATCTAGACTTAGTCTTTTTAAATCATGTGACAGAATATGCATGAAAACATCATTTTTACTCCTGATATAAGTAACTCTGTATTATTTATAAATAAAAAGCTCAGTAAGCCACAATTTGGCAGAGGTTCTCAGCTCTAGAACAGTTTAAATGACACTGACCATGGCAGATTTTTTTCTACTCTGGCTATGTAGAAGACATCAACAATCCCCTTCATAGTCTTAGCAATGTCACATGCTAAGCTTCAATCAAAATGTTGAATTTGGCACTCTCTGTTTTGTCCATCTTGGAATCTTGCACAAATGGTCACAATTTTGGATGGTTCTCCCTCACTTCTTCCAGTTTTGAGAGAACCCACTATGAAAATTTGAGAGAAAATTTAGACAATGAAAGTAAGTCAACATATTCATCTAAATATTAATAGCATAGAACATTAGTATATAACTATATAGTCAGTCCACATGTTGGCAAATCCCATTTTCTGGGGCTGCTGCCAGACTCCCAGCTGGGCTATACATGCATCAATGTGACATCTGAGAACCACTGTCACACATGCATGGTGCCACCCTCACAATCAACATTTTGGTTATCTGAATCTAGGACTATGGTTGTATATACTATTTTCAAGTAAACATATTTAGATCAGTAGTATTCGATACTCACCTTAGCATCATCTGGCGTTTTAAAATTAATAATTTTTCCAAATTCTTTGGCATGGAATACAGACTTTACTCGTTCCTACAAAATAAATAAGTTTCCTATTAATTTGGCTTTCTAAGGTAAAATGAAATGTAATGCTTCTGTTATTTTACTTTCCCAGCATACAGCTCACAGCTTTATAGTGGACTGCACACTGATTCCACCGTGAGCATGAGGCAGCTCCCAATCAGGTTTGCGGACTTGCCAAACTCGAACAGTCAATGGAGTCACAAGTAGTAAGGAAATAACAGGTGCCCACTTTCCTCTTAAACATTTAACTTAACTATTTTTTGTAAAGGGCTTACGAATTAGCACGTTGCAGTCCATATTAGGGAGTGGCTCCAATGACTCCTTGAGGCCTTAGAGCTCTACATTTTGAGTCGCTATCAATTGTACTATCTCCTACTGGCGCCATGGGGGACACTGGCTTGGGATTTCAAACAGCTTACCCAATTAGGGCAGGTCCAACTGAAACATGAGCTAACGTTAGAGGCCCTGCTATAAGAGCTTGTGGCCAAAGGAAGCCTCGGCCAAGGAATACAGATCAATCTTATAGTGCCTTGTGCTGGGGGATGCCCAGGTGGCTGCCCTGCCTATGTCCCCAATAGGGGCATTAGTGGAGAAGGCTGCAGATGCAGCTGTGGCCTGAGTTGAGTGGACTGTAAGGGACTCATAGGCTATCAAGATGCAAATGCATATCCTCCAAGATAGCATAGAGCAATAATCATTGTAGCTGGCAGCAGTAGGGAGAAAGGAGACAAATGGTGTGTGTGTGTACATTTAAACTCCTTTGTCTGGATGATGTATACCTTAAGGGCATGCTGCACACCGATTGAGTGTAAGGCTTTCTCTAATGGATGGGATTGGGGCAGAAGGTAGGGAGCACCAATTCTGCTGCATGTGAAAATGGGAGGCTACCCAGGCCAGAATATCCAAGCCCAGCAGATCACAGAAGTAAACTTCCGTATCATTACAAAGCGGCTTCAAATGATTCACATACACCATTATTTCATCTTTCAATTCATCACTAACTGCTAAAGAGGAAAACTCTGAATTCTTGACATCCAATATTGGTGGCAAACTGCTTGACTTTTCCAAGAAACCCTGTAATAATCTCCTTGCTTGGGAAGCACGGTCACTTCTCTGTTTTCCATTTTCCTCACTTCTCTGTTTTCTTTCCTGTTTTCTTTCCTTGGTCACTTCTGTTTTCGCCACTTCTCATTTCCTTCTGTGCCCCCTAGTCTTGTGCTGTGCCCCCCCATTTATGTGATTTTCACCTGTGCCCCCCCGGAATATCCTGGGGGCCATATGCCCCCCGGTTGAGAAACACTGCTTTAGAGAACACAAGGGCTGAAAAAGAGAGTGCCTTCCAGAAGAGTCTTGTTCTCTGTGCAGGAAAACATTAACACACACTCTCTCACTCACTCTCTCTCTCTGTGTGTGTGTGTGTGTGTGTGTGTGTGTGTGTGTGTGTGTGAAGAAAGGAAGAAACAAGGGGGGCGGAGATTTGAAGCCCCCTTTATCTGACCATGAAACTTTGAATCAAAAAACAACACTAGTGAAGTAAGTTTTCATAGGTGGTATTACTAGCTTGGTAAATTTGACTTGTTATATAACAACAATATAATAAACTAGCAAGTTAAGGAAAACAACATGCAATTTAAGTTGCTGAATTCTACTGGAGACAAATGACTTATTTTTAAAATATACTCTGAAGCTAATCTAATACATTCTACAACAAGCTGAAGTCTCTCACGGTACCTTTGCTTCAATGCGCAACCTCCGTCCATCAACAATGAATGGCTCCTTGGTAAATTCATCATAGGTGTACTGCCATTCACATGTCAACTGTCCAAATGTACCTCTTGTCACAAATAATATGCCACTAAAGAAGAATACAAAATAAACCATTAAAATAAAGCAAGCAGACATACAACAATTACTTTTTAAATAAAAAATTAAAAGTTGCCTTGTTATCACCCAGTTTGATGGTTTATTAATTCCACAATGAAATACACACATATGGATTTGCACAATGATGCCAGTGGAACCTAATCATATATGTGTGTATATTAATTCAGTCAAAGAAGACAACTACATTCTACTTTAAAGATGCAGAAATCAATATATAATAAAGAACAGCTGGCATATAGAATGATAACCAGGCAGCAGCAATAGTTGAACTGAACACATACTTTTGTTCAGTCATGTTCTAATAATTAAGATCAAATACATTCTACAAAAAAACAAGTGTTCCTGCATCTTCACTGAATTGAATTTGTTAGTTCCTTGAAAAAGCTTGTAGGGTTACATGTTTCAATAATATTTCAGTTAGAAAATAAAGCAAGTTTTGTCAACCAAAACTCTGGTCAGGATCCAGAGAGGTGCTTTATGCATGGTTAATAACATCATCCGTCTAATGGTAGCGGGATATTTATGCCATATTGTGAAGTGCATCTGAAATTTCCTTCGGTTTCAGAAGCATGATGGGATGGGGATAATGTTTGAGAAACATTAAGGTGTAAATTCCCTTGTAAGAATTGAAGCGGTACTTCTGGTTGCGAACGGGATCCGTTCCGGAGGCCTGTTTGCAATATGAGCAGAACACAACCCGTGTTTGCGCGGGTCGCAATTCGCCACTTCTGCACATGCGCATGACATCATTTTGCATGTCTGCACATGCGCGAGTGGCGAAACCAGGAAGTAACCCTTTCCGGTACTTCCGAGTTGCCACAGGACGCAACCTGAAAACGCTCAACCTGAAGCATGAGGTATGACTGTTGTTATGTGGAGTGGTATCCAATTGTGCCTATCCTTCCAAATTTGCTCTGGAAATCTGAGAAACCCTAGAGAATATTTGAAGTGGTGTGGGAAACTGCAGTGGGAAAGGCAGTAAAAGGAAATGAGCTTGCACAATATTGGATAGTAACAGTGGCTTGGTGGGGGGAAACTTAGCTGTATACCTTCAAAGTGACATACTATTTCCTATGCAGGGGTGCCAACTTGAATAAAATATGGGGGCGGGCAGGTAGGCCCCACCCTGCATAATCGATCACACGATGCGGTGCACACACACTATTTGAGTGGCAATGCCCATCAATCTGGGGGGTGGGGGCAGACCTCTCAAATATTTTAGGGGGGCGCAAAGCCCCCACAGCCCCTAGGAATTGGCTCCTATGTAAGAATAAAACTAATTCACTACCGCTAAATATATATTCCACTGATTTCAAGGTGCCTCTTCTAATAATCAAACAGAGTTCCTGTTGCTTTCCTATTCTGTTTCATAGGGCCACTGAGATGTGAGTACAGGGAGTACTGATGTACTGAGCCCACATCATGCAGGGGGCCCAGACTCTGAGCTTCCATTCATTATTTTTTTAAGTCTCTAGCCCTCCTGGAAAGTAAGTCATGAAACAAAATGTGCAGGTACTCTTCTAAGTGATTTCTCTGAGATGAGCCAACCTGACTGCTCCCACCTTTTAGTGCCGCCAATGAGAGAAGTCAGGGCTGAGATAGACGAGTGAGTTGTTTGGAAACCAGGTGATTGCAGTCCCTGGAATCCAAAGGAGCTGCTGTTTCTCCCTCCCCTTCTGTCTCATTTTCCAGCCCTTTGTATCTAAATAGTTTGTTCTTTTTTCATCTAAGATCATATACTTAAATGTTGTTTTCTGCAAATACTACTACACAGTAAGTGTTAAAGAATCCACCTCCTCCCTGAAAATGGCAAATATAAAATGTGAAAACTTTGCAAAGAGGTTTAGGCATGTTTTCTGCCAAGTCATTCTTGTGCCTTTGAGGCAGGCAGAAATTCAACATGTTAAGTATTTTCTAGTATGAAGATACAATTATATATATGTTTCTCGATGCTCCTTGCAAAAAAGGACACAAATTTGCATATGATACAAAGCATAGCTAAATTTTATGCAAATTGGTTTCCTTTACAAGTAGCTCAGATATCCCACTTCCCATGCTGTGCACTAAGCACAGAAAATCCTGTTGGCGCCCTTGCTCTTCAGTCAAGAGAGGCAGAGACATTGCAAATTTCTTTATACTCATGGAACTGTCTCTTCTACTAAATTGAACAAGGAAGCTTTCGTTGATGTAGTTTCAATATATATGGACACCTGCACCCACAAGGAACTACTTAATTGAAGCACATCAGTTACAAAAGTAGATGGTAGAATCATTCGTAAGAGAGAGAGAATGAATGAATGAATGAATGAGGGCTTATCCCAGGAATATTGTTATTCCAACTACCATTTATCAGTTCCTGATTTTCACATACACGCTAACATTCTTAACACAATCTCCAGTCTTAACTACTGTGAAAATTCTAATCAAGTGCTTTGAGGTAACATAAAAACATTCTAAATCTTGGTCTTCTGTTGTAAAATATAGCCTTCAGTATCTATACCTTTAAGGACGATTGGAGTTTCTTTCATTTAAATGATAAGGGAGAATCTAAACACACTATTTATCGGAATATTATTATTGAGGGAGCAAAAAAACAAGTGTAACAATGCATGCAGCTTATAAAGTTAACTGGATAAATGGGGAACCTTACCTCTTTGTTACCATTAGTAAATCTGTACTATTAACCATTGCATGTGTAAAGTATCTCAGTTTGGCAAATCTTCCATTTTCAATATTCTAAAAGAGAAAGACAGTTGTATAGAATTCCCTATAGAAAGTTCTTTCTGAGAAAAATATTAATGTCTAACATTATTATTAATTTCAGCTTATTATAAAACATGTATACATCACATATACTGAGGACGTTTAATATCTGCCATGATTAAGACGAACTTTCACACCTAGTAGTACTGTAATAGAGAGTTGACACAATTGTAAACATCCTTCCACATAATGCTTCATCATCCTGGAATGTGAAAAACCTTTTATCTAAAATTATGAGTACATAATATTGGGCTATTCAGATGTTTGTAACCTTGAAAGTACTATGCATTTTCAGATTACAGAATGCTGTAATACTCAAAAGAGAAGACCATTCAAATTCAACCTGAATTGTTACACAAACCATTTCTTATTGTATTTCCCCATAAATGGAATACAACTATGCAAATAATCATGGTTTCAGACACAAGCGTCCAATCATATATGATGGTTTTAAAGGAGTGAACTGTGCTTGAGCAAGAAATCCAGACTGGTGGATCTTCCTTAAGCCATAGCTGATTTCTTTTTAAACATGAAGTGAATAAAAATAAGCTGATGACCTCTGACTCATAATACCATCCCATGCTGAAATGTTCCTCAGCTGTTTATACAGTATTTTCAAAAAGTCTCAAGCACAAATGTTACATCATGTTATCAGTCCCCTCACACCAATGAGAGAACAAAAAGTCCCAAATTCATACACTCCCTAAAGTCAAACAGCATAAAAATTGCATAAAAATTCAATCATACATATATACATAAAATGGGTGGTTTGTTTTTACAGAACAGGCCTGATATATTTAAATATGTTTTCTTGAACTAAAACCAAAAGTTTAATTTAGATTTTAAATTAGAATGAAAAGGAAATAATAAGGAACAACATTTTAAATCCTTTAAATACAGCATAGAAACAATTTTGGTGGTGCATTTAAGAAAGTGAGTAGATTGTAAGATAATTATACTTTATAAAATGCTAATTTTTCACTGCAAGTTCATTAGAAGAAATTCTACAAAACATACAAAACACTGCAATCCATAATATATTCCAAACTAGCCACTGATATAGAACCATTTATTATATAGTAGACAAGGTGAATCTGAGGATTCCAATACACTAGTAGGTTTGCTAGATTATTTTTTAATCCAAGTGACCAAATTATTTCACAAATTAAATCTCAGCAATCCTCACAAAACATTATCCACACATTGCCTATGGAGGGGGGAGACAGAGATGGCAGCACTGAGATTTATACTTCCTACCTCCCAGATCACACTCTGAACATGGCTCTAGCTCTCTTTAACTACAGCCACTAGAAATACTTCATTCAGGTTATATGTGAACAGACATTTCAGACTTACAAATTTATGTGTAGTGACAGAACAAAGGAAGCAAAATAGCAAATATTTCAGCTGCTTAGGGAAGTTCAGTGCATCTCTTTCCCAAGGAGAAAAAGCAGTTACCAGAGAGGTCTTGTTTAAGGAATCTTGGCACTGAATAGGACTGATGAGCACCCTAAAATACCTCATTTCAACTATGTGATTCCATTGTGGATTGAAGATTGGATGGGGGGGGAGAGTATCAGAAACCTGGTGTTAACTGGGTTGAATTATAAAGAGTTCTGCCTCATCATTCAGCTTTTCTTTTGTATTTTTCCTTCCATGTTTTTCACCTGCTCTTTGCTGCTTGTTATTACCACTCTTTTCAAATGCCACCTTACTGTCACTTTCGTAATTCATTTTGAAACTGAAAGTTCAATACTTAGCAGAGCCCATTATTTGCATGAAGTGCTTAATTTTTGAATGCTTTCATGAATCTTGATTATATCACTTAATTTACTCAGGCATCCCCACTAAGAATTCACCTCTCTTTATCCTCCAGTAGCCATTGACTAACATGCCTGGTGCTCTCTTCAAGCAAATGCAAGAATGGCTTACTTGCTCGTACCACTGAAAGACACATATTTTTTCCAAGGCAAAAGAGGAAGGACTCAATAACAGCATTATTCTGACTAGTAGTGCCACTAAATCACATCCTGAAGCTACTCCTTACTCTATTGACCACACTTCTTCTGGATTGGGTTATTTGAACTGGCATCACAACAGTGCTTTTGGAAAGATGTTCAGAGTAAAGAAAAGTGAGAACAATAGAGAATGGCAGCCACATAGTAGTGCAACAATTGGTGACTGCCTTATCAAAACTTCAGACAGGTCATCTGTGTAGCGGTTCACCATTTTTTACACACAGATCTCCTTTGATGGATCCTTCTTACTGTCTCTTTAAGGCTTTGACACTGAAGAAGTTATACGCCAAACAATATACAATTTATATATATCCCCAATCACTTATTCTGGAAATTGGGGGTGGGGATCTAAATACATGTAAACCTTTCATATATTAAACTGTTTATTTATAAAGACTGTTGTGTTGGCAACATGTATCCCATAGGAAAAAGGCCAAATTTCACTGGAGGGGTGGAAATGGAAAAGAGCACTAGGTAAAATGTTCTTCAGTCTTCCAGTGGAGCTACCATCATCCATCAGACAGCTGCAAAAGAAGGATTCTGCAAAGTCAGCTGCTGTGACCTGGAAGAAGGGCGCAGTTGAACCTTCATTCTCACTGCAGTCAGTCTACTTCACCATCAGTAGTTTTTATCCCTCAGCATTTCTCATAACTATTTCCAAGCCTGGACTGCACCATCACTAGGAAGAGACTAGCTTATTTCTGTTCTGTACAAAGATGCTTACACATTTGCCAATTTCCAAACTAGGTGTCAAGATTCTCTTTCCTGAAAATCTGTTGTGTACTATATCCAGGTTTTGCATGGCCTTTAGGCAAGTTGTCCCCAGTGGGCTACCCTGGCTAGCACTGTCAACACTGATCGTTTGCTGGCCCTCTGCCTTCAGGCCCAATCTGCATTACTGCCTACAAGAAGACATGGCAAGACATTATGAAGCCCCTATAAATAGAACATGCTGCTCCTTTTGCTTCCTGCACTCTTAAGAGGACAGGGAAACAGGTAACAACAGCATAAAGGATCAGGGCAATGGGCTTCAGGGGCCAGGAGGGGGGTCCTTGCAGGAATGCTGCCCTGATTCTAGCACTGAATCTGCGAATCTAATAGAAATCTTATAATTAAAATATTCTGATATAAATTGGTGTTGGAATTGTAATTCCCATTGTAGGCTCCTACCTCCACAACTCACTCAGTGCGGATCTACACCCATGGCTTTGAATGCTAAAAAGGAGTTAAAGAATGGTTGAGATAGCCATATGAAGCTGTTTTCTAATGTTAATAATACATTATTAAAATGTGACACCAGATGGCACTACAGAGCTACCCCCTTCCAGAAACTGGGTAGACCTTGCGGAAAAGGAAGAAAAAAACCAAATGTATTGATGTTTTAGAATAATTTAAATATTGTTTTAATAACATTTAAAAGGTAAGTGTAATTACATGCCACCCCACGTCCATTTATTTCCTAGGGTCTACTCTGAGTAGAATTAATTTTGGCCATCACCCTCAATTTTTCGAGAATGAGAAAACTGGCTATTTATATTTCCCTCAATGTTTCTAGCCTAGAATAGTGCATACTATTTCGTTTTACAACTCTATAGTTGATCTTTATTTTTAAAATACCCAAATATTCCCCCTTTATTGTCAATTTATGCGTGGATTTTAGTGGTTCTGACCCAATTGGACTTTGCTCACACTGGATAACCTCTCATACTGAACACACACTTACAGCCGAGCACAGCTCATGGTTTGATTAAAGAGGAAAGCCTCATGCTGTATGATATTTCTGTAGCGTAATTTTATATGAATACATACCTTTTAAAATAGTCATATGCCTTTTCGTATTAATCTTTTTATGTGCTTGGTCGTTTAGGAAACCTGGAGTGTACATGTGTAGAATATTCATACAAGTCTAATAATAAATATATAAATGAATATAATATGCACAAATTGATCATTTTTTGTGTGGATCAATACATAAACCCCTTGCTTCTTATTATGATTAAGGAGTGAGATGGCTGTCAGAAAAAAAGTATGTGCAGGTAATCCTGACATTCAGATTTCTGAAAACTCCCATCCCTACTCATTGGTCCATAAATCTAAGGAAATAAGCTTTCACAGATGCCCAGTTTCTGACTCTGGCTTATCAGCAGCTGCGCTGCTACAGAGATGACAGTCCATTCCCTAGGGATTACTGAAAAGTAAAAGCATTAATTTCTAAGTCAAAAAATTCTCTTCTCTCAGATTCACAAGATAGATAAACCTTGCAATGTTTCAATGATATGCTTACAGAAGGCATATTCTTATACTATCATAACCACATGGTGTAACTGAATGGAAAGAAAACATTACGAAGCCCCTATAAATAGAACATTTAAGTAGAGTAGCAGCTCCTGTAATAGTGATACCCAACAACAGACACTGCTATGCACAGTCCACCACCTAGGCTTCTGCTCACCTACTAGCACAGTGGCAATAAACTCATTTAGGTCTTTTATATGTCTTCAGTTGCCTTGGTCAGGATAGCACTGGTTCCCTACTTTACCATTTCTGTGTATTTTCCTGTTGTACACTGATCAGAAGAAATGAAGGGCATCTACTCTCTCCATGCAAATTTCTGAAATTCAGTCAAAAGCCTTTACATATTCTTATTTTCTCTGGCACATTGGCTGATTAGTGGCTGGACTAGTGACTGATCATCAAAATATTTCCAAGTGAGTTTCTCTTCCACTGGCTCTCTTCCACCTTGCAGCACCTTGCGGTTGTAGCCCCTTCACTTAAAAGTCAAATCATCAGTAGTTTCAATTTGAACCACAGGGTTAGAATTAAAAGCCTCATATTTCATACTATATTTCACAAGATGTTTGAACAAAATGAAAGTTTAAGGCAAAAATGTTAAATTAAGTTTCTGAAAATGAAAGGATGTAAACTATAAATGTGTTTTTAAAAATAAAAGTTGATAAAGCAAGTGACAAATAGGTAAGATAATAAATAATGGTAGGGATGTTTGAACAGATCAGATCAATCTTTTTTTATATAGACTCATTTATTGTTATTACAGAATATTCATACACAATTTTCAATACCTAAAACTAAAATTTAACAACAACAATAAACACAGTTATAGGGCAACACTGAGTACTTATATCTAAATGGCATTTTGCGTAAAAATGCACAAATGATTTTAAATTTAATGCATAAAATTAAAATAATGATGTAAATGGAAAATATACTATTTAAAAACAGTATATATTTTGACTGGGGAAAAATCATAGTTACAAGATTATTGTCAAAGTACTGTCAAAGCAACAGCATTCAAATAAAGACAATTAAAACAACAATTTTCTTTGTGTTTGTGCTTAGACTTCATTAGTGTATATTTTTAAACTTACATTTAAGACACAATTGTAAAACAGCTACTATAATTTTTGCTTTTCTGTGGCAGTTAAACTTAAAGTGGCAGCATTAAACTTGATAATTCAGCAGAGAATGTACATATTACTCTAACTGTCATCATCATCACTATCACTAATATGACACATAGTCCATTTTCTGCAGGCCTGTCTTTTCTGCAAGCATGGTAAGAGAGGAAAGAAGCAGAAGTGTTAGTTGAAGCTGGAAAGTTTAATTATTTGTTATTTTTAAAAATGCAAAAAAAGAAAGATGAGATGCAACTTTTGAATTTTTAGTATGCAGAAGAAGAATTTCAGTTAGTACAAATGTAATCCTATATTTCACCACTCACTAAAATAAGTCCAAGTTTATTTTTTCTATAAATATATGCAAATCTCAAAACCTATTGCTCAAAAGACTTTGGAACTTACAAAGCACAGTCACAGCTGAACCATAGCTTTCTGTACTATATAAAACCTACTCTATTTGTGTTTTCTATTTTTAGACCACATAGATTTTATAAATCAAAGTATAAAACAGGAAACCTGTGAGTAAGAGAGTTTTCTTTGCACTGATCTGCACACAGATTTGCTTAATACCTTGGAATGCATAGATATGTCTCCACAGGCAGAGGAACTCTGCATATGAAAGCTTCTGTACTCATAAATTGCTGGTTCTGCACCATAAATTGCTGGTATCAGTCAGACACTATTCAGTTCCAGAACTGCAATTTGTAAATCTGGTTTACAGTAACTGCTTTGGTTTACCATAGCTGCTTCAACTTATGGTGGAGCACATGAAAGCACTCCATACATAAGCTGATCAAGCCACCTTGTGAGCCAATTTTACAACACTACTTAAATTAATTAAGTACTGTGGGATAGGAGAAGATGGTGAAGTCCACCTCATCATTGGCCAGAAGAATCCCCTTTGTTTCCTAGACTAAATTGAACAGTCAATTGTAATGATCCTAAATTGCCTCTCCCAGTAAATTGACAGCAGAAAAGGGTATCAGGACTCAGCCCGTGTCCATTTAACCAGTTCTAATATGTGATCACAACAGACTAAATCTAAGCGTATATGTACTACTAGGGATGGTGGTGCCAATACCAGAGTTCCCTTCCTGCCAAAATCACAGGAGATTTATAGAATGTATTTCTATGTCTGTCTCACTGTACCCTCAAGTACAGTAAATCTACTTACGGAAACCTTTATCTGAATAAGGAGTGTCTAAACTATTATAAAATGTATTAATTAATCAAAAATAAATCATCGTGACCAATGCTTGCACAACCACTTTCAGATAGTGGGATGTGAACTGAGTGACTGAGCGATATTCTCCATGCACACGTGGAAGAAGCTGCTCAATTGTTGCAAATATACTCAAATTCCCATTTTTCACTATGAGGCCACAGATTTAACAATTTTGAACTTTCCAAAACTTAACAAAAAGGATCTGGGAATTGTTCTCAATTCAACTGTTCCAATTTATCAAACAAAGAAGGAAAACATTAACTACACAGTGGCTTGGTTCACACATTGTGCTAAAAGAGACTCTGTCTTAGCAGGTAGGCATGAGTGTGTGAGCTCCCAGAGAGAATCTTGCAGCCAATTTGCTCCTTCCATCAGTAGTCTTTGTTTCTCAACATTTCTATACACTTATTTCTCACAACTAATTCCACTAGCCACTATCATGTTTCAATTCCATAGTAAAATAAACCCCTTTATTTATTTTTTATTTTTTAAATTGTTCCAGATAAAAACTAGTCAACAATGGCCAATATTCAAAATACTATGAGTTTTATAGACTATAAAAAATATTTTTAAATAAAATAAAAACCTGTATTGAAGTACTGTAGTAACATTTCAAATAAAGACTTCTATAAATATAAAAACATTTCAAAAAGATTAAGTGCATTTCTTTTCATCTCAATATTTATTCTTTATTGTGTCCCTTCTCATTAAGGCATTTGTGTAGGTTATATAGTTAAGGCTTTAGAAAACATTTTAATATAAATGTTGTCGCTTTCCCCCCACTAGTTTGGATCTGTTATCCTACTTATATCCCCTCACACTGGCCATTTTGCAAATCTCTATTTTTATTAAACAATTAAAAAACAGCACTTAGGATACGTACTTAACTTTAAATACGCTTATATGATATCCAAGATCTCTGCAGTAAAAATCCCACACGCTAGGGTTAAAACAAAGTGAAATCAGCTGCAGTAGCTGATTTTTTGTTTTGTTTTCACATTCCTTCAAACCAAAGACTGCTATTTCAGCTGCCTCTCTAAGCGACATTTCTAATGTATTTTAACTAAAAATTCTTATCTTGAAATCTAGCAGCTTTCTTAGGTCTAATAAACACATCTGTCTTGTGGACCGTGCTATCACAGAGAAAATGAGAGGGACAATACAGGCCATCCGGAGCATGCAGAAATGTGCACCCATAGTTCTGCACACAGACACACGTGCAACAGATGGAGAGAGAAGGATGCGCCGATATTATAAAAGCAGATTATTATTATTTTCAAAAACTTAAATAAAAAATGTCAAATAATCTTGAAACCAACAGGTAACATATACTGTTAATGCAAATTGAAAAAATGGTCTCCCCTGACTAAATACTAAAACATTCCTGAATGCATAAATAGGAATAATTGTTCCTAATATATATTTTTTAAAAAATATATGTTTAAGTATGGAAGAGGAATGTATGTGCATGTAAAAAGAGTATTATATTACATCTCCTTGAAGGTTTAGTTTCTTCACCTGTAACATTTGACTTCCAGCACCATCTCTTAATCTGTATGGTCGAATGACTCCATCCTCACCAAAGAAGCGGGGAGGACGCAAGCTCATAACATCTTCGGAAGCGTTTGTAGCTCTGAGGGGGAGGAAAGTTAAGACCTTTGCATTACAGAAATAGAATAAATATTTTCATGAATATTCTAAAATGTTTTAATAAATTATAAACATCCATATAAAAATAGCTAAGCAATACAAATTACAAATTCAGAAACTAGTAAAAAACTTAGCTGAGTCGGGAGAGCTGGGAGGAACGTACTGTCTGCGTCTAGACAGGAGGAAAAACTGAGGGAGTCCAGCCTGCTTCCCACAAGTCTTTGCTCCTGTCTAGTGTCTTGCGACAGGGCGAACACCCTTTCCATTGGATATGACGCCCCACAAACAAAAATAGCTCCAGTAGGTTCAGGTAGGTAGCCATGTTTGTCTGACGCAGTAGAAAGTACACGAAAGCTCATACCAAGAACAAACTTATTTGGTCTCTAAGGTGCTACTGGACATTATGTGTGTGTGTGTGTGTGTGTGTGTGTGTGTGTGTATATAAATATATATATATTTCTAGCTCCAGTAGGTGTATTTCCCATAGCATGGGTATACCAAAAGCCAGTGAAGACCTGATTGCTGGGAAAGAACACAGAGCAGGGGAGCCTGAATATCTCTATTATGGGGGAGGCTCTCTCACCACAAAGAAAATCAATCAATCAATCAATCAATCAATCAATCAATCTTTATTACGGTCCAGAGACTCAACAAATCATTACAAAGCAATGCACAATTCAGACAGCCTACCTCCAGGTTAAACAAGCATTTTGTTCAGACTTAAAGATAGGGATCATTGGTTCTTGCAACCACCGATAAAAACTTCGCCACTGCTAATGTTCTAGCGTTTGTCCGGTCTTCCAATAGGAACCTGACATAGTGAGCCTCTGATTTTCCCGGGAAAGGTACCAGCAAGGGTAATATCAATTCAGCACTGGCTTGTTCATATTTCACACAGCGCACAAAGAAAATAAAACACACTGGTACAAAACGGTTCATAACAGCAAATTTCGCATAATTCTCTTAGTATGCTTTGTTTTTTTTTCTTTGTAGTTTTTACTGGTATGAGCTATGACAATCTGAAGACACAGTAAGAAAAGAATGGAGTAAGAGGTAAGGGTTACTGTTTTTTAGTAAAACTTCTTTGAAAAGGCAAAGAAGGAATAAAGGAGAGGGAAATATAGCGAAAAGAAAGAACCTGAGCTCAAAAGGCAAAAAAATTGTGTAGAGTAGAAAAAACACATATGCCTTGGGAAATGACAGGAACTAAAGTGAAGGAGTCCAAAGGGCAGAGCACATGCAACTTAGCTAACCCCAACACGTGCCTGTCTTGGATGAATTACAGAACACAACTGTTTACATGGATGTCTCCTATGCCAAGCTGAGAAACATACACTAACACATAATGACATATTTAAAATTATATTTTTTCAAGTACTTCTGTTCCAAGCTAATAATATGTTTTATATTTAGGGGAAATATTTCAAAGAAAGTAATATAAGTATTATAAAATGAAATTTATCATGTGTACAACTGTTGATTTTTTTTTAATTAAAGAAGTTGTTCTCATTTTATTTAAAGTACCTGTGTTATCAGCGCTGATAATTTTATTAAGGAATGTTTAAATAAAATTACTGATCAAGGGCTGAAATGTGAACAGTATGGCACAGTCACTTTGTGACGGTGGTGGTCACAAATAATGGTAATAAATACATTCTTACCTTTTAATTCCCTGAAAGGTGCTGCTAGCCATATCTATTATTCCTCCAGTGGGTCTTGCTACAGCTCCCACTAATCCTTTCCCAACGCCTTTGAAGAAACCTGTTGCTCCTTCTTTCTGGGCTCCTAGAAAACAATGACAGCAGAAACAACAAAACATAAAATAGAATCACAGCACCACAAAATTGTAGAGTTGGGAAGGTCCTAGAGGATCACCTGGCCTAACCCCTTGCAATGCAGGAATATGCAGCTGCCCCCTACGGGGACTGAACCTGCAAAATTGGGGTTATCATATTTTATCATTTGCTACAATTAAGGCTGAGGTGTGAGTTATTTCATAAGCTTTTCCAGCTTAAAGGAGGGCTGTGGGAGAGGAAGAGTGTAAAAGGTTTCACAAAATGCATGCCCCCTGCAACACTGAGGATATCTGGATCCAAATCAGAGTGCAAGCAGTACTTTCAGCCCTCAGTCTGGTCCTGAAGTTAAAGGAATAAGGGGGAAATGCTGTCCAACAGCAGCAGGGAATGTGGTAAGTGCTGGTAATGGTGAAAAAACTTCACCCCTCTCTGTAAGTTCTCCTAAATATTATCAAAATGCACTCCCATCCAATCACAGCCTGCAAAATGGTAGATAGACAGGAGGCTATTTTGGCTTAGCGCTAATTAAAACTATGACACACCATTATAACAATTGTAAACATACATTATTTTTTTTCTATTTTGCTTCATTGTCAGCAGCAGGTAAAAAGTAGCTTGTTTTTCACATAAAGTATATCTCAGCAAATAGCAGCTTTAGGTTCAAATAACACAGTACGAACTGAGAGAACGATCATACCTCTTATTGGCTTTGTTACTATTCCTGTTATTCCACTGACAAAACCCTGCAAGTTAAAACAAAATGGTATCTCAACTTTTGGTCTAAAATGGATTTCTCAGCATGATTTAAGACTGTGAAGTTGATTATATAATGATAATAATTTATTATTAATACCCCGCCTATCTGGCTGGGTTTCCCCTGCCACTCTGGGTGGCTTCAGCAAAATATTAAAATACAATAATTCATCAAATATTAAAAGCTTCCCTAAACAGAGCTGCCTTCAGATGTCTTTTAAAAGTTGTATAGTTCTTTATCTCCTTGACATCTGAAGGGAGGGTGCCACTACTGAGAAGGCCCTCTGCCTGGTTCCCTGTAACTTTGCTTCTCGCAGTGAGGGAGCCAGTAAAAGACCCTCAGAGGAGGACCTCAGTGTCTGGGCTGAGCGATGGGGGTGGAGACGCTCCTTCAGGTATACTGGGCCAAGGCCATTTAGGGCTTTAAAGGTCAGCACCAACGCTGTGTCCGGAAACGTACTGGGAGCAAATGTAGGTATTTCAGGACCGGTGTTATGTGGTCTCGGCGGCTGCTCCCAGTCACCAGTCTAGCTGCCGCATTTTTGATTACCGGTAGTTGTAATTTCTGAGTCACTTTCAAAGGTAGCTCCACACAGAGCGCATTGCAGTAGTCCAAGTAGGAGATAACCAGAGCATGCACCACTCTGGCAAGACAGTCCACAGGCAGGTAGGGTCTCAGCTGTTGTACCAGATGGAGCTGGTAGACAGCTGCCCTGGACACAGAACTGACCTGTGCCTCCTTGGACAGCTGTGAGTCCAACTGACTCCCAGGCTGCACACCTAGTCCTTCAGAGGCACAGTTACCCCATTCAGGACCAGGGAGTCCTCCATGCCCACCCGCCCTGTCCTCCCAAAACAGTACTTCTGTCTTGTCAGGATTCAACCTCAATCTGTTAGCCGCCATCCATCCTCCAACTGCCTCCAGACACTCACACAGGACCTTCACCACCTTCACAGAGGCAGAGCTGGGTAACATCCGCATACTGATGAACACCCAGCCCAAACCCCCTGATGCTCTCTCCCAGCAGCTGCATGTAGATGTTAAAAAGCATGGGGGAGAGGACGGAACCTTGAGGCACCCCCAAGTGAGAGCCCAGGGGTCTAAACACTCATTTGCCAAAGTACTGGAGCAGGCTTAGGCAAACTCCAGCCCTCCAGAGGTTAACTACAATTCCCATCATCCCTAGCTAACAGGATCAGTGGTCGGGGATGATAGGAATTGTAGTCTCAAAACATCTGGAGGGCCGGAGTTTGCCTATGCCTGTACTGGAGCATAAAAATAATGGAGACTGAATTCCTAATATAAACTGTCACTTACTCTAAATCATAGCCAATATTTTCAATCTTACCTTAATGAGAGCATGGATCAATAGCAAATGGTGTGGTGGGGCCAGCTCACCTGACCTCCCGACAGCTGAGTCACTGCTGCTTGCAGTCACACTATTTGCATTACACCAACCTCTCCATCTCTGTGCCTCTTCCCTCTTTTGCAAGGGAGCAGCAACTCTGCTGTCAGAAACCCATCATGTTCACTTCTGATGTGAATGAGAATATAATTTATGCAGCTTGTGACTGCAACTCTATCTGCCAAAGAACTAGTGTTGAAACCATTCAATCTATCAATATTAAAATACGTTATGTAATGTTTCTTACAGATACCAAGCCTTTTCCACCACGAGTGATACCCTCTTTCAGGCCAGCAGGCTGCCTATTCATGGCTTCCCTTCGCTTCTGCTGATAGTCTTCATCCATAGTTATTGCTGCTACTCCTTTAGCCATAGCACCAGTTATTCTTGATGCAGCACCAGCTAATCCACCTATTAGCATAAGAGATTTAATGAAAAATATTCAATGTTTTAAAGAGTAAAAAAATGCAAAGATTACTTTTGCAGCTTTTACCTATGTGTAAAAAAATGACTGCTTACCAACAGCACCACCAACTAGGGCTTTAAGACCCAGTGCCATTCCTTCTACAAACTCTTCTGGACCCTGGATAGCCCCCTAAGAAGAAGAAAGACAAATATCTTTTAAATATTCTGATTGATAACCTACAACCAGTTTTTTTCTGCTAAGAATAATAGAATTGTAGAGTTGGAAGGGATCTCTAGCGTCATCTAATCCAACCCCCTGCAATGCAGGAATCTCAGTGAAAGGATCCAGGACAGATGACCATCCAACCTCCTGAGGGAGACAGCTCTTACTGTCAGAAAGCTCTTCCTGATGTTTCGTTGGAATCCTCCATGTGATAGCCCGTCAGATATTTGAAGATGGGTATCATATCTCCTCTCAATCTCTTTTCCAAGCTAAACATACCTCCTTCAACTTTCCCCCATACGCCTTGGCTTAAAGACCCTTGGTCATCTTAGATGCCCTCCGCGACACACATTACAGCTTGTCCATATTCTCCTTAAATTTTAGTGTCCAGAATTGGACACAGTATTCCAGGTGTGGTCTGACCAAGGCAGAATAGAGTGGTACTATTACTTCCCTTGAACTGGACACTTTACTTCTGTTGATGCAGCCTAGAATAACATTAGCTTTGTTTTTGCTGCTGTATCACACTGTTGACTCATACTAAGCTTGTGGTCCACCAAGATCCCTAGATTCTCACTCCTCAAATATTTATAAAGAGTCCAATCTAGCAGTTTCATAAAGCTTAGGGAAGTGCTGGGTGAGATCCCATGGACAGTAATACTAAAAGGAAAGGGAGTTCAAGATGGCTGGGAGTTTGTTAAGAGGGAGATAGTAAAAGCACAACTTCAGGCAATACCAATGAGACGGAAACATGGAAGGTGCCTAAAGAAGCCAGGGTGGCTATCTAAAGAACTTTTAACTGAGTTAAGATTAAAAAAGGATGTGTACAAAAAATGGAAAAGGGGGGAAACCACCAAAGAGGAATTCAAACAAATAGCCAGCACGTGTAGACACAAAGTCAGAAAAGCTAAAGCACAAAATGAACTCAGGCTTGCTAGAGAGGTTAAAAGCAACAAAAAAGGCTTTTATGGGTATGTTCGTAGCAAAAGGAAGAACAAAGAAACCGTGGGGTCACTCAGAGGAGAAGATGGTGAAATGCAAACAGGGGACACAGAAAGGGCTGAACTCCTCAATGCCTTCTTTGCCTCAGTCTTCTCCGATAAAGAAAACAATGCCCGACCTGAAGAATTTGGAGCAAATGATTCAGCAGAGGAAACACAGCCCAGAATAACTAAGGAGATAGTACAAGAATACTTGGCTAGTCTAGATGTATTCAAGTCTCCAGGGCCAGATGAACTGCATCCAAGAGTATTAAAAGAACTGGCAGATGTGATTTCAGAACCACTGGCAGTCATCTTTGAGAATTCCTGGAGAACAGGCGAAGTCCCGGCAGACTGGAGGAGGGCAAATGTTGTCCCTATTTTCAAAAAGGGGAAAAGAGAGGACCCAAATAATTACCGCCCAGTCAGTCTGACATCAATACCAGGGAAGATTCTGGAGCAGATCATTAAGCAAACAGTCTGTGAGCACCTAGAAAGGAATGCTGTGATCACCAATAGTCAGCATGGATTTCTGAAAAATAAGTCATGTCAGACTAACCTGATCTCGTTTTTTGACAGAATTACAAGCCTGGTAGATGAAGGGAACGCAGTGGATGTAGTCTACCTTGATTTCAGCAAGGCATTTGACAAGGTGCCCCATGATATTCTTGTAAAGAAGCTGGTAAAATGCGGTCTTGACTATGCTACCACTCAGTGGATTTGTAACTGGCTGACTGACCGAACCCAAAGGGTGCTCATCAATGGTTCCCCTTCATCCTGGAGAAGAGTGACTAGTGGGGTGCCACAGGGTTCTGTCTTGGGCCCGGTCTTATTCAACATCTTTATCAACGACTTGGATGATGGACTCAAGGGCATCCTGATCAAATTTGCAGATGACACCAAACTGGGAGGGGTGGCTAACACCCCAGAGGACAGGATCACACTTCAAAACGACCTTGACAGATTAGAGAACTGGGCCAAAACAAACAAGATGAATTTTAACAGGGAGAAATGTAAAGTATTGCACTTGGGCAAAAAAAATGAGAGGCACAAATACAAGATGGGTGACACCTGGCTTGAGAGCAGTACATGTGAAAAGGATCTAGGAGTCTTGGTTGACCACAAACTTGACATGAGCCAACAGTGTGACGCGGCAGCTAAAAAAGCCAATGCAATTCTGGGCCTCATCAATAGGAGTATAGCATCTAGATCAAGGGAAGTAATAGTGCCACTGTATTCTGCTCTGGTCAGACCTCACCTGGAGTACTGTGTCCAGTTCTGGGCACCACAGTTCAAGAAGGACACTGACAAACTGGAACGTGTCCAGAGGAGGGCAACCAAAATGGTCAAAGGCCTGGAAATGATGCCTTATGAGGAACGGCTAAGGGAGCTGGGCATGTTTAGCCTGGAGAAGAGGAGGTTAAGGGGTGATATGATAGCCATGTTCAAATATATAAAAGGATGTCACATAGAGGAGGGAGAAAGGCTGTTTTCTGCTGCTCCAGAGAAGCGGACACGGAGCAATGGATCCAAACTACAAGAAAGAAGATTCCACCTAAACATTAGGAAGAACTTCCTGACAGTAAGAGCTGTTCGACAGTGGAATTTGCTGCCAAGGAGTGTGGTGGAGTATCCTTCTTTGGAGGTCTTTAAGCAGAGGCTTGACAACCATATGTCAGGAGTGCTCTGATGGTGTTTCCTGCTTGGCAGGGGGTTGGACTCGATGGCCCTTGTGGTCTCTTCCAACTCTATGATTCTATGATTCTATGAGTTTGTTGTTTAGTGGTTTAGTCATGTCCGACTCTTTGTGACCACATGGACAAGAGCATGTCAGGCACTTCTGTCTTCCACTGCCTCCCGCAGTCTGGTCAAATTCATGCTGGTAGCTTCAAGAACACTATCCAACCATCTCGTCCTCTGTCGTCCCCTTCTCCTTGTGCCCTCCATCTTTCCCAACATCAGGGTCTTTTCTAGGGAGTCTTCTCTTCTCATGAGATGGCCAAAGTATTGGAGCCTCAGCTTCACGATCTGTCCTTCCAGTGAGCACTCAGGGCTGATTTCCTTAAGAATGGATGCGTTTGATCTTCTTGCAGTCCATGGAACTCTCAGGAGTCCCCTCCAGCACCAGAAACCAAAAGCATCCATTCTTCGGCAATCAGCCTTCTTTATGGTCCAGCTCTCACTTCCATACATCACTACTGGGAAAACCATAGCTTTAACTATACAGACCTTTGTCAGCAAGGTGATGTTTCTGCTTTTTAACATCCTGTCTAGGTTTGTCATCACTTTTCTCCCAAGAAGCAGGCAATTCAATACTGCCATCTCCACATGGACATAAACTGTTTTCCAGCGAAATTTTTTGAAATCAACCCTCAAGTACAGTATGTTCAATCTTGCATAAGTGAAAGCATGTCTGTATTTTGGAACTGTTAAATTTTGCAAGTAGGGTGTCAATGTGTCAAGGAGACTAGGTGAGAAATAATCATACCATTGACAAAATTTCCTTATGTTGGCCAAATTATTTTGTCGTTCAATGTCATATAGGCACTGTCGAATTAAATTCTTTGCTTTGCTGAAGCCCAGTGTTAATCATTGTTGTGGTGATAAACCAGGTGAATAAAGCTTTTGGATGACAAATTTTAGTCCAGGCGCTCTCATGACAGTCTTGCAATACTCCAAAGGACATCTACCACAAATTTGTTCCTTCCACAGTGATTAGGCCTTCGAAAACTCAGTATCTTTCTACACTTTTGGCAGAATTTTATGTGAAGTGGCTGTTGCCTTCCACTGTAAATATTTACATACTAGTACAGCCTGTCTTAGATTGCCTTGAGGAAAAACTAGGTGGAGAACACACCTGGTAAGGTTCATAGAAGAATGCTTCAACTCCTTCAGACAAGTCTCTTATGAATCCAAATGGATTGCCCAAAACATCCAGTCCAAGAATAAGAACATACATTTGCTTAATAGCCTAAAACGCAAATAAACATGTTATAGAAAATATATATTTAAAGCATATAATTTCAATCTACAAAGGAATCTACAAATAACTCATTTTTGTGAGTCTGTCTACGCAGCTATTTATTATTATTAATTAAATTTGTATGCCACCCTTTAGCCTATGCTCCCAGGGTGGTTCACAACAGAAAAATACAAAACGAGAATACAAAATATGTAATAAAATGAAAACAAACCCCTCCCACAAAAACATTTAAAAACCCATAGAACCAAACAAATGCCTGGTTAAAGAGATTTTTTTTTTTGCCTGGCTGGCACCTAAAGTTATGTAATGAAGGTGCCAAGCAAATTGGTCAATTCATGTTAGGTTCATGATATACTAACCTGCTTTGAATAATGCATAACTACAGCCCACTGCAGTTGCTCTGTAGTACAAAAGTGGTAGTTGAGCTCAAAGAATGCCAATCTAGAACAAGTAAATTACATTAAAATGGCAAAATAAAATATATTCTGTATGTAATCTTTTAATTAAAATCAACTAAGTGAATATTCTACTTACTTAAGAACAACATCCTGCACATCTGTGAGTGTGGCCCCAATACTCTTTAACAAGAGGTTTAAGGACTGAACTGGAATTAGCTCCTTGCGAGTCTCTTCCTTGTTGCTATCGTCTCCAGGAGTGCTAAGTGAAAAACTTAAGTGTAACTGAAATGAGAGGGGGGAGGGGATGAAAATATGGGAAACACCAGTAGTATGTGGGATGCTACCTTAGATCTTAAAAATATTTTTGCTATGATATTGCATTATTATATCTTACATATAAGTCAGCTTGATAAGAATGTTTACCACTGTTATTGCACAAAAATATAAACCATCAACTAGTATGGTACAAAGTGTATGATTAGGACGAAGAAGAAGAGGAGTTTGGATTTGATATCCCGCCTTTCACTCCCCTTCAGGAGTCTCAAAGCGGCTAACAATCTCCTTTCCCTTCCTCCCCCACAACAAACACTCTGTGAGGTGAGTGGGGCTGAGAGACTTCAAAGAAGTGTGACTGGCCCAAGGTCACCCAGCAGCTGCATGTGGAGGAGCAGAGACGCGAACCTGGTTACCCAGATTACGTGACTACCGCTCTTAACCACTACACCACACTGGGACTATGGATATGAGGTTTCAAATCCTCAAATGAGACCTTGGGGTGATATATAGTGCTGGGCATCTCTCTCGCTATAAGTCCTGGGGCTCTTGTGTTGTGGAATGCTTCCATACGAGAGCTGCTGTGCACTTTTGAGGCCCTGGTCTTGCAAGATCAGCTGCAGCAAAACTAAAACTATTATTATTTATTTATTAAATTTGTATACAACCCCTCAGCTGAAGATCACAGGGCGATTCGCAACATTAAAATATAAAATGAGAATACAAAATACATAATAAAATAAAAACAAACTAATAACTCCCCCTCCACAAACATATTTAAAAGGCCATAGAATGTTAATCAGCCCAAGGCCTGGTGATAGAGAAATGTTTTCACCCGGCACTAAAAGACATGTAATGAAGGCATCAGGCGAGCCTCCCTGGGGAGAGCATTCCACAGATGGGAAGCCACCACAGTAAAGGCCTGTTCTCCTGTTGCCACCCTCCGCACTTCTTATGGAGGGGGCACACAAAGAAGAGCCTCAGATGGTGATTGCAGGGCGTGGGTCGGTTCATATGGGAACTGGAGGACCTTGAGGTATTGTGGTCCTGAGCCATTTAAGGCTTTATAGGTCAAAACTAGCACTCTGAATTAGGCCTGGAAACTAATTGGCAGCCAGGCTGGAATCTGTGTAATATACTCAAACCGATTTGCCTTGGTGAGCAACCTGGCCACTGAATTCCGCACCAACTGAGGTTTCCAAACCGTCTTCAGAGGCAGCCCTAATCTAACCTAGAGGTTCCCAAACCATAGCCAGAAGTTAGGCTACCCCTGGCCAGATAAGAGGCACAGCTGAGCCACCAGCTGAAGCTGATGGAAGGCACTCTGCATTACCAAACCCATCTGATTCTCAAATGACAGCAAAGGATCCAGGAGTACCCCCAGGCTGCGTACCCACTCCTTCAGAGGGAATGTAACCCCACCTAGAGCAGACATCTCCCATCCATCTGGCAGTACAGAACCACCCCCTAACAGTGACTCAGTCTTATCTGGATTGAGCTTTAGTTTGTTGGCTCTCATCAAGTCCATCACTGAGGCAAGACAATGGTCCAGCACATCCACTGCCTCACCTGCAGATGTAAAGGAGAAGTAGAACTGTGTGCCATCAGCATATTGCTGACATACTCCGAGACTCCATATAACCCTACTCAGTGGTTTCATGTAGATGGTAAACAGCAAACACTGAACTCTGAGGAATGCGACACTGAAGGTTCTACAGGACCAAATAGCACTCCCTAAGCATCACCCACTGGAAACAAACCATCCAAGTAGGACTGGAACCACCACAAAGTAGTGCCACCTACCCCTAACTTGGACAGCCCCTCCAGAAGGATACAATGGTTGATGATATTGAAAGCTACTGAGAAGCTGTGGAGAATTAACAAGGACACATTTCCCTTGTTTCTCTCCAGACAAAACTCATTACACAGTGCAACCAAAGCAGTTTCTGTGCCAAAACTGGGCTTAAACCCTGACTGAAATGGATCTAGAAAAATCAGTTTCCCCCAAGAGCACCTGGATCTGGTCCATGACCACCTGCTCAAGAACCTTGCTGAAGAAGGGGAGATTGGCAACTGCCTTACTGGCAACTGAATCTAGTTACTTAGACTTTCTGAATCCAGGGAGGATTTGTTAAGGAGTGGTTTTACCAGTGCTTTTTAAACACTGATCAACATTTAAACTAAACGCTATAGCATTTTAACTCCATTTTAATTATAAAGGTAAAAGTGGGAGAGTATTACAAACCAAGAATTTCGGGCTTAAAGTGAGATCTTCTATTTATTCAGAAGTGAACCCCTCTGCTCTGTCCAGACTGTCCCTCCTGTCCTTTTGGGGCACATCTCCCACCGCAGCAAAGGACACTGACTCCAACTTAAAAAGGGGCAGTGTCTGTAGCAACATGTGCAGCACAGATTCCCAGCTTTCTTGGGGTAGAAGGGCTGTGAATGCATTATTGCTCAAAGGAAGGGATATGGCTGTACTGTATAAAAATCACTGCAGCTGGGCTGTTTGTAGGTGGAGTATGAATGGGCTGGAAGCTGTGCTTCATTCTGAGTAAAGTGGGGTTTCATGCATTAATATAATCACCTTCATCTTCACTCTTGTTCATTGGCTGCGTATTTAAATATCCAAACATAACAGTTATGACATACACATACCTTGATTGGAGAAATATGAAAATATTCATATAGGCTGATTTGTGATGTATCTGTTGATGATATATTCTTCAATTCCTCATGTACAGATTCTACATCCTTTTTGAAGAGTTCTATCTGTGAAGATAAGAATAAGAATAAGAATAAGAATAATACTTATGCCCCACCCATCTGGCTGGGTTTCCCCAGCCACTCTGGGCGGCTTCCAACAAGAGATTAAAAATACATTAAAACATCAGTCATTAAAAACTTCCCTAAACAGGGCTGCCATCAGATGTCTTCTAAAAGTCAGATAGTTGTTTATTTCTTTGACATCTGATGGGAAGGCGTTCCACAGGGTGGGTGCCACTACCGAGAAGGCCCTCTGCCTGGTTCCCTGTAACTTTGCTTCTCACAGCGAGGGAACCGCCAGAAGACCCTCGGTGCTGGACCTCAGTGTCCAGGCAGAATGATGGGGGTGGAGACACTCCTTCATTAACTTAAAACCAGCATTTCTTAAAGCCAAATTATACACTACCAGTTTCATGACAAATGGTATAGCTATTCTGTTGAGTTTAAAGAACCTTCTGGGTTGATGTCAATGTGTAGAAATATTTCATGTTCCATTTCTTATTTGATGACGAACAGTGTTTGACCTTGTTTATATGTTCCATATTTCTCATTAAGCACCATTTGGTACAAAATATTCAATACAGTGTATAAAAAAATTGAGCCAACACACATTATGGTTTGTTGCTTTTTAACTCCATTGAACAATAATTTGTACCTCTTGATCTTTGGGCACCTCGTCTGCAAGTGTAAAGAATTCAGCCAATGCATAAAGAAACCCAAGATCTAATCTGAGATCCATCTCTTGAATTAGGACCTTAAAATACCTGCAAAATAGTTTAAAAGTGTCACATTGCAGAAGCTTTTTTGTTTTGTTAATAATGTCTTTGTCTTTAAAATCCACCCGTTCATAAAAATATAAAAAAATTCTATTAATGAAAGTTCCAACTGAATTCATATGGATTAAGTAGAAAGGCAGTCTAGATTTAAGAATGAAAAAGGAATATATACTTACTTTATACGTGATATTTGAGAATGCCCTGCAGTTCTCATGACAATACTGACATCAGTAAAGGGTTTGGGTTCTATGAAAATTCCAAACAGGAAACAGGAGTGCGTAAAAATGACTCATACTTATATAGAATTCAATTTATTTTGACATGTAAACTATAATATATAGAACTGAGTTCATTTGCAAAGGATATAATGGAAGGGTTGGACAAACCAATGGTCTAAGGTATTAGAGGCATATATGGGAAGAAATGACACTACTTTCTAAAATGAGGAGTGCACATCCACAAATATTTTCAATATAAGTTCAGCAGATATACACTGACTGTGAACAGTTTAATGAAGTTACATAGAAGTTATTTTCAAATTCCAACTGCATCAATTGTATAGGTCTCAAAGTAAGTTCTAGGTTTCCTAAGGGCCCTGAGTCCCTTGCTGTTCCCAATCCATCCTAGGAGAACATTCTTGCTTGACAATCGTATGTTGTCTGCAAGTGTTATCTACAGCTAACAGATTTCAGGGAAAGGTGGTGAATCCTTCATTGCCCCAGAACAAGGACCATGGAAAATACAAATGGCAGAAGCTGTGTCTCACAAAACCACAGATTACTTCCAGATTAGGACTGGAATCACTTTGCTTCCTAAAGAGACTATATATAGCAATGTCTGGCTGGTCTTGTTCTTTGACAAGAACCTATTGTTGTTAAAAAAGAAAAGACAAATGTTTGCATAATATGCTTTCATGAAATGCTGAGACATTTCAACTTCTAGCAAATTTAGGACTATGCAAACCCATCAACAAAATGTAGTTTATTTTCTAATCTTACTATGAATGACTTCCCCCCATGAAGATCTCAATGTTTCCTTCTTCTTAATTATTACAGATGCAGAAAAATAATAACAATGCATTAAACTGTATTAACAAACCTGAATCCAAGGAGATGGACTTGGGAGGTTTAATAGGATAGAACACAAAGGGAAATATGGCTCCAGGAATCTGGTTTTGTATCTGATAAGGGTAATGACAATATGGTGCATGTTAGATGTTCATTTGCAAATGCTTATTTTTGTCCTAATTTACAATTATACTTCCTATTAGCTTCTCCATTACATGAAGGCTGCATTCTAAATGTTGAAGGTCTGTATATAATTTAACCTATATTATTCCGAATTCTGATATTTGTAAGATGAATTGAATAAAATACTTGACACTTAATACACTTTGCAAAAACATCTATTTTCAAATTTTGTCATTTGAAAATTAAAAATTAAAAAATGTTTTCTATTTTAAAGATGCTTTCAAGAAGCCCAGTTTATACTGATTGTGTTATTTCTGAATTTATTTTATAAAATTTATATACAGCTTGGTTGTAGAAAACCTCAAAGTGGTTTACAGGAAAAAATAAAACAGCAAGGTTATTAGTAAAAACAATTTAAACATTCAAAAAAATAAATCAACTAAAAACACAACAGCATTCTAAATATCTGGGTAGGCTTGTCTAAATAAAAATGTTTTTAGCAGGTGCCAAAAAGAGTACAGGGAAGGCACCTGGCAAATGTCACGGAGTTCAAAAATGTAGATGCTGCCACATTAAAATATTGATTTCTTACAAATTTCTTACAATTGCAGAATGGATATTATGTGGCACCTGTAACAGTGCCAGTTCTTCAGAATGAAGTGGTCGAGAGGGCATAATTGCATGGGTTTGATCACAATCAGAGAAGTCCCACTGAAATTAATGGTCATGACCAAGGCTCAAGGACTATCCCTGCATCCATAGTCTGGCAGCTCATCATGTTGGAAAGTGGGGCAGACAGACTGGCTAGCCATGGCTATGAGAGCAGATCAGGATGCAGCCAATACTGGGCTGGCTCAGCTCTGCCCTCAGGACACCTCATTTTGAGGTTATGTGCTGGACCCTGCAAGCAGAGATACCTCCAGATACTTTCTGCATGCATGTTCAGGACATGAATGGGGCTATCTGTACTGCTGGAATGATGGCAGAAGCAGAAGTGAGCAGAGGGATGCCTCTGCTGAATCCCACCTCATCCCCACAGCCCAGAGTAACTTTGGATTGCAGCACATTAATTTCAGGTCCTGAACAGAATTCAGTTGTGTGTAATCCATTATCTGTAAAAACCAAATTTTGTCTTACTGTGAATTTCTGTTTACTGGGAATGACAGATGACATTCCTCATATACCTCCAGGATGGTGCTTACTCTTTTCCTTATGGGCTTTCTATGGGCCTTATGCGCTTCTGACTTCTGTGTTTACGACAAGGGAAGGAGTCCTTAACCTCTTTGTGAATGCAGAAGTGTACCCATGAGAGGAAACCAATATGACTCACACAGAAAGCAGCATGACTCACCCCACCTGCAGAATGAGAGTGTGAATCAGAGGCTCCTGCCTAATAATACCAGGCACTCCAAGAGAAGGTGACATTGGAGTCTGACCAGTAGCCTCCTGTACAATCTTCATGGTCAGAGGCGCAGAAGAAAGAGGCAAAGCCATAATGATTATGCAGGAGCATAGCCAAAAAGGAAGGAAGAAGCTGGTCATGCACAAACTGTCCGTGCACTGATCAACCCCCCAGAAATTCAAAAGGCAGAGGATGTTGAAAGGATTAAAGAAAGCTGAAATTCAAAGCACACTGATCAATGATGCAGGGCGGGGCAGGAACCAAGCAATGATGCTGTGTTTTGGGGTGCAAAAGTGCTTAATTAATGGTGATGTTGGGGCGGGCAAACATTCTGATCAAAGAGAAAATGGTGCTCCCACTTAGGTGGGTTGTTCTATGAGCAACAAGTGTTTAAACAAAATGGTGGCTCTGCTCAGTATTGTAAATGTAAATGAGGGACCTGCTAAGCTTCGTGCTCTTCAGAAATCAAAGTAAGGGCTCCCAGGGAACCATGATGAAGTCAAAACGCCCTTGTGAAGACACATTTCTCCCTCAGACCACAAGGGGGAAAACCGGGGGGGGGGGGGATAAAAAAGAAATGAAGCATACACACAAACACACAGGGCAAAGGAGTAATGTACTGAAATAAAATATAACCAAAACAGTAGTAACAGTTAAAAACCCAACTCACAAAATATGCAATAAGAAATGCGCAAGACCAAGAAAAGCCAAATATTCAAGAGAGAACAAAAGGCTCCAACCATCACCATCTGCAGGCAGGGCCAGTCTGGTGAGAGGGATGATTCCCTCCCTTGGGAGAGGAGGACCCTGCCTATTCTTTCCAGCAGGAGGCATCCCTATGAGGAAAGTCATCCATCATTCTCAGGTAAAAACCCTGAAAGCTACTTTATTATCTTCCTTGTCTCAATTATGATGTTACATTAAAGGGTTTTGAATATTCTTTATTGGTAACCTTGAAACATACTTGTATTCTATAAATCTGGACTCTGAAGGATGACTGATGTTCAGATGTACTATATTGCACTTTTAAAGCTGGCAAGAAGCTTCTTCTCACAGGGACTTCATTTGGTTGAAGCATTTTCATGTTATTACCAGTAGGTGTCAAGCAGACCTGTCATATTGAAAGGAAAAAGATGTCCAGATCTTAATGCCGTTTCTTATAAATCTTTCAAATACAACATGAGTCAGAATCTAGCCAAATATAACCACTTAAGTGTCAATGTTATTTAAGGGACACATTTAAGCAAGTACTTAAGCAGCAGTAGAGAATCATTTTTCTTTCAAAGGCTTCTGACACATGAGAGAAGACAACTGGGGTGCTTAGCATTCACTCTTGTGGTGGTCAAGAATAAACTTTTACCTGCTACTAAAAAGTTCTAAATTTTGCTCTGCCCAGGTGCAGAATCCATGGGTGGAACCCAGCATAGAGCTAAGGCAAACGTTTTATCAGCCGAAGGATTTCACTTTGTACAACAGGATGTTTCCCCCCTATTCCCACCATGTGCCCCCCTAAATCTGGAGATTTGGGGAATGGGGGGAGGAAAGGGGGGAAAGTCCCATTGTACAAGCAGAAATCCTTATGCTGACAAGATGCATTGGTAGAATACTGTGGGACAGTACAGAGATCATGAAGGAGAACCACAACTGCTGAGAACCAGGGGTCAGGGTGCTCATGCCTTTCCCCCCATCCAGACAGCAGGAGGCAGATGAAAGTCATAACGCTATGCAGTTATTCTTGGTGGAATTTATCCTGGAGTGAATATAAATAAGATCAGGCTCTAAGCCTCTGTTGTGGAACAAATTATAGCAGGACACAAAGTCAAGGCAAGGAGCAGATGATTCAACTCATTTTACTCAGAGCAGACAAATGGAAATTAATGGAACTTTCTTAGGCATGCTCATTAATTTCAATGTGTCTACTCTGAGTAAAACATAGTTGAATATGACCCCGTACTGACAAGTTTCTAGTAAAAGAGCAATATCCAGTTATGCTAAGCTTTATGTTACGAATGTATTTTAAATGGACAAACAAACAAAATTCCCCTTAACATTACCGGAGTATTATCATCCAGCTCCACTATTTTATTTTCTGTGGGTGAGTGATCACAGTAGTCATTAAATTCTTTCTCCAGCATTTCAGTTTGTTTCAAACTCAGTGGCCTCCATCTCGACTTTTTTTTAGGTTTCGTTTCCCAAATTATATCAGAACTTGCAAACAAAATAAAGAATAGAACAGTAAACTTCACCCTGCCTGATAGTTATCAAACACAATATATTTTGCAGAAAAAATATATGAACAAAACTATCACCTGACAACCCAATAAATAATGATGTTTCATGATACCTCTGAAATTTATTTAACCTTGAAAATTGAGCTCTTTGTTAGAAGCAAAAAGAACTCCAGTTCCAAAAGTACCGGTATCTCTTTAATCGCTAATAAAACTTTTTGGAAGCTCCAAAAATTATTGTGCATTTTTAGAGTACTGAAACTGATACAATTCTAACTTGCCCCATTTGAGGCTTTACTGTATTTATACTGAGCACAATCCAGTCACACTTAAGCATTTTCAAATCCTAATCATTTTGACAGAAGACTTAAGCATGTGTCTAATACTGTTCCACTGAAATGAATGATTACTTAAGAGTGCAATACTGTACTATATGCACCTGCCTGGATGTAAGGTTATATTGAGATCAGAATAGAAATGCACTGTTAAAAATGTTTAACTGGCTGGATCATGCCCATATTCTTATGTTATATCATCCAGAAGCAGGTTCACTTGAATCCAACAACATATGTAGCTAAAATGAAAACATTGTGTTTTTAACACTACCTTGTGATGCCAATGTAGCCTACTTCCTGTTTTGAATAGTTATTTACTAAAGAAATCCCAACATCTTGTAATGATATAATGATTTCTTGTTCTGCCAGTTCAGCTTTTTCACTTTCATATGTTAGTTTGAAAACTTTTTCATCTTGAGTGAACAGAATAATTCGCTGCAAGCCTTCAAAAAATGAAACTAAATAAATAGTTTTGCTTCCCACTTGGATAGGTGTCATCAAGTCCTAAAATGGAAGACAAGCAACATGTTCATTTTCAAGACAACAGTCTCCGGAAAATCCTTTTATTCACCAAGGATTCTGCAGTTTACTGATACCATACACTGAGAGACTGCTTGGTTACTGTGATTGTTTTTCTTTGTATTTTACTCTGTTAATTCATTGTGAGGTGCTTTTATTTTCCTTTAATATCTTATTTTCTGAAGTTGGATTTTACTCTTGTAAACTGTGTTTAGATTTGTATGAAGGGTGGGTATAAAAATATTTGAAATTAATATATTTGCAAGTTTGGATACACTTACAATCTTTTCAAAAATGGTTCTGGCTTATCTCCATCTACTGTTAGGTATCAGCTGCTGCAATCCACATCTGACACAGCTACTGGTTATCAGCGCCCAACATGGCCCCAAATCAATCTGTACACAACCAAAATTATGTCACTTGATCCAGATGAGGCCTTAACTATGCATCCAATAAAGAAAGTGTGGTTTCAACCAGCTACAAACAAAGCTCCCAATTAGCTGGGAATCTTGTATAACCTTGTAGGTCAGGTTAGAGCTAATCCTGTGTAAGTCACTGCAAACCATCTTACAACAAAAGGTATAGCCCAGATCCAATTGAGTCATGGATTTTGTCTGTAGTTGCTGGATCTTTGCTCCTGACTACGCCAAAACATTTTAAGTATTAGATTCTTTGACTGTTAATAAACAACACTGATTTGAGCGTTATTAATAGTAGCATACATACATCTTTCTGAGTTACTTCCCCATTGCTCTTTCCACATTTCCATTTCAATATTCTAGACCCTACAGGATCAGCCCATGTGTACAGAACTGCTTTATTAGGGGACAGAACATCTTCCATTGCATAGTGAGAACTGCAACAAAAAACAAGAAAAACATAGTAAATCACAATACTAGAAAGAGAAAGGTTATAGGAGGGAACAGTAAAGAAGTAGAAATAAAGTTCTGTTGAAGTTAAAAACACTTAGCTGACACAGAAGGTCAGAGAGAGCCGGGAGAAAATGACCTGATCCATCAGGAAGGAGAGAAAGAACTGAAGGGGACTGTGCCTGCCTCCCAGAGTTCTTTGCTCTCCTGCCTCTGTCACATGACGAGGGTCATAACCCAACCCATTCAGGTCCTCAGTAACCGTTGTCAAATTTCTAGACTACTTGAAGGATGATTTTTTCCTGCATATTTTTCCTGCCAGTCCTTGAGATCTTCATTGAAGACACTTCCTCAGGCTACTCAGACAAGTGATGTGAGTTGAGTAGCAACTATGGACCTTTAGGCACCAAATGAAAACCTTTTTGCTTTCCCAGGTACAGTGGTGCCTCGCAAGACGAAATTAATTCGTTCCGCGAGTTTTGTCGTCTTGCGATTTTTTTCGTCTTGCGAAGCACGGTGTCGGGAAAGTTTTGGAAAAGCTTCAAAAATACCAAAGTCTTTAAAAACCTCAAAAAAGGCTACCATACTGCGTTCTATGAGTTGCTCCTCGAAGTCAAGTCGCAACTGTATTAACGGTGTTAAGAAAAAGGAAACAAACTTGCAAGACGTTTCCGTCTTGCGAAGCAAGCCCATAGGGAAAATCGTCTTGCGAAGCAGCTCAAAAAACAAAAAACCCTTTCGTCTAGCGAGTTTTTTGTCTTGCGAGGCATTCGTCTTGCGAGGTACCACTGTATAATATTAATTATAATATCTATTTTAGTGGTTTTAGCTTCTTACACCAAGTTATTTCCTATGCTTGCTAGATGTTGGCCTAAACTGCTCTGTTCATAGAGGTTTTAGCCGTTTTAATTTATTTAACATTGGTTTTAGTGTTTGTTTGTTTTTGTCGTTTAAAACAGTGTTACACTTTGTAACGGTAATGGTCTGTAAACTGCCTATATAATTGTTTTCTCGGTTATATGGGCAGTATAGAAATGTAACAAATGTACAATAGGTTCTCCCTAGAAGTTTAACCTTCGCTTTTTGAATGGAATTCAAAAACCAGCATGCGTAAAGTGCCTGGGACTGGGGAAGATTGTTGAATTAGGTTCAGATGTTAAAAGCCATCAGAGACAGAACCACCTTCTCAAGTATCCTGTGGTCTTCTCTTGCTTTGCTAAATTGAACAAAGAACTTCTTTAAGATACCCAATACCTGTTTGGCAGTGAAGAACTAGTAAGATAATACAGGAAAGAATTTGTATTATTGATTACCAGTATTTACTCAGATAGAATCATAGAACTGTATAGCTGGAAGGGACCATTAAGGTCATTAGTTCAATCCCCTGCAATGCAGGAATTTTTTACCCAACGCAAGGCTCGAACCAACAACCGTAGGATTAAGAGTTTCATGCTCTACCAAGACTTGAGTTATCCAGCTGCAACTATGTGACAAAACCCTACAGTGTTCTGTGTTCTATAGAATTAGAAGGAAATCTTGTATATCATGTGAATAAATTCTCTTTATTTGAATTAGGTTTTAATGGGCATTGTGTAATAAATATATTTCCATACCTCTGACATATGTAGTACCTGTATCTGACCCTACCAGGTTCTTGGTAAGTTAAAGATTCAGAGGAAATAAGTGAGACTGGTGGCAGTGGTGTGAGTTTAGGGGAACCACTGGAGAAGGAGCTGTGTTTTGTTATTGTAGAATAAATAAACCAACCCCCCCTACCTTCACCACACATACCTTTGCCCGTATTCAATAATTTCTTCTTTGGTATGGTTAATTATCAGGAAGGGAGCTGCACCATCATGATAATTAGAGAATGTAATTGCTGTTGAATGTTCAGCTGGTGTAACATCCACAATAATGCCTCCAAGCTATCAGATATGAAAACAGTGCATTAAAATTGATTTTATTCATTAGTCTAATTTATTATCACAACAATTATGTTAGTTCTAAAAGCTGAATTAGTTTGGCATATTTTGCTCATTTAAAAGTATTCATTTGATTTCTTTATATGGAGCTGGTTGTTAGCCAAGGGAAGGACTTCCGGCAGTGCCAACGGAACATCCCCTTTCTCTCTTCTTCCTGTTCACCACTGCACCTTCCTTAAAACTGTTCTGGAAGTTCCCCCAACTCTCTGGTGCAAATTTGGAGCAGGTGCACAGGAAGAGGAGAAAGGAGAAATGAAATGAAATGTAACTGAAATGTACTAATTGAATGACAGTCGTACCTTGGTTCTCAAACAGAATGCGTTCTGGGAGTCTCTTCGACTCCTGAAACCGTTCAAAAACCAAGGCACAGCTTCCAATTGGCTACAGGAGCATCCTGCAGCCAATCAGAAGCTGTGCTGGATGTTTGGCTTCCGAAAATCAGAACACTCACTTCCAGGTTTCAATCGTTCAGGAGCTGATTTGTTCAGGAGCCAAGGCATTTGAGATCCAAGGTACGACTGTACTTTGTTGGCTTCCACTCCAAGTTAGTTAGTTGTTGGATTAAACTCCAAGATAGTTGCACTTAGTTTCCAGTGAAATCAATATGAAAAGATAGGTTATCATGACTAACTTACGTCTCAGTTGTTTCAATGGGAGCTAAATGCAACTATCTTGGGGTGGAATTGGGATCAAACTCATGGCAATCCCCTTCAATTCTATGCATTTTGGATAGAGGAAAAAGGTAGAACATGCATTTAAAAGTTATGTAGCTAGTAAATTATGCTACTCACCCTGTTGTCTAAATGTAGCAGCAAACAATTTTCTTGCTTATCAAACCGTATAATTTTTGGTGGAATGTCAGAATGTTCTACTCTAACACGTAACTTGCTTTCATTTTTTTCAGGCCAAAAAGGAGTGCACTGGGGAAGAAAAGGATAAATACATGATTTTGTAAGGATACACATAATGGAAAATAAAGAGCAGCCTCCAAAAATCAACGCTTTATCTTTTTTACCTTAATATTAAGTAATTTTAAGGATTGTGATTCTATTACTAAACATCATTTGGACATGGGAGATGAAACAATTATTTTAAATTTCAACTACACTTTCAGCTTTAGAAATCTGCATGGATCTGTTCTTTAGAAGATGAGTAAAATTAGTAAGAATAAGGTAAAAACAAATGAGAAGGTAGACAGAGATAAATTCCATTCTCATGGAGCAGCTTATGCCTGGCATTTTGCTGCACAGGCTAGTACCATAAAACTAGAAGAAAACTACAAGAACACTAAAGTAAAAAATGTGGCATACTCACTCAGGCTTTCAGAAGCAAAGGGCATTGCCCTCAATCAAAGACTACATTTAATACTATTTGTATAAATATGTGGACTGTAACTATACTGAAATGGCCATTTTAAGAATTGTTTACTCTCCGATGCTAACTCACTTTGAATGTCTCCCACAAAACAGTCAAAATTTGCACTACTGCAATCACATCATCTCTGTTCTTCCACTGTATCACCTTGGTACCCTGAAATCGATCCAACTTTACTGACAAAATTATTCATCGCTCTTGTAATTCCAACTGCACAAATCCTCTACTTAAATCTCTAATCCTGTCTACTCCAGGATCCTACAAAACAATCTTGTCTCACTTTCAAAACCCCAACTGGCCTCACCCCAGCTCTCCAGCTCTTCACTTTCTTATCCCATCAGAAACCTTTGTTCATCCAGCTTAATCACCCTCAGCTCCCTCAACCCCATCCCTTGTTCTGTGCAGTCCACTGTGGCTGGAAGAACCCCCTAGAATGCCTTTGTGAGGCTACCTCTTAAACATTCAAATCTCTCCTCAGACCTCAGCTTTCCTTCAAAGCCTTTGGTAAATAGCCGAATAACATGAGGTAGTCAATATGATGCCCTTCAAATGCTGTTGGATTTCAGTTCTTGTCATTCATGACCACTGGTCATGATTGCTGGGGCTGATGTGAGGCATAGTTCAACATTATCTGAAGCCATGTTGGCTACCTCTGTTCCACGGTAACTAGTGTAAGAACATGTAATAGAAATAATAAATTATTATTCTCTTGTTTACCCCTCCATCAATTTCCTTTCCCTTCCTTTGCTGCCTTCTTTGTGTGCATTTTTAAATTGTATGTGCTACGGGCAACAGACCTATTCCATCCTTTTAGGAAATCATCATGTACACAAATGGTGCAATAACAACAAGAGCCTTGATAAGTATGTGCTTACTTGGAGAAATGTAGTGACTTGGCAAGCACAACTATGATTTAGCCGAGGTTAAGTACCATTAAATACCTCAATTTCACCCATTTAACTTAGTTCAGTGGAACATAGTACTTAAGTTTGACCAGACTGTTTTCATGTTTAGTTGCAATTTTAATTAGCCTGATATTTCTTTTCCCCTCAAACACTGCATTCATAGGAATTGCTGCCAATTACAGTAGTCATCACTTCCCATTTCCACACACTAATTTTGCTCAAGTGAGTACATTGTCAAGAAGGGTCAGGACGGCTTGCAGAGACAACCAGTGGATTGAGCCTATTAACCCTTAGTTAATTTCTGATGTGTGAGAATGAATACATTAATGTCATTCTTTAGAGATGAACAAAATGGTACCAACACTTTGTTACAAATTGTTGCTTTAAAAAAAAGGTGGGGAGGGAGAACAAATGAACTGAAAATTAACCAAGGCTACAGAATCCTATATTGATGTTGATGAAAACTTGTCGTTTAGTCGTGTCCGACTCTTCGTGACCCCATGGACCAGAGCATGCCAGGCACTCCTCTGTCTTCCACTGCCTCCCACAGTTTGGTCAAACTCATGTTAGTAGCTAATGAAGACTAAGACAGAATAAATGTTGCTATTAACGTAAGCTACTGACAGGGTGCTATATACAGTTTGTAGTGCAACTGTTTCCTTTGCTGTGTATAGCAAAGGAAATAGATAGGCAAAGAAAAAAGGATTTTAAACCTTCTATTATTTTTAAGCTTGCATAGTATAGTTCAGAATCAGACAACTTTAGAATGAGCAGCACCTTATGTGGTGAACTGTGTGTGTGATGGGAAGAAGAAATGATTTACAAGTGCCCCAGATACTAGAAGAAATTCAAAATAAAAAAGATCCCAAAAGACTTACCTGCTGGGAAATTATTGGTATCCACTTTTCACTGTCCTCTTCAGCTACTTCTAAAGTATGCATACTTCTGTTTGTGATCATAAAAAAAGGCGTGAAAGTCACTATTCTAGTGATGTTGAAACTGCTGTTATGTATAGTGACACCAACCTGGGAAAGACAAAAAATGTTTAGTGTACATCAGTCTCATTACTATTAAGGGTGCCCCCAAACTGTATGTGTGTAGTTATTGTTGTTTGCACAATCTGTGAACTTTTTTGCAAGAAAAATTGGGGGATACAATTCACACTGCATTCTACAGATCAATGCAAATTCTGTCATAAACATCCATATGATGAGCTCCCCAACACCACTTGGAGCAAATGAACATATATTTAACCACATGAAACTGCCTTACACCGAAGCATAACACTGGTCCATCTAGCTCATTATTGTCAGTACTGACTATACTGACTAGCAGAAACTTTCCAGGGCTTCAAGCATGATTCTGAGGGAGCACACAAAGGTAATCACACTAAGAGACAATTTCATCCGAAAATACAGAGACCAACAACTAGGGAGGAAGCAGTTGCACAAACAAGTAACTCAGAAAAAACACTCCAAAAAGCAAATGCCTGAGATAGAAGAAGCCAGAAAGGCAGCACAAGCTAGAAGGGAGACTGCTTTGGACAAAGACAAGAACAAACTGCCACTCCAGAGGTAAGAGACAGATCAGCTTCCTTTGAGTGAGGTTTCCTGCCTTTGAGCACTAGGAGGAACAGAATTCTGATTTCTCATTCAATGGTGAGGGGAGAATTTTGAGCACGTTTTGATTTAGTATGTTTAACAATGCACTGTCTGTGTCCCTCTGCTGTTCATTTTTCTCTGAAGACTCCTGAATTTCATCCACATTTTGGGGGTGGGAGTAGTCAGTCACAAAACGGAGTCTTGTATATATTCAGCCCAAAGGTCTCCGTTTGCCACTCCGTGGACCAGGAGAAAAGGCAGGCAAAAGCCTCACGCCAAACTTAGTTTGCCACACCATGGAGCAGGAGTGGGGGGGGGGGAGGAAACAGAAGCTACACTCTCTCTCCTTGTCACAGCCGCCAACTAGGAGGATGAGGACGAGGGGCAGGCACTCCATCGCTGCCAGGCTTCAAGATCAAAGGCTAAGAGAAGCAGGCAGGCAGGGACGTAACAGGGACACTCACTCCGTTGCCGGTGTAAAAACAGCAATCCGGGAGGAGGTGGCCAAGTTGTTTTTAAATCAGGGCAGGAGAACGCAAACACCACACCACCCGTCACACAAGTAGCGCACACACACCAAAACGAAAGACAGAAATACAGTTGTGACCCCAGAAAAATGGCAGTGGCCGCAGAGGCTGCTGAGGGAAAGAAAAAGAGCGCACTGGCAGTGGGCCGCTGCGCCTGAAGGCGGGAACGGCCATTGGTGCTGCAGCAAGGGCACCAGTTCTGGAAAATTTATCAATGTAAGTAAACAACTAAGGAATAAAAGAAAGGGGGCATATAAGCAGAACAACCAAATGTAAAGAAAACGGAAAGGGGTTTTTTTTTGGGGGGGGGCACAACGCACAAAGAACTGTAAAACTAAAACGATTAAGGTAAATCTAAAGAAAAAAAGGGGGTTCAGAAACTAGTAAAAAACTTAGCTGAATCGGGAGAGCTGGGAGGAATGTACTGTCTGCATCTAGACAGGAGGAAAAACTGAGTCCAGCCTGCTTCCCGCAAGTCTTTGCTCCTGTCGAGTGTCTTGCGACAGGATGAACAGCCTTTCCACTGGATATGATGCCCCACAAACTAAAACATCTCGCCCAGTTCATGCAGGTGGCCAATGGTAAGAGAGCTGGTGATGTGCTTAGATGATGCCAATGCTACAATGCTCCAAAGACGGTCAGAATATTGGGCAAGCAGTAAAGAATGGATGGGAGAGGGACAAACCCAGCTTTTACAATGCTAGCCTTAGTTTGATCTTTGATGGAATAACTTGTGGTTTGTTTGTAGACTGTTAAAGAAATCATTTATCACACGTCATAACTTAGCATGGCTTTTCTTTCAATTAAACATGCACAGAATTATGCCTACAATGTATTTAACAGTATTAGTTAAACCAACTCACTTGGTAATCGTTTATGTTGCCCTTACATTTAACGAAACCATGACTGCCAACAGTATCCAGAGAAAAGTGATCAGAAAGTTCACTGTCTGTCACCATAAGCTGAACCTGGAAGGAGAACATTTGTTATGCTCACTTCATTACAAATGAAATTTAAAGCAAGGAAAAATACACTGGCTGTCATTTGAAAATGAATAATAGATGGCAGCAACTGGGACCTACATGCTCCTGACTAGTGTACCAGCCAGCCATGTCCTCTCATTCAGGACATTCAATTTCATTCTCCCTGGTGTTCTGCTGACACCACAAAAGACACCAGCATTCTGTGAGCGCTGAGCATGGTCAAGTCCTCATTGGGTTCCTTGAGTACCCCACTTTGCGCCCTAAGGGTTTTATGTACTTCTGCAAACCTTGGAGTTCCTCTATTATGATATTTCTCTCTTGTTTCTTAGTGGCTGTCATAATGAGCATCAGAGTTCACGCTTAACATACTGTATACGTAGTAACTATTATCTTCCAAATACAAGAACAGTTCAAGAGAATCTTTTCATCTTAAACCCTTCATTATGCACAATAGATAGGTTTTTCTTGACTGGGAATAACTATGCATTTATTAATGACAATATTATCTAGCATCTTCTCTTTTAAAATCTTCTTGCAAAAATCCCCACTACCCAACTTATAAATATACGAAAGTAATAATATCACTTTTTAGTAGGAATAGAGAGCACAATATATCGTTTGAAATATACTGATGTATTCTATCATTAGTTTGTATTGCATGATAATAAGTTGAGGTAATAAAAGGAAAAATTAAGCTTTTCCTTTTCCCTGCACAGGAAAAATTGGGTGCCCTCCAGATGTTGTTTGGACCTCAAATGACATTATTCCTGAGTACTGGTGAAGCTGACTGGGGCTATGGGATTTGGAGTCAAACATCTAGAAGGCATCATGTTGACCAGTCCTGGAATACTATATTGAGAGCTTAATGCATTGTATAACTTATTTTGACTCTGGAGATATTTAATTTTCTGAGATTTAAAACAGTACCTTGTTGTTATGGTAAAAGTGTTTTGGTTGGAAAGAAAAAAGAAGTGGCATCTTGTAATCAGGTGGATGTTTGCGATGAATGCCATCAGCTTTGTACTGCAACATTCGACCAGTCTTATTTACCATCCAGTATGGACTGTGAATTGCTATAATCACTTGTCCCGTGGCATAGGTTATGTGCACAGCAATATCCAGTTCTGTCCTGTCAACGTCAGTGATGCATGAGAATGTGATGAAACTAATTTCTTGCTGATTCATTCGAATGTAGTATTCAGCAGTCCAATTTTTACCAAGATAATTAAGTAAACGTAATTGCAGCTTGCTCTGATCTAATACTGCGTTATGAATCTGAGTTGAACATCCATTTTCTAGAGTATGGCAGGCTGTACTGTGTCCCTTTGAAAGAAAAGTTCAAAGATATGGTCAATATAGTCCTTAATTCAATAACAATTTTTATTCAAATACAACACACATGGGGGAATGATCAATTATTTATCATTAGCTTCAACTATGTTTGAAAAGCCACAATAACAATGATATTGGTAACCATGTCATGTGTTCAGGTTTTTCCTTTGGACACCATGACGTATCTTTCATATCTTTCTTGTTGGTATCTATCCTCCCAATTATACAGTCGTACCTCGGCTCCCGAACGCCTTAGGAGTCAAATTCATATGTTCCTGCCTGTTGTAGGCTGTGGGCGGCGGGGGGGGGGGGGGTTTACCCCATTGTCTTGGATGCCTCCTGCATGCAACCAGGTAAATCAAACTGTACACTAACGGTGGATATGAACCAGTTAGAAAGGAGGATTGTTAAGAAAGATTAGGCACTCCAAAGTCAATTTTGTACCCTTGGAAGATAGTAACTGAATTCTAGACAAGAGATAGAACATTTTAGGATATCACCAGAATGCTTTATATTTATGAAACATGCACTGTGATGTTCCAGACAATAAAATAGTATTTATATATACTTAGAAGAATTGGAAAACAAAAATTAGAGAAAACTACCTCTAAGGAATAAGCAATCTGATATGGAAGAAGATTGCGGAGAAGAACAGAAGGCCATAAATGAACAACATATGGTAAATCCCACTGATCATCTATACAAACTGAAGATATCAGAGTATCTTGCATTGGAACAATATTGATGATGAGTGGGTGGTTAGGTGATTTTGTAGGCTGACATTTCTTCTGCAACACTTTGCCAAAATTCTTCACCATTTCATCAAAGCTAACTCCTTCACTTGATGCATACTCTCCGGAAGTTCCGCCTTCATCAGCTACTGGTCGAAGAAACAGTAGCGCTCTGTAAATGAGCACACCAATTATTATCCTCATTTCACTTTCCAGTTGAAAACATTCAGTGTGACACAATGACTCATTTAGATAGCATGTTTACAAGTTCTGCTGAAGTTAGTTATTATGTCAATGAAACATTCAAGAAATTAATAAAGAAATATTTACAAGAAATAAATAAAACAATCACAATCAATTTGAACCACATACCGGTAGTTGCTTGACAGAACTTTTAGCAGGTTGATTTGACAGGCATGTAGCACTTGTAGAAGCAGCCATAAAAACTTGTCAATTTAAAAGCGATAAAAGGAATACATCACTGAATGCTAAAATGTATTCTCCAGACACCTAAAAATTCTTTCAACAAGCTTTTTAGGTTAAGATCTTTCCCAGTGTCCAATACTTTCCAGAATCAGAATTGTTTTAAGATGTTTTTATTGTTTTACTTGTTTACCACCCTGGTCCTATTTGGAGGAAAGGTGTGATATAACTGTAATAAATACATACATAAAATAATCTGCAACTGAAATCTGTGAAAATTTGACTAGTGGTGTCCTATAGTGAACTTTGACCACTTTCATACAACTGTTATCAAGGCACAGGCAGTTGTTTTTCTTTCTGCAACCTTGGCTGCTCACACAGGAAAAGGAGGAACACATGCTTTCATAGGAAGGTCACTGTGAGATCATTTGCTTTACTATCTTCCTTCCTGAGCTGCTCCAGTAATTTCAATGATTTTGTGCATTAAAATAAGCTCAAGCATCAGGAGAGAGTAGTCACAGTGCCAGTTTAAAGACCGCAATACTGACTGACACCAGCTTGTCAGTAAGCAAGTAAATCCACAAACTCAGATTTGGATGCAATGCTAACCCAATTCATGTTTTATCCATGCATAAAATGTTAACAGCAGGGCTTGAGGAAGATTTCAGTGGCTGTGATAGTTGCTCCAGGAACACGCACATTTGTTTGACAAGTTAGTTCAACTTCTCCATAGGTATGCATTGAAGAGATCGATCATTTCAATAAATCCATAAGTGAGTGGGTAATATTAAAGTGGAATCAAACTAGTGAGAATGTGAAACTTCAACCATGTTCTGTTTGGAAAGAATAAATTATGAGGAAGGCAGCATACCAATAAACAGTCAGTTTATCTATAGAATATTGCTGAAGCAATAGTATTAAACTATAACTATATATATTTTAAATTAGCTGGATGGTCAGCATTCATAAAATATCTAATGAAGTGAGAAAAATAAAAAAGGAAATTAAAAATCACCTGTAAGAGGTCAATGGTATGTTAAATTCATCCTCTGGTAGAGCCATTCCTAAACATTTTCCATCTTCAAATATTCTCAAGGGAATTGAAAAATGATTCTTTATCTATATGGAAAAACAACAGTGCGTATTATAAAATGTGTGTCTCTTTTCACACTAATAAGCAAAGACCACCGCCAACAGAGGGCCTATTCAACTGTGCAAGAAGGCAAAAGGGTACTGCTCTCTTAAAGCTCTGTGCTACTTTAGTATGTGTGTGTTTGTTGGGTTGAAAGCACCTCTATATCAAAATGTATCTGCACATAGCAAATATATCCTTACTCAGCCAGGCAATAGGATGAAAATGAAACTCTTGCTAATCTAGGTGGGGGAAAAACCTTTAATTTATGAACTCTGGGGCATCATGTTTAGTGAGCAAAGCTTACCTGAATAGGAGAATGCACTGTTATCATCTTGCTCCCCTCAGTGGTGTCAATTTGGCAAACTACAGATCTCACAACACCAGAGTCATTGTGTCTTACTCTGTAAAGACTTCGTCCCACTTTTGTCAGAGGAATCTTTTCTGTAGTGGAGTGGTTCTGAGGAGCTAGAAACAGAAGGCAATACACTGACTTGTATTGAAATGAAACTGCTGAAAACAACCTGAAAATGAACTGGCAAGCAAGCAGAGGTATCTATTTCTCTGAATTTGATGCATTTTCAGCTTTCATAAGTTAGGGGGCAGCAAACTCCCACTAGATGGACTTTCATCCAGAGAAAAATATAGGCTGAAGTGAATGGACTGAGGTCTTTTTAAAGTTTTTTTTTTAATTCATTTTCTTCTTAGCTCTATACTCACACCAGTGCTAACCCAGTGCTTTTTGTGAAATATTCTGTCCTTGTATTTGAAAGGATAGCTATTCACCTGTGCTGTTGCTATTTTTAAAAAATCAAATCCGTGGCCACCTGTACTAGAAAGAAGAGCACCCTGCCTTGAAAAATAAAATTTGAAAATATCAACATGTCCATTAAAGGTGGGGTATTGTTGTGGGGAAAGTAGATAACATTTCCTATGTTCACTAATTTGTGCTAGATGCTAACACTTAGTCCGTTTCCTGTTGTGTTAAAATTCCCAAAGCAAATTGCCCCTCAACTTGCTAACATACTCCTTTCACTTCAATCCAATTCTAGCTGTGCTTAGAAAAATACAAATCAAGAGATTCAATCACAGATCTCCAAAGTAAAATGTAATTTGTTCCTGGCATACATATGAATGTTCACTGAACTATCTGGGGGAGGATAGTCTGTTAGTGAACAATATGTTTGCTTGGATTAAAAAACATTATATCCAATGACGTAATATAGAGACAGGCCACATAAGTAGACATAATGTCCTTAAGAAGTTTATTTCAAAATTAAAATGTACTTTTTAAAGTAAGCTGTTAGTTATTACTTCATCACTATGCCTAATGCAGAGCCATGCAGCTTGAACAAGCTGTGGGTGTAAAGGAAGCATTGGGAACATGCTCCAAGTGGACTCTTGATTTTTCCTTTCTGGTGTAATTTAGCACTTTTTGAATTTGGTGCCTTTTCCTCTCACCACAGAATTCAAAAGACACCAAATTTTACCAGTGGCTGGAAGGGAAGAATCAGGAGTGAACTTACGAGTGTGTTCCCAATTCTACTTTTAAATTTGGCCCTGGTTATAGGCATGAATAGACAGGCCCGGCAGGCTTAATAAGGTTTGTGGACTGGAATTTCCACTGCTGACCTAACACTAAGCAAAGTTTATTTATTTATAGAGACCAAATAATACATACTATGCCTACTTACTGAGCCAGATGTAGAATACTCTGCTGCTTAGGGTAGTCATTGCTGTAAACTGGTCTTGATCACTTTTAGTTCTGACATACTCCATACTTAGACTTTGCCCATCTTCAAGATGAAATGAATTCCCCTTTGAGTCAACATTAAGAACATTGAAGGAGTCACTAGGCAAGACAGTGGTGGGGACTCCTAAGGAATTCATTAATACAAAGGGGGCCTGGTCTTTTTTGGAGATTTCTGAAGTTTGTGAAGCTGCTTCTGCAAATGCCTAGCCAAAAAAAGAGATGTGAAATAATGAATTAACTAACAACCTTTTTTAAAAAAAAGAACGACCTGAAGAGCAGGTTCGTAAGATAGATGATGAACACACTGGATGGGGTAACTCGCTCATCACGTGACAGAGGAGATTGAGCCTGCCTCCCACAATTCTGTGCTCCTGCCTCCGTCACGTGATGAGGGAATTACCCAATCCAGTGCCTTCATTGTCTACCACAGTAAATTGAACATACTACTTTATTTAGGTCACAGATGCAAATCAAAGTCTTATTACCGTGCCGAGGTTACTCAACATTAGTAGACCACATTTGGACAATGTAATGTTCAGCTGATCTTGAGAAAAAATAGTTATTACTGTCTTGTACTCTGGGACTTTGTATTGTTCTTCTTCAGCAACTGATTCAACTAAAGTTTTCTTGGCTTTCTTCTTCATCTTTAACAGAAAAAGGGGAGGGGAAGAGAGGAGAAATTAATACTAGATGCAGAAAGCTGATGATGCCATTTAGAACATTTGCAATATGGGCACAGCAATCCAGACTCTTGGTATGTTGGATACAATGAAGGTGCCCCTCTACCTGCTTTTGCTGAGCCTCAGAGGTGTGGGTGTGTGTGTGTGTTTGTGTGTGTGTGTGTGTGCGCGTGCTCTAGTGGCATAAAGGGCTCCGTTGCGCACACTGAAAATGTGGGCAGGCAGAAGCTGTTCTCTCTTCCATGGCTATGAGTTTGAAATTAAGTCCATACATAACTTTTCAAGTATCTGTTTGCAGATGGGTAGCCGTGTTGGTCTGCCATAGTCAAAACAAAAAAAATTCCTTCCAGTAGCACCTTAAAGACCAACTAAGTTAGTTCTTGGTATGAGCTTTCGTGTGCATGCACACTTCTTCAGATACACTGAAACAGAAGTTGCCAGATCCTTCTATATAGTGAGAAGGTGGGGAGGGGTATTACTCAGAGGGGGGTGGGAATGGGTGATTGGCAGATGGCTGTGATGAGCTTGTTGACGACTCTTAAGGACGGCAATAGGTCTTACAGGAAAAAGCAAGGGGTGAGAAGGTGAAAAATGGCTTTGTCATGTATAGTGAGATAAGAATCCAATGCCTTTGTTCAGGCCAGGTGTCTCCATGGTTTTAAGTTTGGTAATGATTTGCAATTCAGCAGCTTCTCTTTCCAGTCTATTTCTGAAATTCCTTTGTAGTAAAACAGCTACTTTGAGATCTTGTATAGAATGTCCTGGGAGATTGAAGTGTTCTCCTACTGGTTTCTCTGTCTTGTGATTCTTGATGTCAGATTTATGTCCGTTTATTCTTTGGCGTAAGGTTTGGCCTGTTTGTCCAATATAGAGAACTGAAGGACACTGTTGGCATTTGATGGCATACACAATGTTAGACGATGAGCAATTAAATAGTCCCGAGATGGTATGTGTGATGTTGTTGGGGCCAGTAATGGTGTTGTCCGGGTGGATGTGGCAGCAAAGTTGGCATCTGGGTTTATTGCAGGCTCTGGTGCCAGTGTCCGTGTTAAGTCTGGTTGTAGTATTATTGTGGGTTAGGAGTTGTTTGAGATTGGGTGGCTGTCTGTAGGCAATGAAAGGTCTTCCTCCCAGAGCTTGAGAAAGAGAACTGTCATTGTCCAGGAGAGGTTGTAGATCTCTGATGATGCGTTGTACTGTTTTAACTTGGGAGCTGTATGTGATGACTAGAGGAGTTCTGTTATTTTCTTTTTTGGGTCTGTCTTGCAGCAAGTTCTCTCTGGGTATCAGTCTGGCTCTGTTGATCTGTTGTCTAACTTCACCTGCTGGGTATTTTAGTTCTAAAAAGGTTTGCTGTAGATCTCTTAGGTGAGAGTCTCTGTCTGTAGAATTGGAACAGATACGGCTGTAACGTAGTGCCTGGCTATAAACAATGGACTGTTTGGTATGTTTGGGATGGTGGCTAGAGGCATGTAGATATGTTTGTCGGTCAGTTGGTTTACGGTATAAGGTGGTGTCTATGCGCCCATCCTGTATTTTTATAGTAGTGTCCAAGAAATGTATTTCAAGTATCTGTGAATCCTAAAGACTAAAGATAGTGAAAGAAAAGTGAAAAATACATTAAATAATAGTCTTGCTCATAACCTCAGTTCCAATTAATTAATTTACTAGAAAAGCTCAGCATCTTGACAGGTATGGTATGTGTGGAGAAGCAGAACTAATATTGCAGGGCCCTACTGCATACAGTGTGCAGTGTGTCTACACTACATGAAAGAGGAAGGACAGAATAAAGTATGATAAATACATAATTCCTGAATTGCAGCCTGCAAATGACATGAAGTAGACTGAAGCAGCAAATTTTCAGCATAACTCTTTCCAGCCTAAAACAGAACTAGGTCAGGTTCCTCAGTACATAGTACATAGCAGCTTTAAAACTACTTCAAAGACAGGCATGTGTTTCCCTGTTTTACTTCTTAAGTGAGGATATATTTCTACCCAGTGACATCAGGTACAATACTATTGTTCTCATATTATGAAGAATTTTAAGTACCGTATTTTTTGCTCTATAAGACTCACTTTTCCCCTCCTAAACCGTAAGGGGAAATGTGTGTGCGTCTTATGGAGCGAATGCAGGCTGCGCAGCTATCCCAGAAGCCAGAACAGCAAGAGGGATTGCTGCTTTCACTGCGCAGCGATCCCTCTTGCTGTTCTGGCTTCTGAGATTCAGAATATTTTTTTTCTTGTTTTCCCCCTCCAAAAACTAGGTGCGTCTTATAGAGCAAAAAATACGGTATATGTGTTTGCAGGATCACAAATATGAACTTGTTTATGTCATAACTTGTTTAAATCATTCTGATATGTTATATTGGAAATGAGTAATAAATGGAAATAAATAAATATTTTGAAATATTATATAAAATGGAGAAAAAAGAACATCTATTCAAACATTAAAGTCCATCTATCCTATACCAAAATGAATTTGTATTTCTAAAAGTATACCTTCAATTCTAGAACCCAAGGTCTGAATTCATCAGTGTTTTCAACTTCCAGTGGTTCAAGCAATGGTTCCCAAACACCAAACATCTCATTGTAATAATGTACCTAAAAATACAAAACATAATTAATCTGTACAATGAGTGATATCTATTTGTAGCACGTAATGAAAATGAAAAACATTATTAAAAACTCAATGGACTATTATTGTATGACAATCACTATTCCTATATTATTAATTTGCCCAACTGGAGGAAAAACTTTAGAGAAGCCTTTCAAAAATTTTAATGTTGGTGACACACTGTTTAGACATACATTGTTTCATGATACAGTAATTAAGTTTTAATAGCAAACCGGAAGTTGAACTAATCCCTTTCGAGCCCCAGGAGAAGAATTGGGAGCATTTGTGTGACACACCTACACACTGCAGCCAACACAGTTTGGAAAGCTCTGCTTTAGAGTAACACATTTGGTTTTAATTATATCCCAAAGCACTAAAATATCTTAAGAATAAGTTAATTCTAAAAAGACATTCAGCATTGGCCATGCCTACAGAAGCTTCCCAACCAGGGGCACCGACTCATGGAGGCTGAGCTGTTTTGGGCCCCCTCAATGTGCAGGGTGCTGGTGCTCTGGAACGCGCCACTGTGATCATCCTTCTCCTGACCGCGGTGTGCTTGGGCGCACAGCTTAGTGCAGCGCCCAGCCTCTCACTCATGGGATCACCACCTTGTCATGGTGAATGGGCTTGCACGTTTCTATTATCCCTGTGAGCGAAGCCATCGGGAGTCTCATACTCCCAGTAGGGTCACCCACTGCAGTAAGGTCAAAGGGGAGGAGATAGAAAGAATGATCCAGTAAGTCTTCAATGGCAGAACAGGCAGAAGATAACAAGCGCTATGTGACAACGGCTGTGAAGGCGGATGAAGGATACAGCAGATAAGAATCTACCGGTCATTGTGATACTCATGCCATCGGAATACAGTGGTGCCCCGCAAGACGAACGCCTCGCAAGACGGAAAACCCGCTAGACGAAAGGGTTTTCCGTTTTGGAGGCGCTTCGCAAAACGAATTTCCCTATGGGCTTCCTTCGCAAGACGAAAGCCCATAGGGAAATCTCCGGGACAGCAGGGAAGCGCAGCGCGTCTTCCCCACTGTCCTCGGACCTCCTCCGAAGGCTGGTGGTGGGGCGGAGAGACCTCCTCCCGCCGCCAGCCTTCGGAAGGCTGCTCCGAAGGCTGGCGGCGGGAGGAGGTCTCTCCGCCCCACCGGCAGCCTTCGGAAGGCTGCTCCGAAGCCTGGCGGTGGGGCGGAGAGACCTCCTCCCGCCGCCAGGCTTCAGAAGGATGCTCCGAAGCCAGGCGGTGGGGCGGAGAGACCTTCTCCCCGCGCCAGCCTTCGGATGGCTGTCCTGAAGACTTGCGGTGGGAGGAGGGTTTTCCTTCCCACCGCCAACATTCAGAATGCTGTTCTGAATGTTGGCGGTGGGGAGGAAAAACCCTCCTCCCACCGCAAGCCCCGGGAACAGAGGAGAAGCGCTGCGCCCCTTCCCCTCTGTTCCCGTACCTGTCCTGAAGGCTTGCGGTGGGGAGAAAAGCCCTTCTCCGCACCGCCAGCCTGGCAAGCGGTCTCCATAGGAACGCATTAATTGATTTGCAATGCATTCCTATGGGAAACCGTGCTTCGCAAGACGGAAAACTCGCAAGAAGAAAAAACTTGCGGAACAAATTAATTTCGTCTTGCGAGGCACCACTGTAGCGCCTTACTGTGAAGACTGTGTGTTGATTAGCATGCACTGATCTTCACACATAAAACAAATTCATACATAGGCATTTTCAGGGGCGGAAACCCCACACCCTCCCAATAAGGCGGGGCGCTCTGTTGTACGCCGCAGTGCCCGGTTTTCTCTTGACTGTGCATTGTCACAAGCACATGTCATATGTGCGTGTGAGTCACACGTGTGCCTCACACATGTGACAATGGGCCCTCAATCTTCAGTGCAAGGTGGTGCCACTGTTCCCAACTAAATCCTACCTGTGAAAGCTGGTGGGCGCGTTCACAACACTACACTATATTTCAGGTTATAACCCCAGCTTGATCCCTCCATGTGTTTTCAAGGGGACAAGGAAATATGTGAAAGATACTCTAATGCCATGTTGCCCTAATGCACTGAGACATCACAATGACCTATACAACTGCATGATACCTTGAATCCATTTTTTTCTGGGCAAGGAGGATACGTTGCAATGTGATATCTGAAGGCAGAACTACTCAATACTGTGCTTTAGATTATTCAGTAGCCATCTGGTGCCAAAAGGCTACCAAATTTGAAATGTTGTGGGGAAAGCTGAACTCTTACTAGCAAAGTAGCTAGACAACTATTACACCCAACATGCAAATACTGTTTCTGCGTAGTGGACACAATTCACAAAACAGCTTTAAATGTCTGCCTTTTTCTTCCATAACAGAACAAAACTCTACCCACCTCTAATTCAAGACGAGAAGAGAGATTGATCAGACTACTCCAGTTTCGAACTTCTCCAGAAAATGATGACTTTGCTAATAGCATTGGCACTGTTTTGTGGCCAACCCCAGCTTCAAGGGTTATGACAACAGTTTCAATTCTCATTTTCATAGTCTCTCCTGTGGGGACCAACTCAATTACAGAAGCAGGATCTTTATTTTCACTTGACTCTTCAAGAAACCACATTTTTAGATTTTTAATATTTTTCTGATCCCAAATATCTGGAGGTACTGGACTAATGTCTTTCTCTGTAGTCTCATTTGTTGGGAAGAGTGCTGATGTAATGGTTATTACTGTATTTAAGATAATTGGCGTCACCTAAGTTTAAAAAAAAGATTATTTTCAAATGAAGAACTATGTATTTCTAATTTCACTTAGTGAATCAAGAAATCACTACATATTAGAAGAAATATAAATATAGTATTATTATAGGTATACAAATAGGATTATATGTTTGAAATTGGCAGTGGAAGGACTGAAACAATGTAATACTATTCTCTGAGTAACTTATTTGTTCAGTTTTCCAAGGGACTTCTTAGTCTTATGATGTTTTCAAAACTTGAAAAACAAAAAAGTGTAAGGACATGTATAAAATGGTCTGTAAATGCAAAAAATACCATCTTTTCCCCCAGGGATGAATCCAGACACAATTTTAAATGTACCTTAATTGTGAGGGATTTAATTGATAGATCAGCTTTCTGAGGATCTCCACCTGACTGTATCATCTCAAAGAAGAGGTCACAGGGCTGCAATATCTGGATATAAATCACAATAAATTGAAAAATATAAATTTGCCAGTTAAAAATGCTTTCTAAATGCATAGTGAATATCATATACATTTCCTATGCAAAACAGCAGTCTGTGAAACAAATGCAGGCATCCTAACTTGTAAAAAAATTGACAAATTTCTTTATCTATGGGTAGTTGCCTAGAAGGAAGGGATACAAGCAAATTCTAGGGCTACATAGGCGGCTTCTGAGTTAGACTGAGAATTTTAAAAAAAATATTTTTATTGGTTTTTCCATGTATACATCCTCTAACAATATTTCTCCAAAAATTTTCCATATTTCCCCCCTTCCTGCCCTGGACTTCCCTCATATTCCCATTTTGTTTTATTTCCATATTCCTCACCCTGTGTGTTGTTTCCCAAAATTTTTCTAATATAATCTTACTTTTTGTTATGTTCAATTGTATTTGTTTATTCAAACCCTGCCAGTAAGTCTAATTCTTTATGTTGTTTCTCCATATATGTTATAAATGGTTCCCATTCTCTTTTAAAGTCTTTGTTATCATTTTCATGTAATTTATCTGTTAATTTGAGCTAGACTGAGAATTGAACACGCAGCACCAAACTCATGGTCTGCGATTTGGGTGCAGATTCAGAACAAGTGCAATTCCCGTCAGCACTGCACAGTACAGATGATAAAGTATAATCTTATCTATATTGTAATCAAAGAAGGTTGCACATCTCCACAGAAGTCACAGTGTACAGGTATTGCCCTTACATGTGACCAGTAGCAGTCAGTGGGGTGGTGGTGTTCACCTGACCTCTTATCACTAGCTTCACTGCAGAGTGATGAGGTGCAAATGCAGCAGCAGGACTGCAACATTCTCGCCCCTCCTCAACTGCAGTGATAGGAGGTCAGATAAGGACCACTGAACTATGGGTCATTATAGAAGGTAACTATTGTCTTAAGAGACTCTAATATTACTCATTTACGTTGAATCCTGTTATATACCATAAGCACAGTTTTAATTTACATCTGCATAGCACTGCACATCTTATAATCTTACCGTAGTAATACTGCCCTTTCTCATATCTGGAAGAAAAGGGCAGGCTTTCACCTTTATGTCTTTAACAGCAGCAGTCATTTTATACATTTCAGGGCCATATTTCATGGAGACTTCACACTGTGCTGTAGCCACCAGTGCAGGAGCATCACTTCTTGTTAAATCGGCCACAAATACAATCTCAGGATTTTTAACGACGACATTTATTTCCATTGTGGATACCGGTTGTACAGAAACTAAAAATGCAACATTTAGTACAATTAATCCAATTTTACTTCACAACCATCAATCCATCTCTAGTCTTTGCTTTTAAGTAAAAATGATGATAGATTCCAGTGTTAATATTTTAAGAGCGGCCTTGCTGAATCAGACCAAAGGTCTATCTTGTCCAGCATTCTGTTACCCCCCGTGGCCAAACAAATGCTGGAGTATATGGCCTGTTGCCACAGTGAGTGATCAGTTACCATTAGATCTGGAAAGACCCCCCTCTGCCCAGCAGGGGAGGCTGCACAAGGGATTCTCCTCAAGAAGCCCTTACAGAGTTTGCCCTCCCCTCACTGCAGGAGCATTTCGCCTCTGGTGCCTAAACACCTCGGTGCTGCCCTAGCTGTACTGAGCCCCTCGATAAGATAAAAGGTCACTACACTTACATATCCCAGAAGACGGGCAGTGTGGTGGATTACATCTTTGTGTCATATGTTATTTATTCAAAAATTCAACAATTTTATGTGGAAGGCAGCACAGTCAGTGATCATCTTTCACTGGTGGCCCAGTGAAAACAACGAAGACTCCATTACTATCCACTCAATGAAGTGTGTGTGTATTGGTGATTGGCGCATAAGATGGACACCAACAATGAAATACAATGAATCTCAGAGAATCAGACTATGATGAAATCAAGACTATGATGAAACTGACTGTAACATTAGACAGGTGATGACCTGTCTACACCAGCAAACTTTAGAATGGACTTGGAATATCTGTGAGTTGTATCAGGAGATAACCAGGGAATTCTACCTCCCATCCTAAAACTACTACAATTGTATGGAACTGGTTGATAGGGACTGTAAGCTTAAGAAAAAGGAACTGAACAAATTAACTAGACAAGTTCAATTTGCCAAAACAGATGAGGCCATTTCTCTTTTACAACTGCAACGGTGAGAGTTTAAAACACTGATAAAGGAGGAAAAAAGGGCACATGATGTAAACAGATGGAAATCCTTGTGTCTCGCTCTTATTGATGTAAACAAAGCCAAATTCTGGAACCTAATTCAAGGAGCTTTACAGATAAACCTTTTGAGCCTTTATCTCCCATAACCTGAAATACTGAATACATTAAACTCCTCTATGATATAGAACCCTTTAAATCTCCCTAACTGGTCACCTGTATCCACCACAGAGATTGGAGAATGATTTCATCACTGTGTCCAGGGAAAGCACTGGGTGAAGACATGATTCTCCCCCCCCCCCCCGCCAAGATTTTTTCCTTAGACACAAACTGGTGGTCTCTAATTTTGGTAAAACTATTCAGATATATAAACATGATTGGGGACATTTATCTATGGTGGCGTACCAGCATAGTGGTGCCAATATTCAAGAAAGTAGACCCCTATAATTATAGACCTATTAGCCTTCTGAATGTGACCTCCTAACTATACTCACGCTACCTATTAAATAAAAATCAGTAATGGAACAGTAAACAATTCATTACCCACGATGAACAAGCAGGCTTTAGGAAGGCTAGGAGTACCACATACCAAGTCTTTGTTTGGCACAATCTAATTCGTAAATTTACCAAAAGTCCACATAAGACCCTCTATGCAGCTTTTGCTGACTTCTCCTCAGCCTTTGATTTGTTAGACAGAGAAAGTTGTGGAACAAACTGGCCCAATCAAACATCGAAAAAAGACTTCTCTGTCTTATCCAACAATTATACTGTGAGAACTACATGCAAGTGAGACTGGGCCTACAAGTTGCCCTCTCACGGGCAATTCTGATTAAAATATGTGTTAAGCAGGGCTGCATATTGGCTCCTTTTCTATTTAAATTTTATATATCAACAATCTCATCCCTGAGATGGCATTCCCTTCCTTCTCTCCCTCTCTTGGAAATTGTGGTGTCCATTTTGCTTTATGCTGATGACCTAGTCCTGCTCTCTTTGAACAAGACTGGACTCAGAAGGATGCTGGTCAAATGTGGCCAACTGTGTATAAAAGAACACCTAAAGTTAATTATGCCAAAACTAAGGTTGCTGTATTCAGTAAGAGGGTTACCAAGTCCAAGTGGACATTAGATGGTTACACCCTCAAGCAAGGATAGATTTAAATACTTAGGATTACTTATTGATGAAAAGCTTTCATGTAAACCCCATCTGGATGCAATCAAGCTATTATCTGCCTGCTCTACTGGACAGCTATACAGTTTCTTCCATTTGAAGGCAGGGGGCGGTTAATCAATCCAGTCATCAAGCCCTACGTGTCAAAGATCATTGCACAAATGCTTTATGGGGCTGAGATTTTGGGAAGCGGTATTAAATCCGTACTAGAAGCTCAACAAAACAAATTAATGAGGCAAATAATGGGGCTCCCACCAGGAACACCAGCAGTTCATCTCAGAGCTGAGTTGGGTCTGTCCTTGACAACAGCCAGAATCGATCTAGCCTATCTCAGAAACTGGTGCAGACTAAATGCTTTTGCCATATCCTTACCAAGCTCTGCTGGTTAGAGCAACTAAGGACAGGTGGCTGGGAACAAGAGTGTCATGATAAGCTCAGGGCTTACAATCTCCAAATGGAGAAATATTTAGCCCTCAGTTCATGTGACCTCAGAAACTGGATCTTCAACCAGGATGCCAATCAAGATAGAGCATCCCTTATAGCTGCCCATTATTCTATTTGGTACCCCCCAAATCAAGATCAACCTCTCAAGGTCCCATTACTTTGAGACACTGAATTTCCTGCAGCTGCGTAGGACCTTTGTTGAACTAAGGTTCCAACAGATGCCCTCAGCATATTTAGAGGGGAGATACCTGGGAATTCCCTATATGGAACACGAATGCATTTATGGATGCAATCAGTTCAAGGATATCATGCATTACCTGCTGATGTGCTCCTTATATACAATGCCCAGGTAAAATTCTTAATCATCTATTCTTAACTGCTTCTCAGGCCGACCCCCCCCCCCCAGGAAGTGACAGTCAAACTCTTAGCTGGAAAAGATCTTCAATTTACACATCTGGTAGCAAAAATTTGCTCTGGCAGCTAAGAAGCTCCGTTCTAGATATGCTAATGCTTCCTAATTTTAAAACCTTATGCTGTAAACTTTTACAGGTCATGTTGTGTGATTCCAGAGGAAAGCCTTGTTCTTATCCTCTGCTATACATTGTAAAGGCCTCTGGGTATACACCATACATTGATATTCTATTCTACTAGCCTTTACTGGCTTTGAATAAAGTGTTCTGGATTTACTAATCTGAAATAAAGACTTGTTTTGCTTTAGTTTTCACCATGACAACCACAGATTGGGATTCCAATGCTATGCAGAGGTAAGCCCCACTGGATACAATGGGGTTACTTTCTGGAAAGCAAGTAAAAGTCATCCGTCTTGATTTAATATGGTGTATACACACAGAGAAATTACAAAAGCCTACTAATTTGTTCTCAGACAGCTGGGAGGAAAACAACATTTTTCCCAAAGCCATACTGTCAGGATAAACTACAGCACCACAACAGATTTGTTTTTATCAAACAAAATACTGTTTTTTCTAATTATTCTGAAACTACATAGAGGGAAAGAAGTTTGGAATCCAGGGAGGGGAAAAGGAGCACATGAACAGAGAGAAAGGAACGCTAATGGGATAGAAGAATGGGTCAGCTTCAGGTGTCAGTTGCCAAATAAGATGTGGTTAGACTATATAGTCAGAAACTCACTCTAAATTCAATTCAATTTAAATTAACTATCACATAATTTAGCTATAAAAAGCGAGTTATAGAAAGCTTTAATTTAGCAGTAAAAGACCAGTCCTTTGATGATAGAATCATAGAACTGTAGAGTTGGAAGAGACCCAAAGGATCATTTATTCTAACCCCCTGAAATGCAGGAATTACAGCTACGGAATCCCTGGCAGATGGCCATCCATCCTCTCATTAAAATCCTCCAATGAAGGAGAGTCCACCACTTTCTGAGGCAGTCTGTTTCACTGTTGAACAACTCTTACTGTCAGAAAGTTCCTCCAAATGTTTAAGATCGTTCTCACTATTAAGATGTATATCTCATATTATTTTTATCATACATAAGCCTTGTGGTACTTTAAAAATAAAGACTTAGGTTTTCCTCCAAGATAGATAAAATGTAAAAGTAGAAATACATGAAAATAAAAGGGTTGGGGTGTCATGTGGTGACTTTAACATATACCAAGTTATAACTGAAGGGAGAAATTCAGATAGACGGTGATTCTATTAGGAAAGACAGAAAAGCAACATTTAAGCCTGTATCTACAGTTGTGGAATACTCTTCCAGCAGAGATTTGGCAGACATCCTTGCTTTTGACTTTCATGTGTCCCTTGAAGACCTTTTCATGCTAACAGGCAGGGCTTTTTTTCCAGCTGGAACTCACGAGAACTCAGTTCTGGCTCCTCTCAGGTGGGTGCCATTGCCATGCTAAGAGAACAAGGGAGGCATTCATGATGAGTTCCAGCACCTCTTTTTCTAGAAAAACAGCATTGCTAACAGGCCTTTGCAGCTATTTAAATTGATCAGCTAGTCACTTTAATGATTATGTGTTTTGTTTTTAGTAGTGTTTTATGTTTTACTGTTGTACACCGCCCTGATATTTATGATATGGCAGTACAGAAATACTTATAATTAAGTAGGTTTTCAGTCTGCACCCGCAGTGTCCTCCTGGTACTGATCACTTACCTTGTTCCTTCACAGCCAAAGTTTGCTTGAAGTTTTTCTGTGCAGCAGCACTTTCAGCAGTAGCATTTAGAAATACATCCGCAACAGTAAGAAGAAATTCTATGCTAGCACAAACATATGTCTCATTAACAAATGTGTCAAGAACAGTGTTGCCATCTCTCGCCTGCTTATAAGATATATCCATCATGACTTTCTTTTCAGATTCACGCTTCATTTCTACCATTCTGAAAGAGAAGTTAGTAGAGCAAATACTATAATTAGAAAAGCATTACATTGCCCAAGTGTTCTTAATGACAATAACCACTTTGGTACTAATAAGTGCTGGAAGTTTGCATTCAGCTCAGTTTCTGAGAGGGGTTTGCATGGGTTAATACAGATAAGAGTAGGGGATCTCCAGATTCCCAGACTATCCCTGTAAGTTTATTGCTATGCTGACTTCTCTCTCTCTCTGATGTTTAGATGGATAAATCTTAGGTTGCATCCAGGTTACAACTTCCTGCTCCTCCTCAAATTCCTTCTCTGAACCTAGAGGTGAAAGGAATTTATCTTCTGAGAACAAAGGGGCAAGCATGGCTTCTTTTGTTTCTTTTGTAGATAGCTAGCTTCAACTAGACAGTACAGAACTCCTTCCCTATCAAGAATGTACTTCCTTTAATAAACATAAGCTGTCTTATTTTATACCAAGTCTCAGTCAAAATACCTTTCAGCTAAAGGTGTGCTCCAAGCAAAACTTCAATTAACTAAAGTTAATTTCAGTTGCTGCATACAAACTCTATATACTAACAATATGAAAGTGGGTATGTATTTTATGTACTATCGCTATAGTGTCATAAATTAGAATTTAGCATTATTTTATTTGTTTTTCTTTTGATTTAATAAAATAAAATTGAGGAAAAACCAACCTTGGTGTAGCGTTCTGGACTGTCTGTCGTTTATCATCTAAAGTGCAGTTTGTTAATTTGACTGAGGCATTCATTGACCCATCTGACAACATTTTGACAGCCGCTGATATTAACAACAGTTTAAATTCTGCAAGTTTCAAATGACCATCTCGTTCACCCTGATTTGTAGGCTGCTTTGAAAAGAAAATGCAGAGTTTAATGCATGATATAAAGAAAATGTTTCTACAAAAATACAAATTCTGTTACTGTAATCAGATCAAAACTTAATTAGTAAACCATATAATGTTGGACTGAAAGAATTGCAACCAGAAGGAGTTTACTTAGTAGTGCTGTTTCACAAACTTTTGTGCAAGTGATCTGCACAACATATATGCGGTTGTACCAAAGTATATCATGGCTTCTTGTTCATACAACGGATACACGCAAAGGCTCCATTTGAAAATAAACATTAATGGCCAGGACTTATGAAGAAAACCCTAATGAAAAGTTCCCTATTGGGATATGCTTGCTTTTGTCACAATATAAAAAAACTTGCTAGTTTTAAAACACTTCAATACTCTGTTCACTTTTATTTTTACTGGGACTGTGCCCCTGCTCACTCTGCTATCCTACCTGCTGCCATTCCCTCCATAGTGACCATTTAGCTTGTATTCTGGTGTATTAACAAGAGTGCTGTAATGTTGACCAAGGGCAGGCACCAAGGCACCACCTGTCTCCTTGATCCTTGCTCATCCCGGCTCATAAGAGCAAGCCAGGCAGGACTGAGCAATGGGCACCATGGGGTGGTGAATGCTTCCCTCTGCAAGGGAGTCTTCCTGGGCCCCCTTAAATAAGTGGTTATTAAACCAATTATTGCCTAGTCTCAAACCTTCCATTCCTGAGCAAAGTGATTGAGTGGGTGGACGCTTAACAACTCCAGGCATTCCTGGAGGATGTGGACCATTTGGACCTCTTCCAATTGAGATTCAGGCCAAAAGAACTGAACTACTCATTTCATGCAAAGTATTCCCAGTAACCCCAATTTTTATTTCTGCTCAATTGGCAGCATCTAGCTGCCACTTTAGTACAAACCTATAAAATATTATTTTCCAGGTTTGAAGGTGCAGTTGTTTCCTCCCATATCTCTAGCCAGTTGCAGAAAATCTGGGTCCAACCCACCAAGTTTATTTTATAGAAAAATTATGTTTTCTTTACCTGGTTGGAATTTGGACTGTACAAAACTAGAGTCAGGGAATCAATCTGGAAGTCCAGTTTCAGTACTGTTTTAGTCTTAACTGAGGAACGTGCTTCTACAACAGCAGATGTCACTATTCTTACTCCAGCTATAAACATTAGGAACATAAGACACAATTATAATTACCATAATAAGAAAAAAGAAAAAGTTATAGTCTCTAATGCACTGCATTTTGAAAGAGAAGAAATGTAACTAGATGAATGTAAATAAAACAATTTTGCCATCAATGACCATCACGAGAGCAATAAGTTTGCCAGACTGACAGTTATGAAACACTCTGCTTAACAGAGACTATGGCAGACCAACACGGCTACCTATCTGTAACTGGAACTATGGAAGGCACCACATTGAGCCAACTTAGTTGGTCTTTAAGGTGCTACTGGAAGGAATTTTTTTTGTTTTGACTATGGCAGACCAACACGGCTACCTATCTGTAACTGGAACTATGGAAGGCACCACATTGAGCCAACTTAGTTGGTCTTTAAGGTGCTACTGGAAGGAATTTTTTTTGTTTTGACTATGGCAGACCAACACGGCTACCTATCTGTAACTGGAACTATGGAAGGCACCACATTGAGCCAACTTAGTTGGTCTTTAAGGTCCTACTGGAAGGAATTTTTTTTGTTTTGACTATGGCAGACCAACACGGCTACCTATCTGTAACTGGAACTATGGAAGGCACCACATTGAGCCACTTAGTTGGTCTTTAAGGTGCTACTGGAAGGAATTTTTTTTGTTCTGCTTAACACATCGTTATTCAGTTAACTGATTTTGTATAGGCTATAGGGTTCTTAAGGTTGTTTTCCTTACACACAACAGGTCTAGCCCATACTGGACTCAGGTGGATTTAGTTCCCCCCAATCTTGAAGGAACTTTTAAGCAGCCCATTTCTGGAAGCCAAGCTAGATAAATAAGAAATACACAGCACCCACCCACAAGCAAAACATGTGAACATGGCAGAAAGCTTAGGCACATCTAGTATGTGGCCCTGGGTCTAGGCTAACAGACTTAAACCATGTACAGAAGAACCAGAACTTAAACCATGTACAGAAGAACTGATAGAGAAGGAGCATCCATGGCAAAGAATGAGAATGAAAATTTTGGAATAATTCCATATTGGTCTATAGGAGTAAAAAGGTTAGCAAGTGATGATGCCCACCAATCTGCATACTTTTTTGTGAAGTATAGTTATAAGGGTGTGGGTACTTCAAAGAGCTGTTTTGAGAAGTGCTTTAAGGCAGCTTCCTTGGTTCCAAGTGGGAGCGTTGCTTCTCCTGCAAGCAAGTGAGCAGCAGTGGAGGGGAGGGTAGAGAGACTCTTCCCATCATCCTGCTGCTTCCACTTGCCTGCTTGCCAAAAAGGATATGAAATGTGCTTTAAAAAGCACATTAACTTCAACTCATCTGCTGGTTAGTGGGCATTAAATCCTGATGCCTTGGCTGTGTAATCCTGTTCTTTGCTGGGAGCAGGACACATAGCCATTGCAGGATTAAACCCTGTCCTCCTGCCCATCAGGTGACATCACCAGTGATGTCAGTTGGTTGATAGATAGGTGGGTGTGCAAGGCGAACTGAAACCCCTGGTGCGCCAAGACTGGCCCATAAGATGGAGGTCCTTCACTCCTGATCTAGGACATCATCAAGGCATAAGTGTTGAATGAACAAAGATAGAAGCAGCACAAGATGCCCTTATGGCTAAGACCACTGCCTCATAGGCCCACCATAACCCAACACCTGCCTTACCTTCAGTCAAAGCACAAAACTGGGCTTGAATTAATTATTAAATTCAATCATTTATGGAGAACCAATCTTATTAAATCAATTACAGGAAATAAATCATTTCGAGAAGAAATTACTCTAGGGAAATCAACTGAAGAAATTAATTAAGCATTAGCAAGAGGAAACAATCACAGACTAAAGTGAAGTGATGACTCCAGGAAGGGGGGGAATCCCTTCCCACAAAAGGAGGCAAACACACACAAGCCACACAAAACGAATCACCTGTCCTGAGCACACACAGCTAACAGAAAAATAACACAAGCAAAATCAGAAATGATGGGAAAATGACCAAGCTACTGCCTTGCACAATAACTCAGCAACATAATTGAGGTGGCTTCCTGGAATGGACTAGTTAGAAGTTCCTGAGATGAGAGTATGTTCCTGCCTTTGAGCACTAGAGAGAGGTAAACACACCTGTGCCCAGTGTGTCAGTATGAGAGAAAGAATTTTTGGACCATTAAAAAGGAAGTAAACAATGGATTTCAAAAGAAACTGTCCAAGATGAATGTGAGCAGGCTTCTATATATGAAATATAATATGGCTCTTTCAAAATATAGCAAAAGTGGTGTAACTCTCCATGACGTACCAACTGTAGATGATACTGCTCACCAACCCATTTACAGAATTTTGTCTATGAATTAAATAGTAAAACTATGTAGATCAAGACCCAATGTTGCAAGTGAGTTTTATGTAAGATATTCATTTAAATTCACTCAAAACAAAAAATTATAGTTCATGTAACTATTAAATTAAATTAATAACTTCTTCTATAGGAAAGAGATAATTGAACTGTAGCTTAAGCTTTAAAACACATACCTCCAGAATGCTGGGAAACACTTGCTGTTCCACTATGGATGCTTAGTACATCTTTTTTTTCCGGTACAGGAGGTGGAGGGCCAGAGCTATCCCCTAAATTTTCATTCAGTGTTCTCAAGATAGTTGTTATATCATCCTGACTCAGAATCAGCTTTGAAAAGAAGTTGATTACTCTTAATTGCAGGCTGAGTATATATAACTGTATTAAATGTTACAGGTCCTCTAGAATCAAAAGGTTTTTCCATGTAATAAGGATTATAAATTTATTTTAAGTTTAATAATAATAATAGCAACAACATGTATAGGAGCACCAGCTGCAGACAAGGAGGGCAGAACAGCATCAGTAGTGCTGCATTTGCAGGAGCAAGGATAGAGCAGGGTAGTGACCACTGGGCTGGCAGCACCCTGCAGCTGCCAGGTATGCGTGTGCACTTGCACGTCGCCACCAACCGAGGGCTCCAACATCACCATAATGCCCCATCCTGCCCTGGCAAATGCACCTCCGCCACCACTTCATGCATTGCTACTGCATTGGAGTGGGGGGGGATCAAAATTTATCCCATGTTTACATTCAAATGCTTGTGCAGAGAGAATATTTATTGAATACATAGCAAACTTCAAAATAATAGAAAAATTGAAATTGAGACTCTGCCTCTCCTCATTTCTTAGACTGTTCAAACTATACTTTGCCCTCAAAAGTGAAGGGGTGGGGCAGGTGCACCAGAAACAGATCTTGGGCTCATGTACTCCCTTCCCTGTCCATGGATAAAACTGAAACGGAGTATTGATTTGAATATTTTATCTCTATGGCTCATTTTCCCTGCGATAAAAGGATTAAGGGAGGAAAGAATACAAATATGAAGCACACTTCCAATCTCTCCTTGTAGAATCTGGGACCAAGAATAAGCAAACACTGAAAGATGCACTAATTATTTATTTTGTACTATATACAGAAGTGGTCTGGAAGACCTAATATTTTTGCTTATTTAAATTTGTACCATATATGGAAACCTTGTTTATTTACTATATTTATAATCCACCCTTCACCCAAAGCTCCCGGGGGAACATTAAAACATATACAGTGGTGCCCCGCAAGACGAACGCCTCGCAAGACGGAAAACCCGCTAGACGAAAGGGTTTTCCATTTTGGAGGCGCTTCGCAAAACGAATTTCCCTATGGGCTTCCTTCGCAAGACGAAAGCCCATAGGGAAATCTCCGGGACAGCGGGGAAGCGCAGCGCCTCTTCCCCACTGTCCTCGGACCTCCTCCCGCCGCCAGGCTTCGGAAGGCTGCTCCGAAGCCTGGCGGGGGGGCGGAGAGACCTTCTCCCCGCGCCAGGCTTCGGAAGGCTGCTCCGAAGCCTGGCGGGGGGGCGGAGACCTCCTCCAGCTGCCAGGCTTCGGAGCAGCCTTCCGAAGCCTGGCCGGGGGCGGAGAGGTTTTTTAAAAACCCCGGGACAGCGGGGGACTTCTCCGCTGTCCGGGGCGATTTTAAAATGCTGCCGGGCGGCAGCAGCATTTAAAAAAACCCGGGACAGCGGGTTTAAAATCGCCCCGGGCGGCGCGTTTCTCCGCTGTCCCGGAGGGCTTTTGAAGGCAGGCGGGGGGGGGGGGTAGCAAAGACTTTCGCCCCCCGCCTGCCTTCAGAAGAGGTCCTGGACCTCTTCTGAAGGCGGGCGGGGGGGCAAAAGTCTTTGCTCCCCCCTGCCTGCCTGTCCCGGAGGGCTTTTGAAGGCAGGCGGGGGGGAGAGCAAAGACTTTTGCCCCCCGCCCGCCTTCAGAAGAGGTCCAGGACCTCTTCTGAAGGCAGGCAGGGGGCAAAAGTCTTTGTCCCCCCTGCCTGCCTTCCCAGGGGCTTTTAAATCGCCCCAGACAGCGGAGAAGTCCTCCGCTGTCCCGGGGCGATCTTAAAATGCCGCCCGCCAGCATTTTAAGATTGCCCCGGACAGCGGAGAAGTCCTCCACTGTCCCGGGGTTTTTTAAAATGCTGGGGGTGGGTGGGAAGAAAAGCCCTTGTCCCCCCCCCCCAGCCTTCAGAAGAGGTCGGGGGACAGACTGTCCCCGGACCTGGTCTGAAGTCGGTTTCCATAGGAACGCATTAATTGATTTTCAATGCATTCCTATGGGAAACCGTGCTTCACAAGACGAAAAACTCGCAAGAAGAAAAAACTTGCGGAACGAATTAATTTCGTCTTGCGAGGCACCACTGTACAGCAAACATGAATTCCATGTAAACAAAAAAAACAACAAAAAAAAAACCAGGATCAATAAAAATACAATCCAATACACCTCAACCTACCACAAATGCCTGGATGACAAAACAACAATGTTCATTAAGCAATTAACAAATCTTGATGACCTTTGAGTTGTATTCAAATGTTCTGTTCTATAAACAGATGGAAGAGACTCCTTACATTCACAGAAAGTAACATCTGCAGCAAATCACAAACTATATATATGCTGCTAAATCATAAGATACAAGAAATATTGGGATATATGAAATGACAGGGGTCAAACCTGCATTTAATTCCTATTAATATTGACAATAGTTGCAAGAATATACATCTTTGCAACTAAGAACTTACATTCATTGGCTTGAGACGTCCAAATATTTTAATGTCAGGAATTTCATGATACCAGAGTGCGGCTAAATTGCGTTCAACACTAACTTCAAGATTTAATGGTTGCAGCAGCTGTATTTCATTTTGCAATAAACCACTTATACAACTTGATCTGTAAATAAAAATGAAAAAGTAGTCACAATCCAATTAAGGTTTCTCTTCAACCAGGTGTTTGGCTGATTGACATTCTATGGCCATTTAAATGTGTCTGGGGGAAAGGGGTTATTGGTTTGTTTTGCTTTTGCTTTATTTTGGATTTTGTGTTTTCATGTTGTTTTTTTCATTTTGTGAAACCACCCTGTGATCTTCGGGTGTATAATAATAATGATGATGATGATGATGATGATGATGATAACAACAACAACATTCACAAGGCTGCATTCAAGTTTAATTGCTTTTTAATTATTATTATTTTCTGTTCTTAGACAGTTTCCATTTTAGCTGTAAGCTGCCTTGTGCCTGTTATATTATATAAATATAATATAATATAAATATGAATATAAATATAAATATAAAAATTTAAGACTGCAATATCTGAAAATGGGCTCAGGATTGCAGCTTTGATGAAATAATTCATTTAAGTGTTTTGTACCTGTGTAAACATCCAACAATATACTCTGTGTAGGACAATGCTGGATATTCATTTGGAGTGGGTATATTTTTTATTGATTTGTTTTATTATTGAAAATTCTATCCCATCTTTCAAACAGAAACACAGAGTGGTTTTCAGTACTAAATCTACAAGTACATGAAGCCACTGAATGGCGTCATCTGGAGCTTTGGAGTGTGCTGCCATTAGCATCTTGATGATGCACTGATCTGTTTCTCCTTTTAACCTTCTGCAAGTGAGATGGATGTGCTGATCCAGTGTGCCTGATTCTTGTAATAAACTGAAGTTTTTATTATTTAATTCTTATTTTTTATTAGTATTAACTTATGTACTTGCTTCATGGAGGATATATTATTTTATAAACAGTATACAGTGGTACCTCGGATTAAGTACTTAATTCATTCCAGAGGTCCGTACATAACCTGAAACTGTTCTTAACCTGAAGCACCACTTTAGCTAATGGGGCCGCGCCGCTGGAGCACAATTTTTGTTCTCATCCTGAAGCAAAGTTCTTAACCAGAGGTAATATTTCTGGGTTAGCGGAGTCTGTAACCTGAAGCATATGTAACCTGAAGCGTATGTAACCCGAGGTACCATTGTATACATACAGATACATACATAAAGATGTATACAGTCATACCTCATGATATGTTTGCTTCAGGTTGTGCTTTTTCAGGTTGCATCCCACGGCGACCCGGAAGTAACGGAACGGGTTACTTCCAGGTTTTGCCGCTCGCGCATGCACACAAAATGATGTTACGCGCATGCGCAGAAGCGGCCAATCGCGACCCATGCACATGCAGATGCGGGTTGCGTTCTGTTCAGGTTGCGAACGGGCCTCCGGAATGGATCCCGTTCGAAACCAGAGGTACCACTGTACATGTATACATACACTAGCTTCAAAAGAGCGTGATTTTAAACTGCACACTTTTTCTTCCTTTAGCCCAGAATGGGCCAAAAATTCACATCCTTCCCCTTCCTTCTTCAAATCCATAGTCAAGAACACAGAGAAAGGATGAGGATAAATATAGGCAGAAAACAAGGGAAACTTTTAAAAAATGGGGTGTTTTGGAGAGGAGTTTGGCAAGAGGGGTCGTTTTCCACATTACGCAGGGTTAAGAGGACCAGCAGTGGACTGTATGCTACCGCCGCCCAGGTTGGGTGCATGGGGCATGCAGCCAGAGGACAGGCACGGAGGAAGCCCACTGCGGCCGCACCAGCCCAGCCCTCGCCACTGCTTCAGGGGAATAATAATAATCATTTATTTTTTATACCCCACCCATCTGGGCGTATCCATGGCGTCCTTGCAGCCCTGCATGGCTGGGGTTGGACTATCTAATCCCAACCTTAGAACATAGCGTGGGAGGTGCACTCTCATGCCAGAGCCCAGTGGAAGAGGGGGGTGCTGCCACCGCCGCCTCTCCTCCACTTCCACCCCTGGGTTAGGCCTGACTTGGGAGCGGAGCTGCAGCCATCTGGCAGCACGGGGCCACCATGCAAGGAAGCTGGATCCCAAAGGCCAGGGTGCTGCTTCCCTCCCTGCAGCTCCTGCCTTGATGAGGGAGGCTGTTGTGGGGTGCTTCACTACACCTCCTCAAAAAAATGTGCCTAGGGCCACAGCCCCCTAGCCTCACCCCTCACAATATGTCACTGGAGTGGACCACACACATCGCTGTAGATTAAATCTAGCACTCTGGTGCTTCTCTTTTCATTGTATGAAGGAAACAAAGGTTTCACACTTTCCTCAGTAATGCAACTTACACACTTGGTAGTGCACTTTGGTTTACTTTCACTACTAACAGTACCTTCATACCACATCCAAGCACTAATTAATACTGCTGCCTCATATAAATTAGATAAAAAGGAAGAGAGTTCAGTGTTACTGCACATTGATGACACCTCATCCTAAACCTCCAGATGACCTCAGCAGATGATCTTCTCTCTTTAAGAACATTAGTTAGCAAAAACTTTGGTTTGTAAGTAGAACATAGTGTTTACTTAGTACATTTTCTTCAGTTTTGTTACTTTTGACAACTTAATTTAGAAGAAATCATTACAAAATCATCTTTATATATTACCTGTACAACTTTAGGTCACTCAGTTTCACATGTATACAATCAAGAATAGGTGGGACACTATATCGTAGTGACGTTTTAATGAGAAGGAATTCATTCTTTATGGTGATCAACCCAAAATCAGCAACTATAACATCAGTAGATATTGCCGACTGTGGGATTATGACAACGGGTGCTTTAATATTAATGTCCAGCGCCATTCTGGAACTTTGTTGAGCCAATTCCTTTACACCAGTAGCTGCTTTCTCAGCAGCTTGAACAGTGGCTTCAGTAATTGCTTCCTTTGCTGTCTGAAAATTGTTTGCAAAAGCCTAGAAAAGGGACAGGAAATCAGCAACAGATGAGGATAACAGTCACAAAATACATCATTTTTGTATCAGTTTGCTCACTATGCATTACAAATTATCTGTGTTGTTCTCTATGTCTGTCTTTCCCTCTTCCACACAGTTGAGCAATAAACATGTTTAGAGTAGAAGAGAAAAAATAAAAAGCATTATATAGTTCCTTGTTACATAGACAAATTAACAAAACATAAAAAGGAAAAAAGGTATAATCATGTGGCAACATTATACAAGGTATTGAAATATCATGTTTGTCTCAGAGGCTGACTTCAATTTTAGTTTTCTATCACCATAGACCCATTTGGTTTAAGTTATAACAAAAGTATACCTCTTTTTAAACAAAGAATTGTCTAAGCATTGCACAACAACTAGGAAAGCATACTTTCACTGATATTGACATACTTAATTTTAATCCCCAAGGTTTTGCTAGACATCAATGTGGCTCAAATGAATATAAACATCAAGCGTAAATTTGAAAACCCAATTCTAGTTTGAATAATTCATTAACTAGTGCTGGGATACAACATAATATAAGTTACTGAATATTATTTATTTTATTATTATTTATTAACTTTGTATAGTGCTCTTCATCCAAAGATCATAAGGCAGTTCACAACAAAAACAAAATGAAAACACATAATACAGAATAAAACAGAAACAAAAATAGACCAATAACGCCCCTCCAACAAACACATTTAAAAGGCTAAAGGCCTAGTTATAGAGAAACACTTTTGCCTGGTGCCTTCATTACATATCTTTAGGTGCCAAGCTAAAACATTTTATAGGTCAAAGCCAGCACTTTGAATTGAGTGCGGATCTATTTTTTTGGCAGCCAGTGCAATCAGACCAGGATCAGTGTAATATGCTCAAACCATCTTGGCCTGCTGAGCAACCTGGCAGTCAAATTCTGCACCAGTTTCTGAACTGTCTTCAAAGGCAGTCCTACATATAATGTGTTGGACTAACAGGGGTCAGCAAACTTTTTCAGCGGGGGGCCAGTCCACTATCCCTCAGACCTTGTGGGGGGCAGGACTATATTTTGAAGTGGGGGGGAGAATAAATTCCTATGCCCCACAAATAACCCAGAGATGCATTTTAAATTAAAGGGCACATTCTACTCATGTAAAAACACACTGGTTCCTGGACCGTCCGCGAGCCGGATTTAGAAGGCGATTGGGCCGGATCTGGCCCCCGGGCCTTGGTTTGCCTACCCATGGACTAATCTAACCTAGAGTTTACCAGAGCATACATGACAGAAGTTAGACTATCCCTGTCCAGATAGGGGCCCAGCTGGGTCACCAGCAAAGCTGATGGAAGGCCCTCCACACTACTGAGGCCAACTGAGCCTCAAGCAGTAGCAAAGGATCTAGAAATACCCCCAAGCTATGTACCTGCTCCTTCAGAGGGAGTGTAACCCCAACAAGAGCAGGCAACCTCCTATGCATCTGGCATACAGAACCACCCCCTAGCAGTCTTATTTGGATTAAGCTTCATTTTGTAGGCTCTCATCCAGGCCATAACTGAGGCAAGACAATGGTCCAGCACATCCAATGCCACATCTGTAAATGTAAAGAAGCAGAACTGTGCGCCATCAGCATATTGCTGACAGCGTACTCTGAAACTCCATATAACCCCAGTCAGTGGTTTCATGTAAATGGTTAAACAGCAAAGGGGTTAAAATCAAACCCTGAGGAATTCAACACTGAAGATTCCATGGGGTTGAAGAGCATTTCCCAAGCATCATGCTCTGGAAACAACAAGGCCAAGTAGGATTGGAACCACCGCAAAGTGGTGCCAACCACCCCTAAGTTGGACAGATCCTCCAGAAGGGTACCATGGTTGAGGATATTGAAAGCCAGTGAGAGGTCGAGGAGAATTAACAGGGACATATTTCACCTGTCTCTCTCCTGACAGAGCCGAAACCCCAAATGAAATGGATCTAGAAAATCTGTTTCAGATTTCCAAGAGCACCTGGATCCTGCAGTTTCATATTCAATTTCAATTAAATGGGCTAGGAGAAACAGAAATGGATCTCCCAATCAGTGGTGTAGTGGTAAATTTTAAGGTACAGCTCATCGTGACAGTCACACAGCCATGTTCTCTGCATAGCCACACACCCCAATGACAGTATAAAAATGCACATATTTATACAAACTTGTGTACACCAATTAGCAGCCATACATAGCTTAATACCCAATTTATAAGGATCAGCTGATAGTCATAGATTAGGAAACTGGACCCATTCCCTCACTTCATTTATGCCAATAATCCAGAAACAAAGGTTTCTAGAGAGTCAGTCACTCCAACTAATGGCATCATCGCACCTACTTCGAAAATAAGTCCCAGGGGTGCACTACTCTTCCACTACACCATTGCTCCCACTATAAGTTAAGTAAAACAATCTCTTCACCTTATTGTATTTTCTAAAACAAAAAGGAAGCTTACCAAAATAGCAGAGACAAATTTGTTGACAAAAACAATCTGAATGCATCCAACAGTTAAGTAAACCTGGCTGTCAACAGCTTCCATATCAGTATACGAAATGTCATTTGTAGCATACATGTACGTCACCATTTTGAAACTGAAGACCTCTTTGCCTGTAATATACAGAGCCTTGGAACAGAAAAAAGTGTTCAATGTTAAGAGTATAATATTTACAAGGTGTGCGCAAAATAAAGGTAATGGGCTGCATCCAAAGGTGTTCTTACATTAATGGAAGGAGTCTTTCTGTTCACACAAGGGGCTTGGATAAAGCACAGGTGTCCTTCATTGGAAGTGTTGGTGGAAGAGACAACATCTGCCAGTTCCCTTTCCCTGCAGCCACCTATGACACCTCTCACCAACCCTCCAGGAGCAGATATTTGGGGAGCATAGCGGAAAAGGTTGGCAAGAATGATGTGTGTCCATTACATAATCCAACCTATGTCTTTTCTCTACAGCACACTATTCAATACAATATATGTGTGGCAGTCACAAAGTAAGTCCTTCGCTGAAGGGCTTCAGTTTAAGTTAACAGACTTTTTTGTCCCTACTCTTTGGTATAAAACATATACCCAGAAACCACACCAAGCATGAGGATAAGCAAGAGATGACTAAAGTCATTATCAATTAAACCAGGCTAAAGCCTAATATTTATATTGCAAGTACACTGCTTTCTGTACACAGCCTGGCATGCCCTTTAAATGAACACACATACCTTTTTATGCAGTGCTGCCTCATCACAATCCAAAATAACGATATTCTTTAAGTTTGCTGATACTTCAGTTGTTTCTTTCTTCATCTTCACCTCACTATCAAGACCTAAATTTAACAGTATTAATTAACAAATCTAATATGGCACAACCTTCAAGGTACTTCCTCTGGGTTCTAGTAACCTTTAAATATTGCAATTGGCATTTTAGTCTTACCTTCAATGCGGATTTCAGATATCCAGCTTTTTTGTTCTCTTATAAAAATGCGTAAACAGGACATGTCTGCACAAACATGGAGATCACAAACATCTTCATACTTTGACTTTTTTGAAGCTATGGGAAAGTTAAAAGCAAAAAATGATATATTTGGAATTAGAGATCTGAATTCCAACGAGGATCACAGTTGTACAAAGACATAGAGTGCACAAATACAGAGAGGAATGCAAACTATGAAAGTAGTAGATCTACAGATTGGTTTATTTTATTTTTTTGTGCAACATGCCATTAGAGTTAAAGCAGTATCTTTCAAGTTAACAGAAATGACTAAATATTACCAAGAAATAATGTCTTTATGCCTCCTTCCTCGGGGCCTGACTTGACACAGGCAAGGCTACATAAGCAGAGAAGAGGCTGTCACTTCATAGGTTTTCTCTAATCCTCAGTACATACTAGGATTCCAAAGCTGAGTAAGACAGTGCTGTTGGCATCCATCTGTCTTGAGAGACAATGGAGTGCACCTCCAGGGGTGCAAGCCTGGGCAGTGTGTATGGAGGTCCTGGGCTGCCCAGATGACGACCAACCCCCCTCAGCTTTGCTGATGTGATACAAAGGAAAGGAGAGCAATATGCTTGGCACAAGCTTAGCTGCCAGAGCTGCCAGAAGGAGGCGTACGAGGTGCCATCCAACTGTTTTAGTTAAGGACTGTAGATTTGGTAAAATGCAACTTTCTATCTGTACATGAGAGATTTCTTCAAACTAAACTTCCTTCAAATAACACATGGAAATAAGAAGGAACAAAATTCTCCTGAGGTGTAGGCAATACACTTCAGTAATGCTTACACTATCAGAGTAACTGATGTGCACTTTACTGATTGCCATGTGCACTTTATTGATTCTGAAGTACCATGTTTAAAGCACATTCCTCTTCCACCCCGACTCTATACAGAAACTCGAGAATTATTTTCTAGATTAGGGTTTGGGCAAATGAACATGACCCACAATTTTCATTTGCTGTCATCCAGCCCGAAACACTTTCCTGCATGCACTGTTTAAAAGCCTAGGATGTGAAATGAGGCTGGAAGAAAGTTAGCAATACAAGAGTTTGAGACTGAAAGACCTTACTAAGTTTCTTAAGAACTTCCTTCTTTTCTTCTTTTTCCTGGACGATCTCTACTGTACTTGTCTCTTGTTTCGGAAGAAGATTATTTAGGAAATTCATGGTACTCATAAGTGCTTCTGTGTGTAAATGGATATCTACAGAAGAAAAAGTAACCTAACAACAAAGTAATCTTAGTAAGAATATGTTTTAAATGCACTTTCCTGGACATAGCAAAAATTACAAAAATAAGCCATCATTATTACCTTTATGAGCTGTACCACATTCTTATAAGTAGTTTTCAGATCTGGGCAATTAATATCTGCCTGTTCTCAGAAGGTAAATAAAGACAGTTAAAATGAGAAAACACTATATACCATACAACCCAGCTCTATCCAGAAATATAGATAATGCTGCTACATCTGCTCCTCAGTATTTGTTCTGATACTAACATACTAACTTAAATGGTGTTCTGCTAGACTTGATCAAGGGCCCATCTAATCCAGCATTCTGTCTTCAACCATGGCCACTGGGAAGTCCACAGCAAAAACGAAAGGCAAGAAAAATGGCACCCCTTGTCATTTGCCTTCCAGAGGCACATGGCTAATGAACATGGAAGCTCCATTTAGCCATTCTTCATGAATTTACTTAATCTCACTTAAAATCTATCTAGAACTGTGGTCATCACCACATCTTGTGACATAATTATGCATAAATTAATGTCTTAGGTGAAATGATACTCTCTTCTGTCTGTCCTGTCTTATTACTGGTATCTGGAAGCTACCCTGGGAGCCTCCCCACCCCCACCCCCACCCCGCTTTGCTGAAGAGTGGGATGAAAATAATTTAAATAAATAGATTTCACTAAATGACCTCGAGTTCTAGTGTAAATGGAGAGAAGAAAGTATATACACATCATACATCAATGGTATCCTCCCCAGAGTCACCCCCCCCCAAGCTGTCCTTTTTTGTACATTTTCCACTCTACAGCATCCTTTCTGAGATGGAGTGCCTAAACTAATGTTCATTTGCTAAAACAGCAAACAGGATCAGGTCTCTAGGTTTTTAGATAATTAAGATTATTTGTCAATTTAAATAGTATTTAAAACACATCAGTATTATGGTGAAGAAAAAATTTGTATCTTCCCTTCAGCACTCTTACCTTTACATATTCAATGGCTAGAAGATCATCAATTAAATTATCCAGTGTTGAAATGAGGTAAACTGGCTTATTTTTATCATCTAAAAAAACAAAGAACAGCATAGCCAAAATGACATACTCACTGGAGTTACTTATTGTATTTTCAAAGTTATGTTGCCAGATCAATAAATAGTGACAGAACAGGATCTCAATATATGATTTAATCATCATTAGATTGTAAGATCATTTCTATAATTAGTTTCAGAAGCTAAACTAAAAAAGGGGTGCTGGGGGGGGGAGGGATCCAGAAAGGCTGGCTTGCGGGGAGGAGAGCTGCTTGGGGGGGAGGGAAAGGGCTGGCTTGAGGGAGGGGGAACTGTTTGGGGGGGAGAAAGAAAGGGCTGGCTTGGAGGGGGAGTGAGCTGCTTTAGCGGGGAGAGATAACTTTTGCCTCCCTTTCCTTCCCCCCACTTAAACTCCCACCTCCCGTGTCCACTTAGCCACCTCCTTCCATACACACACACCCCGCGCGTGCTCCTCGTCCCTCCAATGACAATGGGTAGATCACTGCCAGTATTTGATACTTGGTAGATTGCAGCCTATTTGAAGTTGGACATGCCTGGTTTATTGCTTTCATTTTATGGATAAATGGTCTCGTTAGATAGTAAAATTCATGTTGAATTCATGTTTTAGGGATTGTTTTTAAAAGTCTGGAACAGATTAATCCATTTTGCATTACTTTCTATGGGAAAGCGTGCCTTGGTTTTGGAATGCTTTGGTTTTGGAACAGACTTCCGGAACAGATTAAGTTTGAGAACCAAGGTACCACTGTAGTTCTATTCCATCCCTTGAGCACCGAAATAACTCGTCAGGAGATTGGGCTTGAAGAGTTATCAATTTGCAGATGATAGCACAGCTCTATCTCTCTTTTCCACCACCTAGTAACTCCAGGGAGACAGTCGAAACCCTGAACAGATACTGAGGGAAGGAGACACTGGAATGAATGAGGCTCAAGCTAAGGCTCAATTTGCATATGACAGAAGTAATGTGGCTTGGAAAGCTGCCAATCAAAATCAAAGTCTAGATCTGACTCTGAATGGAATAATACTTCTCCTGAAAGGACGGGTGCACAGTCTAGAGGTGGTTCTGAACCTGGTGCTGTCTATGCTATTCTGCTCACAACAGAAACTTACACATTTTTTTCTGGCGCTGGTGTGAGCTGCGCCAGTGTGCTTTACTATGGAAAACTGGCATAGAAATAAACTAATGATAAGGAGGACTATATTCAAGAGCAAGCCTTTGTTGTGAGTTGTCTGCCAATCCTCCTATGCCTTACACTGATTTTCCCAACAACTCTTTCCAGCAGGAACCTAAATAGCAACCACAAATAATTAATAATTATTTTAACACAGAGGTAAATACTTACCCATGTATTCTGGACACATTAAGCAAATCTCTTTAAGATAAGCAGTGGCTGCCATATCATATGTTCTTAGCTTAAGCTCAGTGCCTAAACTATAAATCTCCAAACGAAGAATTGGCTTTTCAATACCTTCAGTAAAACGAGACACTTGAAGGAACACCTATGTATAAACAAAATATGGGGATAAGTCAACCAAACCAACAGACATGCAGGGGGTGGGCAGCTGCTTATAAAGAGAAGAAACGTAAGCAGAGCTTTAAAAGCTTTTAAGAATATGGTGTAGAAGACAGTTTCAAGAATCCTCCTTGGTTTACACATTCCTAGGCATCTTTTATTCCATTATTCCGTTAAAAGTTGTCAATTGCATCCAGTGAGAAATATAAAGAAAAAACCCTATTGGGTTTTTTTTCCATTCTCAGTGCCAGTGCATACTATTTGGTCATGAAGGGCCCTGCCTCCAAATGTATTTATTTCTTCAATGTTCATATTTTATGAACCAAATTTACAGGCAGTTACTAAAAAACAATGCAATCCTCTACATGTCCAGTCAAGAGAACTCCAAAGCAGATAGGTAGATAGATGACTGCAGTAATGAGATATGATTTATTATCAGTAACTGTTATGGATCATGTACATTTCCAACTACTTAGGGGAAAAGTTTTATGATGATATCCATTATTGTAACACTACCAATATTGAAGAAGAAATGGGTGGTATCCAACTAACTCATTCCACCAGCATAAGGATTTATACAACAAAACATCTCCCCTCCTTCCCCCACAAATATCCCACAACACCCCCAAATCTGCTCCAGAGGGTTGGGGAACTCCCAGAGCAGATTTAGGGGGTGCACAGGAGCTAATCTTTATGTAGAAGCAATGACTTGGCTGGATTCTACCCCATATACATACTGATAATCCAGTTAAGGTGAGAGGTTTTTAGCTATACATAGACAGAAGAATTAGTTACCAGCATTTAACATGTTATCAGTTGTTGTTGTTGTTGTTGTTGTTGTTGTTGTTGTTGTTGTTGTTGTTGTTGTTAATTGAATTTATATCCCACCCAATACCCACAGGTCTTAGGGTGGTTCACAGGATAAAATCAGAATATTAAACCACAAAGTACATAATCAAAATAAAAGCAACAGCCCAATAACCCCCTGCAACACATTTAAAAAGGGCATAGGATGTAAATCAGATCAACCAAAGGCCTGGTTAAAAAGGAACAATTTTTCCTGGCATCTAAAGGTGTATAATGAAGGCGCCAGGCAAAACTTCCTTGGAAGAGCATTCCACAGATGGGGAGCCACAGCAGAAAAGGCCGGTTCTCATGTTGCCACCCTCTGGGCCTCTCATGAAGGAGGCACCCAAAGAAGGGCCTCAGAAGTTGATCTCAGGGTCCAGGTAGGTTCATATGGAACAAGGTAGTCCTTGAGGTATTGCACTTCTAGCCGTTTAAGGCTTTATAGGTCAAAACCAGCACTTTGAATTGGGCCTGGAAACTAATTGGTAGCCAGTGCAGTCGGACCAGGATCGGTGTAATATGCTCAAACCGTCTTGCTCCGGTGAGCAAACTGGCCACTGAATTCAGCACCAGCTGAAGTTTCCAAACTGTCTTCAGAGGCAGCCCTACGTATAACACACTGCAGTAATCTAACCTTGAGGTTACCAAAGCATAGACAACAGTAGTTAGGCTACCCCTGTCCAGATAGGGGCATAGCTGGGTTACCAGCCAAAGCTAATGGAAGGCACTCCGGGCCACTGAGGTCCCCTAAGCCTTGAGTGACAGCAAAGTATCCAGGAATACCCTACAAATTTGCTCCTTCAGAGGAAGTGAAGAGCAGGTGAACTCCCACCCATCTGGTCTTGGGAACCACCCACTAACAGTGCCTCAGTCTTATCTGGATTGAGCTTCAGTTTGTTGGCTCTCATCCAGTCCATTACTGAGGCAAGACACTGGTCCAGCACTTCCACGACCTCACCTACAAATGTAAAGGAGAAATAGAGCTGTGTCATCAGCATACTGCTGACAACGTTCTCCGAACCTCCGGATAACCCCACCCAGCGGTTTCATGTAGATGTTAAACGTGGTGGATAGGATCGAGCCCTGCGGAACCCCACATTGAAGGATACAGCTAACTGTACTTGCCAAACAGCCTCCCCTTAAGTGTTTCCTTGTGCAAACTTCCTCTGATTTCCCTTTCCTACAGATTTCCTTTTCCTACTCCAGTGACCTGCAACACATCTCTAGCCATTTATGAGGGTCATTGCTCCTAATGAGAGGCTTTTTGGGGTGTGGGACAGGGGAATGCAGAGTTAAGAAGGAGGGGGAAAGTCCTGTTGCACCATTGGCTTCTTCTTCCACACACTCTGGATTCAAATCCTAGGGTTTTTTAAATACTATGTTAAAATTAATTGAAATATCTATATTCTATTCATTCACATAACTGAGATAGGTAAAGGTAAAGGTACCCCTGCCCGTACAGGCTAGTCTTGCCAGACTCTAGGGTTGTGCGCTCATCTCACTCTATAGGCCGGGAGCCAGTGCTGTCCGCAGACACTTCCGGGTCACGTGGCCAGCGTGACATCGCTGCTCTGGCAAGCCAGCGCAGCACACGGAACACCGTTTACCTTCCCGCTAGTAAGCGGTCCCTATTTATCTACTTGCACCCGAAGGTGCTTTCGAACTGCTAGGTTGGCAGGCGCTGGGACCGAACGACAGGAGCGCACCCCGCCGCAGGGATTCGAACCGCCGACCTTTCGATCGGCAAGTCCTAGGTGCTGAGGCTTTAACCCACAGCGCCACCTGCGTCCCTATAACTGAGATAACTAATAATAAAAAAGTCAGAAACAGCTAGATTATTGTTGAAAAGTGAAGCAAAAATGCTAACGATAAAGAACGCAACATAGTTAAGGATAAACACACAGCAGTCATGAAGAGACATAAGGTAAGGTAAAATAGTATATTACCTCAGGTATTTCAAATCTTAGTTGGAAATCAATCATATTCTTCAATGATTCCCGTCTCACTGCCTTTTTCTTTAAGCTGCCAGGCCTACTTGAGGACCCCAAAGAAGCTTCAAAAAATGGCCAGTCTTCTATAGGACTGCTTGGGGCATCAAAAAATTCTTCTTCAGATTCTAATAACGATAATAGTTCAAATGGTTATCATGAAATGCTTACACTTAAGCCATAAATATATTTAACATAATCCAATAATTACATAACTATAATTGCCTTTATAAACTATAAACTTGGATCCCCAGCTGTTGTTGGACTACAACTCCCATCATCCCTAGCTAGCAGGACCAGTGATCATGGATTATAGAAGTTTTAGTCCAATAACAGCTGGAGAAGTTTGAGAAACACTGGCATACCAGGAACAGCTGATGCAATCAAGACCTCATCACAGAAAGTATCTCCACTATAACAGTTCCCAGATTTTGCTGCTGAAGTCACTAATTTATGAATTAGTAATGAGATCCAGGGCTGAGAGCCTTTTGGCAGTTCCCTCACTGTGAGAAGCCAAGTTGCAGGGAACCAGGCAGAGGGCCTTCTCGGTAATGGCACCCGCACTGTGGAACGCCTTCCCACCAGATGTCAAAGAGAACAACAGCTACCAGACTTTTAGAAGACATCTGAAGGCTGTCTTCTTCCCTGTTTAGGGAAGCTTTTAATGTTTAACAGACCACTGTATTTAAATATTTTGTTGGAAGCCGCCCAGAGTGGCTGGGGAAACCCAGCCAGATGGGCGGGGTATAAATATTTTTTTTATTATTATTATTATTATTATTATTATTATTATTATTATTATTATTATTATTATTATTATTAAAACACTCCAATTATGTCCCTTTCAAGCAGATCTGTCCAGTTAGCACATCAAGTGATAAATTGGGGTATCTACTTGCAGGCAAGAGCAGCAGCAGCTTGTAAACTTGCTTGTAAACTCACATGCTATTCTTCACAACTGCAAATGGAGCACTGGTTGCTTATAATGAAGGGGTCTTCTCTAGCAGATAATGTGAGCCAGTCACTGAGGGTTACATCATCTCCTAACAGCCCAGGCAGGAAACTTGTAGATTAATTTTAATATTTTTCCACATTTCAACTGTGTCCACAGTTTCTGTTCATGGAAAATCCCTTGAACACTTTTTGAACCAGGAGCCAAGGCACCCCCCAGATAGAAATGAAAGAAATAGGAATCCTCCATTGTGTGAAAAGGGCAAGGCCCAATCAGTAAGAAGTGAGGAATGAAGACTGAGCAGCACATATGTAGGGTGCAGTGTGACAGGCTCATTTGGCTGCCAAATAAGAACTATTTACAATAAATGACCAATGTTCCATTCTGCTAGCCTCCCTGCTGATCAGCTGCAGATGAGAACTACCCTAGTGGTGACACTATCCATTACGACCGGGATGTGCATCTGTTTAAGCCTGTTTTTAAAGTGAGAGCTAAGTGCACCACCCTGAGCTCCAGCCGTTTTAAGCTGTGTTCCCTTTCTAAGTGGCTCAACTGTCTCTGAGCTGTAAGATGCAGATAATGAGCTTTCCAAGCCATGAAGCCTTGTATCAGTAGTGATTACTGCTCTCTGAGGCCCTTTTAATGGAATGCTCTATGTGTCCAGCCACCGGATGAGAGTTTGTTTCAGGAGGGCAGAGGGGAGTAATGGATTGTGGTGCTTGGCTCTGATCTTCTTCTGGCTTAGGAAGAGAAGCCATCCTAAATGTCATGTGTGTGTGTGTGTGTGTGTGTGTGTAGCGTGTGTGTCCATGGGATGGACCGTACAGAAAGCTATCATAGCAAGCCATTGAGTAAAGGTCATGAGGCCTACTGTTCTTAGAGGAAGAATAGCTAGGACCACATCCTATTTGTTGCTGATCCTGTCAGACATGGATGCCATGGAACTACGACTACAGTAGCCCATAGGTTCTGAGTCTGGCATAATGGAAAGAGATGGATTCTTCTGAGATTCCTAGCAAATTGAGCAGCGCTAAGGTAACATCTACTGTAAGTGAACAGATAGGAATATGTTTAACTCCTTGCAGGACAGGTTCTGCATCAACATACACAAGCATATTCACCAGCATATTCTTATAGGATAAAAAGAGGATTGAAGAAAACACTGTAAAGGATCACAGAACAGATAAAAGGCACAGCAACTAAACAACTGCAATACAGATGCTTACTGGGAAAGAATTCTACTTTAAAGCCTTGTTGATTAAAAGGTCTTCAGTGGTTGCTGAAAAGGCAACAGAGATGGTGCCTGTCTCACATTTGACTTAACTGAATTTAAGTACAACTAGTTTTGGATGAATGCAATCTCTTATCTATTTTTTAAAGATCTTTTAAATATACAATAGAAAATGAACTATAGAATATGGATTAAAATCATGGGGCTGGCAGTGACTGGCTTCCCCACATTCCCCTTCTCATGTCAACTCCTGTCCCTGAAAAACTTCTCCCAATCGTTGGAGGATCTTGTTGAATGGGATCAGCTATTATGGCACAGGAGGCAAAGAGAGAAGGGATTCCTGAAAATAGGGCAGAGGCAACTTCTTTGAGCAGGTGCTGATAACTGATGGATCCTTCCAGTGGGATGACTCCACAGCTTGATTGTTTTTTCTTTTTTATAACCACTTCTGAGCTACACTCCTCTGGTTCAAAAGTTCAACTTTTGTGAGATTTTTACTCTAATTCTTCACACACACACACCAAATTGCACCATATCTGTTTGTCTGGTTTAGGTCCTAGAAAAGAAACTGCCTGAAAATTTAAACATGTAGATAATAAATATTAGGATATCATAAACATTTTCTGAACATACATTAACCAAAAACAAAATGAAGAAAATATTTACCACTTGATCCAGCTACCGAAAGAGATTCTAGAAATGGAAGTACAGAGGTTGACATTTGTGGTGTTGTTATCAGTGATGATACCTGAAGCTAAAACAGAAAGCAATATGTAACACTTATTTATTGTGGGAGCGGGTAGGGGCAAGGGGAGCGTTCTTAGTTTGGTTTGTTCTTGTTTTTATTATGTATTTTGATCTTGTATTTTTATGCTATGAAGTGCCCCAAGATCTACAATTGAAGGGCAGTACACAAATTTAATAAATAATAATAATAATAATTTATATGTACAAAATGACTATTATTTGGTTAATATATTTTATTTGACAATTTTAAGTGTCATCTTTATTGATTGTTCAAGACAGCTAACAATAACCATAAGATACAAAAATAACAACAATAAATATAGACAATTAAAATGAAATAAAAAACATCAACAGGAAATACTAACAATGAAACAAGCCACAAAAAACATAAATTGACTTTCTGTTTAACACCATTGGCATTCCTAAACAGGAAGGTGTTCACCAGTGGAAAGCCAAAAGGGGAAGCTGGAATCAACCTTTTTGGGGAGGGATTTCCACAACCTAGACATGACTACCACAAATGCAGTGCTCTCTCCTTTGTCTGGGAGTGATATAATAGATGAGATGGAACAGACAAGAGAGCTTCCTGAGTTTACCTTTGTGATCAGGCAGCTTTGAACAAGAGAAGACAGTCCTTCTGATATCTTGGTCCCAAATTGTCAAGGGCCTTAAAAGGTCATGAGAACTAGTCTCAAACAAATGGACAGCCAGTGTAATTGCTTTAAAAAGGGAGTTACATGCTCCCAATAGGCAGCTTTAATTAACAACCTCTATGCTATGTTACTGATGAATTAAATTTCTGCATAGAGCAGACTACATACTCCAGACATGATATTAAGGCACGTGTTAACATGGGCAGAACTGAGACTTGAAGAAACAGATGAAACTGGTACTCTAGCCCAAGTTGGGCAAAGACACCTTTGAGAACACTTGTCATTAGGGCATCCAGGGTTAAGGTCAGAAACACCCACAGACTATGAACCTTCAGGTGGCTTCAGGGGAAGTAGAGTCGCATCCAACATAGAATGGATCCTTGTCCCTGGTCATGAGTTCTACAGAACAGGTGTCCCTCCGTCTTGTCTGGATTAAGATTCAATTTCTTTGCCCACACCCAGCCCCAAGATCTCTTCCTAGGCTGCAAGGAGAGATGGAGGCAAAGAAAAACACAGAGACAGACAGACACAGACAGACAGACAGACAGACAGTGTGTGTGTGTGTGTGTGTGTGTGTGTGTGTGTGATCCAGATACCAAAAACATTGCACTTCAAATCCCTGGACAATTTCTCCCACCAGTTTTATACAGAATTTTACGCAGCTTAGGAGACAAAATAGGTATCATAAATCAGGGATAGGGAAGCTTTGGCTAGCCAGATGTTGCTGGACTCCCATCAGCCCCAACCAGTCACAGGCCAGCCGCAGACCCAGTACTATCTTCTGGAAACAACTGTCTAGGAAGGTCAGGTATCAAATAAACACCTTCAAATTCCATTCTGGGAAGCCATTCCAAGATAACGTTCCATGAATGTCACGAATAAATAAAATATCAAAAGCTGCTGAGTGAGGTCCAGCGGAAGAGGAATGTTCTTCTCTTTTTTGATTTCCAGACTAGGGAACTTTCAGTCTGCAGTTACATGTTAACTGTAACATTTCTTCAGGATTCTGTATTAGTACAGTGGTACCTCAGGTTTAATACTTAATTCAGTCCGGAGGTCCATGCTTAACCTGAAACTGTTCTTAACCTGAAGCACCACTTTAGCTAATGGGGCCTCCTGCTGCCGCCGTGCTGCCGGAGCACGATTTCTGTACTTATCCTGAAGCAAAGTTCTATTTCTGGCTTAGTGGAGTGTGTAACCTGAAGCGTATGTAACCTGAAGCTATGTAACCCGAGGTACCTCTGTACACACTCAGAAAACTCTGAAGTGTAAGAATTCACATACTAAACTACACTGCTAGTTACTGAAACTATCTGGACAAAATGAATGATTTAAATCATTTCAAAGGAATATGGCCGTAAATAAACTTAAAGAACATTCTAAGGAGCAGAAGACTAAGTCATAAAGGATAGCAAAGAGACTTCAGAAAAGCATAGGAATTGCTTTACTGCTAAAACAGGAAATCTAGAAATATGTTATCTGAAAAAGGGAAACACACATATTGCTAACCCTAAGTCAACAAACTTGGAGAGGGGGTCATTTTGGCAATATCTGGAGGTGAGGGATGTAAACTTACCAATAGGGTCAGTGCTCCAGTATTTTATCAGGTCACAAACAAGTCATGAATTCCCTCCTCTTGTACATCTGACATTGTTATTTTTAATCATGCTTTCTTTAAACCACAGTTTCCTATTATATCTGAATTGGGAAATTCTGCTTTAACCTCAGCTTACAAGCCAGATATGAAACAAAGTCCTGCTGAGTAGCACTACCACAGCAAATACATGGTGGTAAAAAAAACTCATTTAGTGTGAACCTCTACCACACTGAGAAATATCCCATTGCTAAAAAGAGCACTATGATGAAGTGGCAGAAGAATTACCAGTATTGTTGAAGCTTAACCAAATGTTTCTACCAGTTCAATACACTTGCCTTGGGAGGTTGTGTAGTAGCAGTAGTTTCAGGAGGAGCTTCTGGTAAAGGAATACTATCAATAAGATCCAGAATACATTTCAATTTCTCATCTGAGATACTGAAAGACAGTAGTGGCAGTTCACCAAACATTTTGTACCTATAACACAAAGAGACAAAGCAATTAGAAAACAAAGGGGGCCATGTACTAGGGAATTAATCTATTTGATAAATTAAATCCAGCCCCACAACACAAGTGGTTCCAGGTTGGCATATATGATTTTTAAAAAGAACAATTAACATTGAAACAGGTGTGCCAACTTGAATAAAATATTGGGGGGCAGGTAAGCCTCACCCCACATAATTGACATGACACTCACATGCCATTTGAATGGCAATGCCTATTAACGTGGGGGAGCTGGCCCCCTCAATTTGGGGGGGGGAGGGGGCAAAAGGACCTCAGCCCTACCTATGCATTGAAATAAATATCTGAAAGACATACTTGCACCGATCAGCTCTGCCAAAGTTTAAATGTTATTTTATTTGCATTTATTTAAAACTTACATCCTTTCTGTCAAGGAATTCAGGGCAGCAGTTTCAAAGAAACTGTTGTCAGGCAAAACAGTTTTTGACAATGTCCCTCAACAAATACTTCTGAGTAAACTTAGGAGTCATGGGATAAGAGCTCTTCTAGAGAATAGCTCTTAAAGAACAGGAAGCTGAAAATAAATGGTCTGTTCTCAAAGTGAAGGACAATGGAAGCAGTGCCTGTGCTCCCTACCAAGCCAGCAATCTGAAAATTCACTTAACAGCAAGAATGTCATACTTGGGCATTCTTGCATCTGTTACAACCATTGCTCTGCTCAGTTCCATTTTCACATCCAGAGGCTGTATGATATGCTGAGATGAGGATCGTAAGTTTCGAGCTTCCTCCCAGTTTTCATCTAAAGATAGAAAAGATGTCTATTACAATGTTTGTGTCTCAGTTTCATGCACGTTTTTCCTACAGCCTGCATACACACCAAAGCATGTGTTGTTTTAAAGAGATGATGGACCACTTCACAAATTTATTTGTTAATTAATTCTAGTAGTATTTTTTTGTTACTGTGAAGTCAAAATGCATGGGTGCGTAAGTGGTGTGCATATCATTTAAGTTGATTTTCTTGAGCCTTGTGATAATTATAAACTGATAATTATCTACTGATATGCATTTAAGACTATAGGAGCCTGTTTTCTGAATTCTACTCTTGATGGTGAGCTATATTCTTCCCTTAAAAGGCTATGTAAAACAGCTGGGAATGTAGTAAACTTATATGGAGGTCAGGTGGTGTTCAGGTGGGCTGATGAAAGGGTCAACCATGGTTAAGTTGTAATTAATCTAATACTGTGTACTGTAAATCTTTCCCCCTCATTGAACCAATGTATTGTATTTTTCCTGCACACATTATTCTCCCCCCCCCCATTTCCTCAAGATTCTTTTATGTTTTTTGTTCCTCTTTGATATTTAAGCATACATCTTTACTAAACTAAGATGCAATCACTGGTCTTTTGCACATGTAATTAAAGTATTTTTTCTCAAATGAATTTTAGGCTATTGGGTCCTGTTTGGTCACCATCCTCTTGCTCACTGGGGTGATGTAAAGATCTCTCTCATTTTCACTTTCATGCACATACTACTATTTGTTTTTTAAATGCCAGGTAAATAAATATAAAGCATCAGAAATTTTTAAAATCAGATAAAACCCGACAACATGCACTGAACAATAGTGATCATACTGTTGGAATCGGACTAACAGTAACTTATGGTAAACCTGTCATAATTTTGTGTGTGTGTTTGTGTGTGTGTGTGTAGCATTGATTTATATGAATAATTACCATGTCTGCTATAAAGAAGTTGTATGCTGCTGAGCTGAATGTCAAACATATCATATGCTCTTGACATAATATCTTCAAGAGTGTTTTCACCAATTTTGATATTGCACATGTCAGACCGACTTTTACTTGTCATCTTAAAAAGAAAATAACAGCAATAATCAGTTGTTAGTTTTTCAAATATGCATCTTTAAGTATTTATTGAAATAAAGCTTACTTTTAAACTGTCCCCCAAGAAAAAAAACCTGTAAGACTTTTCCAGACTTCTTGACGATCTAATGAGATATCCTGTACTGATAATTAAAGACAGAATATCAAAAGGAAATTTTAGGAAATACAATGAACCATTAAGAAACAGTACAGTTGGTTCTTACCTGAACTGTAGATTTGGGAGGGATAGCTGGGCTATCGGGTTGGGTTTACGCTCCACCCCAATGACAAGGCAAAAAGAAAGTATTCTTCAGGGATGTGGTTGGCTCTCAATCAGTTTTACGGACTTGTGAAGCTCGGTAGTCATCGGAGCCACACAGTAAGGGTATGTAAAATGATAGTAAACTCTCATCCCAATAAGGAAAAACAAAGAACTATAGGAAAAACATCCAGGCAATCCAATACAAACTTATAGGCCATTGCAGCCACACCAGAGTGAGGTCCCGATAGTCCAGTGACCCCTCCCAAATCTACAGTTCAGGTAAGAACCAACTATATTATTTCAGGAGGGTGTCACTGGGCTAGCGCGATGGGATGTACCACAGCATACCCAACTAAGGCGGTTCCCAACTGCAATGGGGAGTACTAAGGTGGAAGAACTTGCTGCAGATTCATAAAGCTGAAGGCAACCTCGGCTGAAGCATAAGCCTCCATCGTGAATGTAGTAAGAGATGGCAAAGTGGCTGCCTGACAGATATCAATCAAACGGTTGTCAGCAGAGAAAGCTGCCTAACTAGCTGTTGCCCTAGCGGAATGAGCTGTAATAGAAGATGGTGGAGGAAGTTTCAAAGCTCCCCATGCCATCACACTACAAGGTTTAAACCACCTAGATAAGATGGAAGAGCAAACTTTTTTGCCCAAGGGAGTGGGATTAAAGGAAGCAAACAAGGAGTCAGTTAATTTACACTCTTTTGTCCTGGCTATGTACACCTCGAAGGTCCACCACAAATCTAACAAATGCCAGGCCTTTTCCAATGGGTGAGAAAGGCTGGGATAAAACATAAGGAGAATCTCGACAGAACTTTGTGTAGGAAGAAGGGATCAGTTCTCAAAACCACCCTGCCCTTAAAGAAAACACATAAATGCTTTTCTGAGGAATGCCTCCAACCCAGATACTCTAAGAACAGAAGTAACAGCTAATAGAAAGAGAACTTTGAGGATAAGACTGCATTATCCACCTGATAAATCTACTATTCAGGTAAGACCAATCGTCCTATTTATTACGGTGGACGATGAAGTCTTCAGATTGGGACATACCACAGCGATTCCCAACTGGGCAGGACCCAACTGCGGTTGAGCTAACTATAAAACCTGATGAAGAATTGTGCAGCCAAAGGCTGCATCACTTGAGGATAATAGATCTAGTTTGTAATGCCTAGTGAAAGTACTTGCCAATGCCCAATTAGCTGCTTTGCAGATATCCAGGCATATTGGCAGCAAAGGCCTCCAACGTAGATGCTGATCTGGTAGAGTGTGGTAATATAAGTGATGGAAAAGGTAACTTGAGAGACTCATAAGCCAAAGATATACAAGCACATAGGCATCTGGATAATGTGGCAGATGAAACTTTCTTTCCCAGAGATGGAAGATGAAAAGAAACAAACGACTGTCAGGGACTGGGCAGAGGAGGAATGGTGGAGACTGCCTCCCAGCCTGACCCTTCCAGAGAAGAAGACGACAGTTCAGAATTACAACCGGGGTTTGAGGGAGATCACAGCTCAGAGGCAGATCAGGGGGAAAGCTAGGAAATAATGGGAGAGGAGGAAGAGGAAGCACCAGGAGGGCAACAAAGGGTCTTTAGAAAGCATTCTATACCCCCCCTCCCATAATCTGGCGAGCTTTGAAAGTAGTAGAGCAGAGAGCTCAGAAGCAAAGGACCCTCAACGCTACCCATACTTGATCTGACTGAGAATTCAAATGCAACCCCCCTGGTGTATTTGGGTGGGATGAAAGGCCGTCACTGTTCTCTCCATCTCTGTATTGGAGAAACAGCCTGTGTAAAAGTTCAAAGAGATCTGATCATTGGTTATGGAGGGGGGGAAAATGTACAGAAGGCAGAGGATCTCAAGAGGGACAGAAATGCAGATTTCACGAAACTTTGAAGTGCTATAAAATCAAAACCGTGATAGAGGGGGAAAATTTAAGGGGGTTTCTTTCAACCATAAGGGATGAGTGTACATCAAGTTTCATCAAATCCGAGACGGTGGGTGGCGAAACCCCCTTTTTTTTGCGTTGATTTGATGTGGAATGACCCTTAGGCCAGACTGATCAGACAGATAATGGATAGAAAAGTAGACCAGAAGGAAAAGTTCAATAGACTGGGAGGAGACATTGCTCAGCAGGTCGTGAGGAGAATCAAGGGACAAGCTCTGAGGCTGCAGACCGGGAGACATAAAGCTCTGGAGAGACTGGTGCTGAGGCCACAGACCTTTTCCTCTAAGGGTTACCTCCTCAAATGCTCCTTCTTCTCTTTCCCACCCAAAAGAGCAGATGGAAAAAACCAACCGCCACCAATCCAAGCAAAGGGAGGGCGGAACTTAAATGGTGGGGAAATAGAATACAGAGAGAATCTGAGGCAAGTGTTTTTTGTTTTTTTTTTCCTTAGGAAAAGGAAAGAGACGGAGGGAATATGAAGTAAATATTCTTGTCTTTTGTTTTTCCTTAGGAAAGGAATGATTGGCAACTGTTATCAGCAGAGCCAAAAATAGATTAGGAGAAGTTAAAATTCAAAAGATAGTGATAAAAGGTAAGTAAATATTACAGAAAGAATGGGAGTGAAGCGGAAGTGATCTGCTTGTTGCAGGCAGAAGAAAAAAACTGATCGGGAGCAAACCACATCCCTGAAGAATTCTTTCCTCCTGCCTCATCATCAGGGAGGAGCCTAAGCCCAACTCAGGAGCCCAGAAACACCCTCCTGAAATGATACGCCTACTAGATAAAAGTTCTTTTTCACTCCAATTATTCTTTTTTATTAAGAAACACTGGGGGGAGGGGGCTCTAGAAGACACAGGATAAAATACACACTCTTTAAAAAACACAAATTGAGAAACACTGAAGCAGGAATGAAGAGACAGAGAATGTTTTGAGTACAGATTCAGTAGAGGCAAAATCAGAAACTGGCTTCCAAGGAGGGAGGGATATTCAAAATTCTGTTGGAGCTGCAATTTTGCTTGCTATTGCTAGATGGCACTGAATGCCCATTTTAAGTCATCACCACATGCACGAGTGTAACTATCCACATACCGGGTACAATAAAATACAAGTCATAATTAGGAAATGAATAATAAGTGTTAAGTAGTTGATATTTCTGAGAATTTTACCTTTAAGTTACCAAGATCCAAAAGTAACTTATTTGATGTTGGTTCATAGAATCCACCGTGTGGTACAATGATATAAGAAGCCATAAGATTTATTCTTAAATCTAGAACCTTCTGCGTTTCTATAATATACACTAAGCCTAGAAAACCACAAGAAAAGCATGAGAATTAAGAAGGATCACAAGAACACTGTATTTATGAGCGAATAAATTTAAGCAAAACAAAGACCTTCTATACCAGAGATGGAGAACTTGATATGACTGGTGGGCCACACCTCCCCCATCCCTGCAGACCAAGTTTGACAGATGGGTGGGGCAAAGGCAGGTATCCAGCACTTTGCAGCTGTCACCAATCAGCTGACTGATTTTGCCTACAAAGCTTCTTTTGAGGAAACTGCCTATTTACCAGCCCCACACTTGATGTCATATATGACACTAGGCATAAGACAGATGTATGTGGCTTAGCCAAAACAGTCTCCTTCGCTAAAGGGGAGACCTGGAGGGTTTAACAAGGCTGATGGGCTGGAAGTGTCTCCTCACCATTCTACACAGTGCAACAGTATTACATGAGTTTCAGATGCAGATATTTGAAAAATAAGGCCAATTCACATACCCTTAAAAATTCCATGAAGAACTTAGCCATTTTAAGATAATCTCCACATAGTGAGAACTACCCGTGTACACTACGCAGTACAAAGTTGCCACTAGTGCTCATTGTGCTATGAATACACAGAATTTAGTCTTTCAAAAACTTATTCCAAGTGTTTGATGTTTACCTGTTGCTGTCTTTTCACGAAATTCTTCTAGCTTTGTTAAAGTTGCTGATGTTAGTTGCTCTAAATGAACATCACTTGGAGGTCGAAAGAAATCTACTATGCTGTTCACAGTCATCTGAAAAAGTATAAAAGGTCAGGAAAATGTATTGCTAATGTTATATATAATTTAATTTTTGAAAACTTCTAAAACTCTTCTACTTACTGCATCATATATTATTTCCAAAGGCTGTGACTCTATTCTTAGTTTTTGATTGGCAGTCTCATCTAAGGGATTGGTCTCAAACATAATGGTGAAGAGTGATGCATTGTGCTCTGAATGGACTGTGTGAGATGACAGTAAGCAAGGTACTGTTTTTTCCCGAGCCATGCCTTCAACTTCAAATGCACTTACACTAGATTCAAATCTGTGTAAAACACATTATGAAAATTACATGAGCATATATACATACAGTTGTACCAACAAAAGGTTGGGGTTTTGCTATGGGGCTTTTTTTCAATAAAAGGTAAAGGTAAAGGACCCCTGACAGTTAAGTCCTGTCGCAGATGACTCTTGGTTATATTGCCCTTAAAAAAAATAATAAAAAAATACGATATTACCATCCCATGATTTGATGAGTAGATGGTAATATATGAAAGTGTGATTGGAAACCATGATAACAGGTATTAGAGACACAAAAAGAGGAATATAGCTCCATGATATACTGCTGAAACAAGGTATGTGTTCAGCAGGGGGACTAAAGCATATGTGGGAAACAAGACTTGGAAATGAAAATACAGGATGAATCTTGGGAGTAAGCTGTTGTGGGGGGGCACATTTGCCTATAAAACTGTATCAAGGAAACAATGCTGAAGATAATGCAGACATGGTACTTAGCCTCACATGAAAAACACGACTGGTCTTACCTGAAGCAGAGATTTAGTAGGTTGCAGATTATCCAAGTGGGTTGGGTTACTACCCTCTTCACATGACAGAGGCAGGAGAGCAAAGAACTCTGGGAGACAGGCACAATCCCCTCAGTTTTTTCAGATTCGCCCAGCAGCAGCAGATATTGTACATATCTGGAAAGGAATCTGTACATATCTGCCTACCTCACCACTGGCTCAGCTCAAATAAAATAATGGAAAGAGTTAACACTAACAATGCAACAGAAAGGAAAGAAGCAAGGGAACTGCAGACCACTATAGGGATGGGCCCCTTTCAAATCATCAGCAACCTACTAAACCAGTCCTATTTACAGTGGTTGCTGATGATCCGAATGTGTCGGGACATACCACAGCTTTCCCCAACTGAAGTTATAGTATCTAAACCACTTGATGAAGGCCCGTGCGGCCGAAAGCAGCATCAGCCAAAGCGAGCAGGTCCACTCTGTAATGCCTGGTGAATGTACTTGGTGAAGACCAAGTAGCTGCTTTACAAATGGAAGTAATAGCAGCAAAAGTAGCCAAAGCTGCTGCTGACCTAATAGAATGAGCCAATGTATGTGTTGGCTGTGGTAACTTAAGTGACTCGAATGCTAGAGAAATACAAGCCCAAATCCACCTCGCACGGGTGAAGCGTGCAACTTTCTTTCCCATACTTGATAGATGTAAGAATACAAATAGGTAATCAGTGGATCTAATGTCCTTTGCTATCTGAATGTACACCTTCAGTACATGGCAAACATCCAAGGAATGCCATGCTTTCTCCTTCGGATGCTTAGAATCTGGGCAAAAGATTGGTAGCACCAATTCCTGCTGGACATGGAAATGTGAAAGTACCTTTGGCAGAAATGAAGGGTCTGTTCGGAGGACCACCTTATATTTGTGAAAGATGCATAGATGTTTTGCCACTGACAAGGCAGGTAACTCTGATATACGACGTGTAGAGGTGATGGCCACCAAGAACAGTACTTTGAAGCACTCCTGAATCACAAGGAAGACCTGCCTGTTGAGCATCCATTCCCTCGCAATATGCTCTGCTGTGATACTGAGAATATTCCTTTCTGCCCAACTGAATAGGAGTGATGATTCTCTCTGTAGGCATGCCAATTTTGTTCCACCATGATGACAGATGTGACTTGGCAGTGGAGTTGTTGGTGCGTAGCAGCACATGATCGATGCTCAGGAACTGAACAAAATGGACCAATGCTAACCAGGCTGCCCTCAGCTCCAATCGATTTTTGGAGTGCACCTGCTCTGCTGTAGTTCATAGCCTCTGCATGAAGTGCCTTTGGAAATGCACACCCCAACCCTGCAAACTGGCATCTGTTGTGATCACAGTTCCTTGGTGAACTTCGCCAAGTGAAAAGGAGTTCCCTTCTGAAGATTTGATTCCACTGTCCACCATCTCATGGACAAATTGAGTAGTGGAGGTAACTTGAGCACCTTGTGATGGTTGTGTGTAATTACCCATTGATAGGGAAGCAGAGGACGCGGGTGGTACTGTGGGTTAAATCACAGAGCCTAGGACTTCCCGATCAGAAGGTCAGCGGTTCGAATCCCCGCGATGGGGTGAGCTCCCGTTGCTCGGTCCCTGCTCCTGCCAACCTAGCAGTTCGAAAGCACGTCAAAGTGCAAGTAGATAAATAGGTACCGCTCCAGCGGGAAAGTAAACGGCATTTCTGTACACTGCTCTGGTTCGCCAGAAGCGGCTTAGTCATGCTGGCCACATGACCTGGAAGCTGTATGCCGGCTCCCTTGGCCAATAAAGTGAGATGAGTGCCACAACCCCAGAGTCAGTCACGACTGGACCTAATGGTCAGGGGTCCCTTTACCTTTACCCTTTAGGGAAGCAGAAACCATTGAAAGAGATGGGCATGATGTCTTACCCACGGCACGATCTGCGAAGCTAACATACAAAGACCCAAAATTGCGAACAGACGCTTGATGTCATGTCCTTGGACAATCTCAGCAGAGATTACACCACCTTGATCTTGATGATGCGCTCTGGCAACAGAGCCACCAACCCCTGAACTGTGTCCAGCATGGCTCCCAGATGGATAATCTGCCGTGATGAAACAAGGCAGCTTTTTTCCTTGTTTATCAAGAATCCATGTGACTGAAGGGCCATCATCACTGCCTGGAGATGATCCTAAGCTCCTTGTAGTGTTCTTGCCCTTTTTTGTGTTTTGGGGACCAGCAGAGCTGGAGAAACACTGGGAGCCCTGTCTGCCTTTGAATCTAAGTTTGAACTCCTGTGGCCTAAACCTGAAGTCCCTTTGCTGATTTTGATTGCAGAAGGTGCAGAAGGACTGAGGCTGTTGAGAATATGGGAAGAAACACCTGGCATGTCTCCTATTCTCCTTCTAACTCATTGCCTTTCTTTCATCTTTAGATTTAATAAGCACATCCTTCAATGCCCCATCTTCAAACTGGTGTGTCCCCCCCCCCCACAAAGGAAACAGTGGCCAAATTGACTTTAGATGCCGCATCCGTCTGCCAATTTTTTAACCATAAGGCATGCCACAAATTGAGGTGACATTGCCCTGGCAGAAAACTGAGTCGGCCATAAAGGCTTGTGCCTTCAATAATTTATTTAAGGTCTGCTGGAGCCTCCAACGCAATCATGCATGCCCTTGCGCAAGAGGAAGCTGTACACACCGCCCACATAAACAATGCTGTGGCGTCATGCACATTATGCAAGGCAAAATCCAAACGCCTATCCATCATATCCCTCAGTTGAACATCCCCTTCCTCAGGCAATAAATTACAACTGGATGGCCTGCAGATGAAGTCTTAAGATATGCCATAAAATCTGGCTCCAGACAATAAAGCTTATCTGCCAAAGTGGTGCTCCTTCTAGACCAGTGATGGTGAAACTTTTAGAGACAGAGTGCCCAACCTGCAGCCCAAAACCCACTTATTTATCGCAAAGTGCCAACACGGCAATTTAACCAGAATACTCAGGTTTTTATTTAGAAGGGGAGGTTGGCGCATCCATGTGGAGAGAGAGTGGAGCAATATACAAAAATTGGACTCAGTAAACTGCAGAGTGGTAACTTTCTCATCCTGTAAGGAACCATCACCCCATTCATCCTCCTCATCACAAGCAAATAGTTGAGAATGAGAGGATGGTAAAAGACCATCATGAGACATCACCTCTTCCTCTGGTCCTTGAAAGGCATTAGGGGGCGAGTCACCCACAGCCCTTTTAACCTTGGAGCTGTGTTTTTTAAGCAAGGAATTTGCATCATGGCCCTGAAAAGCCATGTGAAGTTCTGAGGAAATAGAAGCAATGGGAGCATCCTTACTCTGATCAATCATACCAGCAGCTGAGTTAAGGCTTGCAGAGTCTTGAGATAGATGGCAGGCTGTGTGACATCCCCTGCCCCAGCTGACTAACTGAAAACCCCATGAACTCAGGTTCAGAATCAGAGGACATACTGTCCGGTCTGAGTTTACCACATGGTGGCAGCAGTACCACACAACCCACTGTTGATGTTTTTTTTGAGTCTGGGCAGGTACTTTCCCAACAATAGGACCAAGTGGAGTATTAGATCTTAACAGCAATCCAAAAGCATGATGTTGCCTGATATGCAAACCTTTAATAACAAATCTCTGCCACTTAAGCAATTCTGCAGACAGATCCATGTGCTTTGCCTTCTACTTTACCTTTTTTGGCGCCACATTAACAGGGCAACGCACAGCCTCCATGGATTCCATTAGAGAGCGAGCTATTTAAGAGTGCAGTTGGCCCAAACACTACTCCACACTCCGAAAAACAGCACATAGGGAGGTCAATAGGCAGGAGCGCTGACAGGAACTGCGGACTGCTGAGGTAATGCCAAATACCGTATTGGCCCGAATATAAGTCGCACTGTTTTTTCCCAAATTCAGACGGAAAGGTTTATAATATATAAGTGTGGTTTATATTTGTGACCTTACGCTGCTGGCAAAGTGGCGTGGCTCCCCCCACCCCCTCCGAAGGTAGCCCAGGAGCACGGGGCAATGGAGCGCAGCCCACCCGCCACTCTCAAGCCTCCACTGGAAAGAAGGGAGAAGGCCGCCAGCAAAGCAGCGTGGCTCCCCCCACAGAAAGCAGCCTGTGTATTGTCTTTTTTTCTCCCCCCCCCTTTCAATTTTAAAGATGCAGCTTAATTGCAGGTGCGGCTTATATTCTGGTGAATACGGTACTGTGGACACAGGCAGAAAGTCCTTCAGGTGACTTAAATGTGCATGAAGCGCAGCAGCAGTTGGCAGCAGCAGGAGGAGAAAAGCGGCTTCTGGTGTAGTGGAAGCAGCTGGTACTGCAATGGTAAACCAATGGCTGTTAAGAGGCCAAATGCTGAGTATGCAGCTGCGCTGCACAGCAGAGCGCACTGGTCTGAAATTGGCCAATCAGGAGACTGCGGCAACCATTGGTGGTGGGAATTGATCCAAGCCACAAATGGACAAATCGGGGGGGGGGGGGGATAGTTTATCCAATCAGGAAAAATAAGAAATACAGTGGTGCCTCGCAAGACGAAATTAATTCGTTCCGCAAGTCTCTTCGTCTTGCGGTTTTTTCGTCTTGCGATGCACGGTTTCCCATAGGAATGCATTGAAAATCAATTAATGCATTCCTAGGGAAACCGCCTTCAGACCAGGTCCGGGGACAGTCTGTCCCCGGACCTCCTCTGAAGGCTGGGGGGGGGACAAGGGCTTTTCTTCCCACCCCCAGCATTTTAAAAAACCCTGGGACAGCGGAGGACTTCTCCGCTGTCCGGGGCGATCTTAAAATGCTGGCAGGCGGCATTTTAAAATCGCCCCGGACAGCGGAGGACTTCTCCGCTGTCCGGGGCGATTTAAAAGCCCCTGGGAAGGCAGGCAGGGGGGACAAAGACTTTCGCCCCCTGCCCGCCTTCAGAAGGTGTTCCCGCCCCCCGCCCCGCTTCGGAACAGCTTTCTGAAGTGGGGCGGCTGGGGCAGGTGTCCCCGCCCCCCGCCCCACTTCGGAACAGCTTTCCGAAGTGGGGCGGCTGGGGCAGGTGTCCCCGCCCCCCCTCCCCGCTTCGGAACAGCTTTCCGAAGTGGGGCGGCTGGGGCAGGTGTCCCCGCCCCCCCCTTCGGAACAGCGTTTTAAAATGCTGGGGGTCGGCAGCGCTTCGCTCCCGACCCCCAGCATTTTAAAATCTCCCCGGGACAGAGACTTCTCTGCTGTCCCTTGGAGATTTTAAAATGCTGGGGGTCGGCAGCGAACGCTTCGCTCCCGCCCACCAGCATTTTAAGATCGCCCCGGGCAGGCGGGGTGGAAGGCAGGCGGGGGGGAGCAAAGACTTTTGCCCCCCGCCGGCCTTCAGAAGAGGTCCTCTTCTGAAGGCCGGCTGTGGGCGAAAGTCTTTGCTCCCGACCGCCAGCATTTCCCTATGGGCTTTCGTCTTGCGAAGCAAGCCCATAGGGAAATTCGTCTTGCGAAGCGCCTCCAAAACAGAAAACCCTTTCGTCTTGCGGGTTTTCCGTCTTGCGAGGCATTCGTCTTGCGGGGTACCACTGTAGTAAAATAATAAACCCTTGCCAGCAGCAGAGGAAAAGGGAAGCAAAGGAACAGAAAGCAACCGAAAGTAATAGTGAAGCAGCAAAGTGAGTTTTTCTTTTTTTACCTCAACAGAGAACAGAGATAGAAACAAACAAGAACAGAGATAGAAATCAAAACACATAATCACAAAACAGTTAAGGAGAATAAGAGGGATCCAGAAAGAGAAGTTGAAAGTAAAGGAACTTAGCTGTGAAGAACAGAGAGAGCCTGGAGAAAATGTTCTGCTCCATCAGGCAGGAGAGAAAAAACTGAGGAGACTGTGCCCACCTCCCAGAGTTTGTTGCTCTCCTGGCTTCCGTCATGTAAAGAGGGTAGTAACCCAACCCATTTGGATAATCAGCAACCGGCATAAATTAGTGACATTTTCCAAGTGCCATGCACTCTATAGCTTATTATGAAACTAGAAAAATTTAAAATTCTGTTTTCAGATCAGAAGTATCAACTAATTTTGTTTCAAGGAATAAATATGAATGCAACAAATGCCTACCTTATTGCTTCAGCACCAGGTCGTTGAGTTACTGCTGTACGCAGATCAATTAGTGCAAGTTTCAGCAGCTCAGGTTTCTGATTGTTTTCCCTTATTGATACAGTCATGCTTAATAGTTTTACATAAAGTTTGATGGCTTCATACTGTACAAATTGACAAAAATATATCATGACTAGCAAAATATATTAATAAAATACAAACATGAATACAGTTTTATAATATGAAATTCAGAGTCCCATGACAGTAGGCTTGAACCAAAATAGGTTCCCTAACTGCTATTCCTAATTGCAGTGGCCTTTTTGGGAGGGGGGTTCAGGGGAGGTGAATGAAAACTTATCTTCATTCTTTTCTTTTTGTAACAGTTATAAAGAAACTTTCTGGGCGGAAGAAATATGGAAGTGGCAGAGTTCTGGTTGCCCCTTTTTGCTAGAGAAGCAGGGCTTCTAAAGGGGCACAGAAGAAGAGCTGCTATTTCGACAAACATTTGCTTGCTTGCTTTCCCTCAAATTCCCCTACTTTGCCACATACCCTGAAATCACACCCTGGTTTCAGAATTTTGCTCACAAAAAAATCTGACAAGCCTAAAATTGGACAATAGTCTGACCCTGCAAGATATATATATTTGGTCAACATGTAAGATGTTTCATATTGATTCCTGACTAATAAAATCAATTATACAAGCTTTTGAACAAACAGAAAGTAAAGGGGGAAATGCACCCTTCCTTTCAAACACACACACAAAAGATATAAGGATAGGCCGGGAAACCAAAATAAACTCATTATGAGGTCCAGTTGCAACTGCATTTTTTCACATGTATTTTAATGTGAAAATGCTGAACTGGATTTTAAAAAATCAGCTCACAATTCAAAAATTCATTGCACAGGAAGAGTTAGATATATGGCATGTACAGTGGTGCCTCGCAAAACGAAATTAATCCGTTCCGCGAGTCTCTTCGTCTTGTGGTTTTTTCGTCATGCGAAGCACGGCTATTAGCGGCTTAGCGGCTACAGGTATAAACTCGTTCCCGCAACTGCAAGCCTCGACCCCTAGGGAGCATCTGGCCATTGCATAAGCCTCGTCCGGCCTCTTAAGCAGTCCCTCCTGACGCGCTTACATAACACAAGCCCCGACCGCCGCCATCCCAGCGACCCCAGAAGATAAGATCTGCAGCAAGCACCCCGCACCTCCGATCCTGGGGCGCGCTCAGCCAAAGCATCCCCGGACACCTGTCCCGCCGCGCCTTTGCGCAGCGCTCTGCAGAGCGGAGCGATGAGCCTGGCCGATCGCAGGCAGGGCAAGTGGCGGCGAAGGCGGAGAGAGCGAGGCCCAGAGGGAGGAGTCTCCGGCAACGCCATCGACGGCCCCGCCGTAGCTCCGGGTCCTGGAGCCCTCCGGCTGCCGGAGCCTCGTCTGCACCGGGATCCTCGCGCGCTCCCTCCGTCTCTCCATGCCTTTTAGGTGAGTGGCGTGCTCGGGCTGACTTTGGACGACCCACAGCAGGGCTTCCCTCGGCCGCGCGACTGGAGCTCGCCTTTGCGGTCACTTTGAGAAAAAGGAAAAAAAACTCGCAAGAAGTTTTGTCTTGCGAAGCAAGCCCATAGGGGAAATCGTCTTGCGAAGCGACGCAAAAACCGAAAAACCCTTTCGTCTTGCGCGTTTTTCGTTTTGCGAGGCATTCGTCTTGCGGGGCACCACTGTATGTAATACTGTTAGACTAGCATATAACTGTAACTGCATCAAACATGAAAGACTTTGAGGAATAAAAATATTAAAATTGTATTCAGAATTTAAGGCGTGCAAAAGCCTTTTTTAAAACATGGCATTCCAAATTTTATATGACATGACACGACTCAAGTGAATTTCTACTAAAGTTAAAGCAGTGTTGCAGTGAAGTACACAGGTCAAAACATCATCGCCCCCCTTATTACATGATGAGACAGTGCTACATCAGAAATAAAGAAGTCACCAGACATTTTCTCCCTCTTCAGTTGCATTTGGAGAAAAACAGTAATCACCAGGTTAACACATTAAAAATCACTGACATTGCCAAAAAATGTATAAATGTATAAAACACAGAGTGATTGTTCTCCAGTCTATTTACAGCTATATATAGAATGTTTAGAGCACTTTTGTATGCAAATAGTGTGCATATATTGCTACCTCTGGGAGGTAGCCAGCACTACATTTTTCTTGCATGCTGATCATGTGACTTTGAAAGCTTGAAAATCATTGTTCTTCTTTTGTAAGATACCATGACTTTAGATAAAGCCAAATGCTATACTATACAAACCGAGTAATACCTACCGTTTTGGGCAATGTTGGATCAACAGCTGTTTCACTGTAACCAATTGCTGCATATAACTTATGCTTTTCTTGTGGGGTCATAAGCTGTTCAATGCCTACCATTTAAAACAATTATTATTATTATTATTATTATTATTATTATTATTATTATTATTAGTTTTTATTAAAGATTTTCTTATGTCACAAAACAAATAAACAAGGAAAAGTACGTATAGTGTCTCAATTTTTGATTCATAGTGTCTTTTTCAGTTTGTTTACGTTTGGTATGACACACTATTGTCGTAGACATCATGCAGTTAATGCATTCAGTATAAAAAAAACCCCTCAATTCTCATAATGCATCATGGCATACCTGACACACTACATCAATACATTGGTTTTTTATTATTATAATTTAGTAAAAGTTGTAAACACACCGTTTTCACTTATGCTACTTTGCCTTTCCATAGAGGCAATGTCATAAGCCTGAAGACTTGGCATTTGATCTCAGGGTAAGATCATTCAGCCACCAATTCAAAACCTTGCATTATCAAGGGTACAGAATAATGGATGAATCCAAATGTACTTTTCTGCCTCCTTCCATCAGAGGAAGAGAACCTTTGGCTGCAACCCAATGTGTCTGTCAGTCAGACTTGTATTATTTGTAGTGAATCGTCATTACAAGATAAATCACAAAAAGTTAAAGTATATGAATTTTCAGAAGGAACGGATAATAGAGAGATTCCTTTGGAGTGCTGATTTATTGCCTTCAAGCAATAGGAGGAATACTATCCCACTTCAAGGTCCTACTGCCCAAAATAAAACTGCAAATAATCAAAATTTAAAATTGTAATGTTTCCTAAACTATTTAGATTTTTAAAATCACCTTTGAAAACAATCAGATTGACCTTCTACAAAATTCTGAAATTAATGGAGGACTTTATTCCTTTAAAAACTGTATAAAGGGCAATACAGTGTAACTGCAATTTTATGCAAGGGTTACATTCCTGGAGGAAAGGCAAAATTGTGCAAAGTCAGAACAATCGCAGGAACTGTCCCCACTGTCTAGAATCTCGTGAGAATGAGGCTGTCTGAGATCCTGTGAGACGCTGCAGGAGCCTCCCAGAGACCTCACACAACTGCCCCAGAGCTCAGTAAGCAAGCTGTTTCCATGGTTTTCCTTGCATGATCTCAAGAGAGCTTGAGATTTCCTTGCAAGATCTCAAGAGCCTTTAAGGTTAGTAGCCAAGGATCTCCCACCCCTTTCTATTTATTTTTTGGTGGTCTACATAAAGCTGTGATTGTGTAAGTCAGCGTAAATTGTGATTGCCCTGTACAGAATATAGTCACAATGTTTAGCAACAAAAACATTTATCACTGATTCTATCAGACAGCGACCTCTATAGCTTCCAATAAAAAGGCAGATGTCGTAAGTGGCTTCCACATTTAAGCTCCAAATATTTAAATTAGTTACAATGTTTGATAATATAGCCATCTAAGAGTCATTTATTCTGCCTAGGCCTTTTGGCAAACACAACTATTTTGCTCTTATATCTAATAGATCAGCCTTCCTGCTTAGAATAAATTTCAAATTTAGATGGCAATATTCTTACACCCACTTCAGATAATGGAATAAGAGCCAAATTGTCTGCATAATTTGACTGCCAACTGGGGGGTGGGGCCAAGAAAGCTACTGAAAGCCTTCATTTATGTACAGATTAAACAATAGTGAGCCAAAAAGCAGTCTTGTATTACACCCCACATATAAATATTGAAGATACAAGAAAATCTGAAAGTCCAGCTCAAATTTTAACACCAGCAATAGAATACAGCTACTGTATAAGAAACAGCAGCCATTTACCTATGCAGCCTTCCTCTCTTTCTAATTATCATCCCATCTCTCTGCTGCCTTTTGCTTCTAAACTTTAGTAAAGTTAAAGGTACCCCTGCCCGTACGGGCTAGTCGTGACCGACTCTAGGGTTGCGCGCTCATCTCGCTCAAGAGGCCGGGAGCCGGCACTGCCCGAAGACACTTCCGGGTCACGTGGCCAGCTTGACGAAGCTGCATCTGGCGAGCCAGCACCAGCGCCGCACACGGAAACGCCGTTTACCTTCCCGCTATAAAGCGGTACCTATTTATCTACTTGCACTTAGGGGTGCTTTCAAACTGCTAGGTGGGCAGGAGCTGGGACCGAATGACGGGAGCTCACCCCGCCGTGGGGATTTGAACCGCCGACCTTACGATCAGCAAGTCCTAGGCCCTGAGGTTTTACCCACAGCGCCACCCGCGGCCCTAAACTTTAGGAGCACGCTATTCTTTCTGTTTTGATTTTCTTTCTTCTAGCTTGGCCCTGAATCTCCTGCAATATAGGTTTCGTTCCCTATACTCCACTGAAATGGGTCTTATGAAGATCAGTAAAGACTTTATTGCCAAATCAAAAGGCTTATATTCTATCCTTAATCCTTTTTTTATTTCTGCAGTCTTTGATATGGTTGATCATGCTCTTTTGCTGGGTTTCTCAGTGACCTGGGATTCTGTGATACTATTCTAAGGTGGGTTGCCTAGTATCTGTAGGCCATTCATTTATTGTTTCTACAGGAGGTCATTCATCATTTACTTTTCTTGTTACAGTTGGAGTTCCCCAATGTGCTCTTTTGGGTCTCCTGATGTTTCTTTTTACGTTTTATCCTTGGGCCAGCTTATTCATTCTCATGGGTTTTAGTATCATTTGTACGCTGATGACATTCAACTCTATTTGTCAAATCCAGATCTTCCAGCATTCAGGGGCGGATTTTAAACTGTTTTGATATATAAGCTTGGATGCTTCATTGTTGTGTGATACTTAATTCAGCTAAGGGTGAGCTGGTTTTTTCCCCTTCTACAAAATCTTCTCCATATGTGTTCTCTATATATATTGACAGTATTATTATTCTCCCATGGAGCAGGAGGCATGTAGGCTGGGTTTCTATTTTTGTTTTCCACTAACAAGCATCCTTTTTATTGGGTGAAGGGAATTACAAGACTGGCCCTTGGCTTTCCCTATTGCTAATAAAGTGGTGGCGGCCCCTCCCACCAAGAAGCTGTCGCGAAACCTGCTTAACATCCGGAGTACAGCTCTTCTGATCCATTGTACTGCTTTCGCCGTGGGACGGTGAGGAGGTGCCCGTCTGCGATTACTACTTATGTATGACCCCTGCCTCTACATATGGCCATGTGAAGAACCCTTTCTTGCAACTGTTCCCACTTACAGGACTTTGAGCTTCCAGTAGATAACTAACTTTAGAGAGATTTACTTGTTTCAACTGTGTATGACGCTATTACTATATACATTATTAGCAGAGTTGTGCCATCTCCAGGCTTTGATATGCATGTTGCACTTTAATTTGCTGAACTAAGTAAAATTGTCCTTTATATCTGCAAGGCGGTTTGGTGTTTGGGTGATCACTAGGACTAGTTTCTTTGTAACATTGCTAGAATTTGTCCTTTTCTTTCTGTTGCTTCTACTTAAAACATTTAATTACCACTATGTCATAAAAATATATTTATCAAAGCAGTTTACAGCAATAAAAGTAACAACCATAAAAAGTTAGAGAGAGTTAAAAGCAAACATTAATTAACCATTATGGAAGGATGTAATTTTAATTGCTTGCAAAGGCCTGGTGGAACAGAAAAGTTTTCAGCAGGCATTTAAAAGCTGGCACAGAATGCATCTGCTGAATCTTAACTGGTAGAGTATTCCACAGGGCTGATGACATTAAAGGCTCAGTCAGTTTCTTGTTGTCAAATGAGCCTCACCAACACGGGGAATGACCAACAACACTCCTGCAGATGATCTCAGTGATCAAGGGATGTAAGGGTTAAGACACCATGGACCTAAGTTGCTCAGAGCTTTCAACCTTGAACCCGTTTCAGTAGTAGATGGGCAGCCAGTGTGGCTGTTTTAACAATGATTTAACAAGCCCAAGATTTAAAAAAAAAAAATTCAATTAAGAGTTAAATCTCTTAACATAAAGAACTCATTATGTTCTTAATAGCTGCAGTGCAATTGGATTGTCCCTGGATCTCCAGTCTACAAAAGGAGTTTTCTGCAGGGTTTGGCATCTAGCTGTTTTTTTTTTTAAAATCAGGTATTCCCCAAAGCAACATTGCAAGATATGAACTCCAGACTCTTTGATGGCATTTATACACCATTTGAAGACTTGTCAGTTTCAGCAGGCCTCTGTTGACAGCATATTATTCCCAACCTGTGCAATTTGGGAACATTCACAATATTCCTAAATCAAAATAGACATATACATACCTTTGGGTTCTTGTGTGGATTCTTTGCCTTTTCCTCCAGTCCAACCCCACATCCAACTAAACCAGCCACCAGAGTCTTCATCATCTTGTTTAGCCCCTGCTTTGAAAATCTTTAATCCAGCCTTAGTTGCCTATTACACAAAACAACACAATCTTATTTAAAGTTTAACATTCAATATTTTTATTCAATAGAGCCAGTGTTTGTTTTCCTGAGGGGGGGGGAGTAGAACTCATCACAAAATAAATAAATAAATGGCTAGAGAGAGAGATTGCGGGTGCAGTCGCTGTGCCACCCCCCACCCCCAGGCCGTGGCTAAATGTAAGAAATTATTAATAAACTCAAGCAGACAATGATCTGGGTTAGAAATGGCCACAACTTAATTGATTAGAGATGTAGATGGATTTTTGGCTTGGGTATTGGGTGTATATATCTGTTCCAGACCCCCCCAACTGATTTTAAAAGGGTAAGGGAACTCAGTTCCCCCAAGTTCCTGCTTTAAAAAATTTGCTTCCTAGTAAACATGGCTAGGCTTGCACTGTGACTTCAGATTCCTAGTATACGCCTTTCACTAGGTGTCTGGTCCCTTGCTTCTTCCACCTTCGCTCAAGATGGCAATTTCCCTTGTGAATCCACAAGAGCCAACACACACACACAAGGGCCACTTCAGAGGGTTTCCCCCTTTTTTCTTTCTTTACTACCTCCTTGCTTTGCCTACTCTACATCCTATCTTCTCCTCAAAACCAACAATCCTAGATTGACTCTGACTTACTTGGCAGGGAGACCCACTGAGGGATTTACTTCTGAGTAGACATGGTGAGGATTGCAGTGTCCCATCAGAAGCTCCTTCCCCTTCCCCCCCTTCCATCCAATGTTTTGCCTCAAGCCTTAACAGAGCTCTCTCCCATTTCAGAGGCAATCTAAACTTTTAAATGAGCTGCTTTAAAGGGGAAGTTAAGGAGTCAGCAGCAGCAGGCGCCCCCACTCTGCTAGGTGCTGGGGTGGATTGCACCCTGTGCCTTGCAGAGTCAGACCCAGGCTGCCACCAGGTCCAGCACTGGCAACAAGCAGCTCTGGCTCACCCAGCCCTACCCACTGCCACCCCACCCCCACACTTACTGGACATTGGGGATCTGTATCACGGGCTTTACTGGTCAAAGCAGGAGCCTCAGCAATCGCCCTCTCCTCCCCTAAAAACAAACTGGGACTGCTCCAAGAAAATGTACGTGGCAAAAAGGAGCACTAGGCCCTGGTGGGCTGCTCCCTTACCTGCTAAGCAGATAGTCAGCCAATCAGGATTTTTAAAAATGATTTTTTTCCTTTCTTCACTTCTCACTTCCCTCTGTGGCCCCCTAGCCTTGCGCTATGGCCCATTTACACATTTTTCACCTGTGGCCCTCTTGGAATAACCATATGGCCTTCAGTTGGGAAACACTGCACTAGCTCACAAACACGCAGAATGCAGCAAAGGGGGCTTTAAAGTAATAGCAATTTCCTCCTCCACCCCTCAATTTCAAGCAACAGCTTCTGTCTGGAAGAGGGAAGGGAAGGCTCAAAGCCAGAGGTCAGCAACCTAAGGCCCATGGGCCAGAAGCAGTCCATGAGGGTCGCTTAACTGGCCCATGAGCCACCCCCGAACCGAGCTGCCCACTCAGCAAGTCCCCATGCACTGCGCTAAACCGGCACAGGGACTCTCTTCCGTGACTCCTGAAATTGCATCTGCGCATGTCTGCAGCACCGGAAATCGTTTCTGTGCACACACGATTCTCGGCATCTGGACATGCGCAGACGCAATTTCCGGTGCCACAGACTTGCACAGAAGCAATTTCCGGCATCACACTGCGCCAGTCCAGCCCACAGGGAATCTCCATGGCAGTGATCTGGCCCATGCCCAGTAAGCCTTGCCGACCCCTGCTCAAGGCAGTATCCTGCTTTCTGAGCTGGGTAGCTCAGCTCACAAACAGGCAGAATGCAGCAAAGGAGGCTTTAAAGGCATGAAAAAGTGCTTTCTTCCTCTTGAGAAAGAAGTAGAGACAGGACAGATTGCAAAGTGCAATGAACTTCCCTGCACCTCTGCTCAGCTGGTTCACAGAGAGGCCCTGCCTCTCCAGCTCAAGTTTATTTGAAATGTATATACAGAAACTGTTCCACGGAAGTTTAATTTGAGCTTGCTGTTGTTGAAGACTTCTATGCATTTCTCCAAGCTAGAAGCAAATAGAAGCTTTTTAACCTCAAAGTTGTTAAACAACTAACTCATAAAATCAAATTCATTTTAGAGCAGTTACCTCAAATTCTGCCTGTTGTCTTGCCAGAGTGATGTTGAATATGTCCAAGGTCTTCTCTAGTTCCTATAAAGGGGGTTGAAAGTAACATAAAATGTCATACACAGAGCAATGGCAAAATGGCTCCTCCATAATTATTTATGAAAAGAGAAGTGTTATGGTAGATCTCTCCCCCCACCACCCTGGTCAGAGTTAGAGGAAGTTGTGAGAGAAAGTTGTGAAACAGCTGCGTTACAATTTATCAAGGTTAAATGATATTTGTATTATCATGAACACTACTGTGTGAATAGCTACATATATTTAAACTTTAATGTAGCAATTACATACTGTAATTTTCATTTCATTTCCCTCTAATCTCACTGTTTACAATTCCTCCCTCTACTCCATCAACCTGCCAAAGTAACACTTCTTGCATCTGAAGAAATAGACTCTAGTCCACACAAGCTTATGCCATAATAAATTTATTAGTATTTAAATTACTACCAAACTCTTTGCTGAAAAGGCACCATAGTAAAATACAAATTTCAGGAGTACTGAAGAGAATGACACAGGGGATATAGGAAAGAGGCTGGGTGGCTTTAGGTAGGTCCTATCGCAGGAGACCAGAAATCAAATTACAGAATGCTATAGAGAAAAGTAAAGAATCAGAGCCCAGTGGAGTCTGTCTTTCTTTGTTTCTTTCTTTCTTTCTCTTTCTTTCTTTCTTTCTTTCTTTCTTTCTTTCTTTCTTTCTTTCTTTTTCATTTCTGTACTAGTACAATTCAGACTTAATGACTAAATATAAATGGTGCCTTGAAATTAGGAGTAGGCAAAATAGGGGCTATGAAAATAGAAAAATGCTTTGGGGAAAGTGAAGGGAGATTAGGGCTTCAGGGGTCAGAATGGAATATAAATAAATGAAATAAGAGCGCAGAAGAATTCTGGAAATATGGCAGGCTGCCTCATAATAAATTTGATGAACATTACTTTCAATGACATCAAAAGAGATGCTGCTGCTTTGATCCCGACTGTCCTCTCTGGAGAGACACTTCCCCCTTCACTGTATCCAAGAGGGTGCTGAGAAGGATGGTATTTTGAGCGCTTCTTGAAAGGCTGGCGCTTTCACTAGGAGACTGAGGTGCCATTTCTTCTGTCCTATTTTAGAGCACAATGAAGAATATGGAGTAGAGACTACAAAGACGCTGGTGTGAAGGAACTGGAACTATAGCTCCCATGGAAAGACAGTGAATCGAAGACCAAACAGCTTGAAGACAAAGTTTGTTTTTTAGTAGTGGAGAAGGGATGAAATGATCGAGAGGAACCAAAATGAAGTCTATTAGGTAACCTTCTGAAACAATTTCCTTAACCCAGCAGTCGGAGACAGACTTTTGCAGGCGGGAAGAAAGCTAGAAAGATGAGCCATCCACAAGAGACATCACTAGTTCATTGTTTGGTTGTCTGCATTTGAGGAAGCCTGGAACCGCTGGAACCCTTGCCTCCCTTGAAAATGTTAACAAAAGGGGTGGGATCAGAATCTAAAGTCTCTTTGTCTATTTGGGTTCAAAAGAGGAGAAAGGACTGAGATTGAGAAGCATTTGGTGAGAAACTGGCTGGTCACTTGTAATCTCTCTGGGTTAGCAAAACTTTCCATTTATCCTTTGATTCAATAAGGACATTTTTCAATTCCCAAAAAGGTGACCACCGGAAAAGGGAACGGTAGAAAGGTTCACTTTAGATGCTGCATCCGCATTCCAGCTCTAGCCACAAAGTGCATCTAGCCGCTACCTGGGACACCACTGCTCTAGCTGAAAATTGAACGGAATCCATAGAGGCATCAGCCATAAAGGCCTGAGCATTTAGTAGCTTACTCAGACTTTGGTGTTGATTGCAATAAGTCCTCAAGCCACACAATGCATGCTTGGTCACATGAAGCAACCCAGGAAGCTCTTAAGAAAAGGGCAGCTGCTTGAGAGCCAGTGTGGTGTAGTGGTTAAGAGCGGTAGTCTCGTAATCTGGGGAACCGGGTTCGCATCTCCATTCCTCCACCTGCAGCTGCTGGGTGACCTTGGGCCAGTCACACTTCTCTGAAGTCTCTCAGCCCCACTCACCTCACAGAGTGTTTGTTGTGGGGAAGGAAGGGAAAGGAGACTGTGAGCCGCTTTGAGACTCCTTCGGGTAGTGATAAAGCGGGATATCAAATCCAAACTCTTCTTCATGAATTTACATGGAGCGAACTCCAGCCTGTCAGTCCCGAAGTTGGGCATCTCCCTCCCGAGGGATCAGATGATGAGATGAAAGATTTAACACCAGTCAGTCTGTGGCAGGGATCTCAATATATGCCATGAATTCAGGATCCATATCATATAACTCGTCAGCCAGGGCATTATTCTTTCTAGAATACATAGGCGTGTCAAGCTCAGACTTAACAACCGCCTTCAATACTGATGGCACCAACATAAAGTTAGCTGAAGTGCTGTTATTAGTACAGACACCTCACTCTCTGGTTTTGAGGCTGACATTTTATGAGACGGAGTTGATAATTCCAATGTGTGCATTATCTTATGTTTCAGGATGAGGGCACTAGCCTCTTGGAACAGTCTTATAGAAAAGGATTCGTCTTGAACAGAACCATCACTCTAATCATCATCAACTTCTGCTTCTAGCAAAGAGGTGGAGAGGAAGGAAAAGAAAACTCATCTTCAGCCTTTTTTCCCCATAGAGATGAAGGTGTTAGGGGAAAAGACCCTAAGATCCAACTCCACTGCCCCCCCGGGGGGGCAGAATGGGTTGCTAAAAAAAAAACTTAGGCTGCTTCTTTGGAAGTAAGTAAGTTAAATGCAATTCAGAGGACAGTGAAGCAATTAGGGCTTTAACTGCTCAATCAATGAGGCTGGAAAGGTTTGAGAAGTGGGGTGGGGGGTGGGGCACCTTAAGTGGCTGGCGAGGGAACATGACACTCTTGTCCCTGTTCTGCCGAAAAACCTAAGAATTCTGGCTCAGAATCTGATAAAGCATCAATCTGTCCCTCGACAGCAGGTGGCAGTATAGTCTTAGCATTTGACAGAGTGGAAGCACTTTTAGGAGCTGAGGCTTGCTTTGTATTGCAAGCCTGGGGCTGAGGTAAAATTATGGAAGAAAGACGCTTCTTTGGAAGGTCTGGGGGAGCAGTCTTGGCAAATCCCCCAGATTAGAGAACACCATGCTGTTTTTGCTTTGCTTTTTTGGAGGTGGGCTGCTTCAGCCACAAGTGTTCTCCATGTGCCATTAGAACAGCAAAGAGGCGCGCGCACACGCACACACACAAAAGGCCTCTGATTTTCACCAAATAAACACTCAGCTCCATTTACCACACCATGGACCGGGAGGAGGAATAGATATATTCAGCCCAAAGGTCTCCGTTTGCCACTCCGTGGACCAGGAGAAAAGGCAGGCAAAAGCCTCACGCCAAACTTGGTTTGCCGTGCCATGGAGCAGGAGTGGGTGGGAAACAGAAGCTACACTCTCTCTCCTTGTCACAGCCGCCGACCAGGAGGATGAGGATGAGGGGCAGGCACTCCGCGTCGCCAAAGCAAACCAGAAGGCAGGCAGGCTTCAAGATCAAAGGCCAATAGAAGCAGGCAGGCAGGGACGTAACAGGGACACTCACTCCGTTGCTGGTGTAAAAACAGCAATCCGGGAGGAGGTGGCCAAGTTGTTTTTAAATCAGGGCAGGAGAACGCAAACGCCACACCACCCGTCACACAAGTAGCGCGCACACCAAAATGAAAGACAGAAATACAGTTGTGACCCCAGAAAAATGGCAGTGGCCGCAGAGGCTGCTGAGGGAAAGAAAAAGAGCGCACTGGCAGTGGGCCGCTGCGCCTGAAGGCGGGAACGGCCATTGGTGCTGCAGCAAGGGCACCAGTTCTGGAAAATTTATCAATGTAAGTAAACAACTAAGGAATAAAAGAAAGGGGGGCATATAAGCGGAACAACCAAATGTAAAGAAAACGGAAAGGGGTTTTGGGGGGGGGCACAACGCACAAAGAACTGTAAAACTAAAACGATGTTAAGGTAAATCTAAAGAAAACTTGTAAAAAACTTAGCTGAGTTGGGAGATCTGGGAGGAATATACTGTCTGCGTCTAGACAGGAGGAAAAACTGAGGGAGTCCAGCCTGCTTCCCGCAAGTCTTTGCTCCTGTCTAGTGTCTTGCGACAGGATGAACACCCTTTCCACTGGATATGATGCCCCACAAACTAAAATGGTGTACCATAATATGTAAGTAAATATGCAACACCAGCATTTAGAAAACTATCAGGAAAAGCAGACAGAATTTTTAGTGTTTATTATAAAAGTTAATCTCCAAATTAACAGTAATTTCAAAGTACTAACTTCCAGCATGTTCAAACATTCCTCAACAGGCTTCTTTGATGTTATTTTTGTTTTGTACAGATCTCTATAGCTCTTCACTTTATTCCTATGGTAACGAATATGTTCCCAAGACCACATCTGTAACTTCGGTTGGACATTTACTTCAAGAATGCCAAATATAATGTACTTCCACCTAATGGGGGGAAAGAAAACATGTTGGGAAAGCACAATATGAAAAAGGATTTTTCCTTTTAAAGCACATCTTATTATGAGTCTTAAGTTGGTGCAAAAGAACCCAGTTATTGATTTTCCTCCAAAGCACACAAAAGTTTAATATGTTCTTATGGGATGCTTATGGAATTCTTCCCTACCAAATTTTTGGAACTTTTTACCACAACAGCTCCAAGATTTCAGCATAATCCAGATTTGTCCAGCTTTCCATTTTTGGAATGTGTAACATTTCATAAAATCATGGAATAGTAGAGCTGGAAGAGACCCCATGCAATGCAGGAATCTCAGCTAGATTGTACATGACAGATGGCCATCTAACCTCTGCTTATATAGAAACCTCCAGTGAAAGGTCTCAGGTCCACAAGCTCCTGAGGGAATCTGCTCCCTGAAGTGTAGATTTGAGAAGTTGCTGATGATACAAATGGGTTGGGTATTACCCCTCATCATGCGGCAGATACAGGAGAGCAAAGACCTTTGGGAGGCAGGTGCAGTCCCCTCAGTTTTTTCAGATTTGCCAAGGAGAATTAGACATTGATCTTAGCCAGAAAGGGAAATGTGTACATATACCTACCTCCCCCACTCCCGGCTTAACATGTGCAGTCTAAACAAAAATATATAGTAAATCCCCTCCTTCCCATATTACTGCAGACCACAGTAGAGATGGGTACCATTTGTGTCATCAGCAACCTCTCTCAAATCTACGCTTCAAAAGGTAAGACCTTTAGTACTTCATTCAGCAGAGCTTTACTTGCACTGAAGGCAAATGAGTGTAATGGTTATCAAATCCAATACAATCAGGATTGGCTCAGTCCATATAAAATCCAATTGCAGCATTTATGAACTTAATTCATAATAAGACTAAACCTTAGCACTTAAGAAACACCACGCCAGAAGGAAGAGAGAGAAAGAGAAAAGTAAGACCCAGGCTCCTTTTGGCCTATATTTCTAGTCAGCATGACTCTGCAGAATAGAGATAAGAGAACTAGTTCAAAGCAGCTTCCCAGAAGCTATAACCCAAACAATCGTTAACCCTTCTGCCTATGCTTCTCTCACACATAGAAGCTTCTAGTAGTTTCTTGTATTGATCAGAATAGAAAAGAATAGGAAAGATCTTTACACATGAGATCAATACTTTCTGCACTAAGAAATGCAAACTGACAGGAATATGACACATTTTCTCGTAGAGGCTGAATGAAAGGAAAGAAGGGAAAGTCAAGGAAAAAGTAAGAGTGAAGCGGCAAGACACAGGAGATTTTTATTATTTTTTACCTCAGCAGAGAGAGAAAAAGGGAAGTTAGAGACCAAGCTCAGCAGGAAATTAAAGGGAAATAAGAAAAATTGGGAAACACCGGAAAAATCAAAAGTAAGGAACAGCTGAAATTTGAAAAAGTTAACTGAAAAGGAAGATCAGTGAGAGCCAGGTGAAAAGATCTGATCCATCAGGCAGGAGAGAGAAAAACCAAGGGGACCGCACCTGCCTCCCAGAGTTCTTTGCTCTCCTGCCTCCATCACGTGACGAGGGATAATATCCAACCCATTTGGGTAATCAGCAACTGTCTCAAATCAGCTCTTACTCTCAGAAAGTTCTTCCTGATGCTGAGTCAGAATCTACCTTCTTGAAGCCACTGGCTCAAGTCCTACCCTCCAAGCAAGAGAAAACAAGTCTGCTCTATCTTCCATGTGACAGCCCTTCAGATATTTGAAGATGGCTATCATATCTCCACTCGGTCTCCCCATTTCCAGGCTAAACATACCCTGCTCCTTCAACAATTCCTCATAAGGCTTGCTTTCCAAACCCCTGATCATCTTGGTTGCCCCCTGCAGCACACGTTCCAGCTTGTCAATACCCTTCTTAAATTGCAGTGCCCAGAATTGGACATAAGTCAGAATAAAGGTAAAGGGACCCCTGACTATTAGGTCCAGTCGTGACCCACTCTGGGGTTGCGGCGCTAATCTCGCTTTATTGGCCAAGGGAGCCGGCGTACAGCTTCCAGGTCATGTGGCCAGCATGACTAAGCCACTTCTGGCAAACCAGAGCAGCGCACGGAAACGCAGTTTACCTTCCCGCCGGAGCAGTACCTATTTATCTACTTGCACTCTGACGTGTTTTCGAACTGCTAGGTTGGCAGGAGCAGGGACTGAGCAACGGGAGCTCACCCCATCGAAGGGATTCGAACCACCAGCATTAGCTTTTTTTGCTGCCTCATGTTAAGCTTGTGGAGACCCCTAGATCCTTTTCACATGTACTATTGGCAAGCCAGGTGTCCCCCATCTTATATCTGTTCAACTGGTTCTTCCTGCCTAAATGCAGAACCTTACATTTGTCCCTACTGAAATTCATTTTGTTAGTTTGGCCCCAGTTCTCCAATCTGTTAAGGTCATTTTGAACCCCACTCATGTCTTCTGCAGTATTAGCTACCACTCCCAGCTTGTTGCCATCTGCAAATTTGATGAACATCCCCTCAACGGGCCCGACAGAACCCTAAGGCACGCCACTTGTCACTTTATTTCAGGTTTATGTGGAACCATTAATGACTACTCTTTGAGTTTGGTCCGCCAACCAGTTTACAAATTCAGAAAAGCCATAGTAAAAAAAAGTAGCTCTAGGTGATACTTTTGTTTCTTCCAAAGAAGAGAGGCCTTCTGGAGACAGGCAGCGTTAACTTTTTTTTAAGCCTCCAAAAGAAAAGCAGTAGAACAGAAATGAGGGACATATGCTCATCTCCAATCATAGGGTTGTACCAGATTAAGGCTAAGTAATATGCTCATCTCCATGCTCAGAACAGACCTATTAGAAATGGACTTGAGTTATTCATGACTAACTTAAGTCCATTGATTTTAAAGACTTTACTCCAAGTATGACACTGGACAGAACTTACCTTGTTTAACAGTCTGAAATATGTTGTAATTATGTTGTGCACATTTCAATACACAGCTTAAAGACATATGAATTAATACGTACTAGAGATGAGCTAAAACCCTCCTGGAAAATATATTTGAAAATGAATTCATGCCTGATTTTTCTCTCAGAAAGAACAATGTTGTTTTGATTTAAAAAAACCTCACAGGTAATTTTTAGAAGCAAGTTATTTTAAAAAATGGATACGTTACCATTTTTTGGCATTGTTGTGAACAGGAACATCTGGCCTGTATTTCCTGTATGGTAAATTTCGAGTCATCATATCAATTGATTCAAGAAGCTCCATAATACTGAAATACTGCAGAAAAAAATGTTACACTTAGGAGTTTTCTTACAAAAGAATTATAACAGAACCTTAAAAACATTATTTTTAGTACAAGCTATTTGTTAGCAGAACTTTCTTTTTTAAACTGCCAATAATGTATTTAATGGAGAAATGCAGGTATACAAGTAGGATTCTGCATTAACCATCATCTTGCCAAAAAAGAAAATCACACTAAACATGACAAATACGAGTGAAAGCATGTTCTGCTCTAGAGACACAGGTTAACTAATTATAGATTAACTACTGGGTGAAACAGAATTTTGTTCTTTTTACTGAGTAAATGGAAATTTGCAGAAAATTTCATTTTTCTCGCTCGCTCAGTGAAGGAAGACACGTGAATGCTCATAATCCAAGTGTTTATCCCAAAATGAGCAGTTAATCCTGCACTGCAAATTGTCCAAGAGGACGACTGCTGTAGAAGCAAAGACAGAGAAGCAAAACCTTTAATGTCAGACCCTGACCTAAGAATCTTGCCAGAAGGAATTGAGCCAAACCATTATTTGTTTTAAATAGAAATTATTATTGATTTTCAACATAACATTAACACAACATAGAAATTTCCCCATTTGACCCAGACAATTGTTGATAAGGCTCTTGCTCCCAATGAATAACAAGATGTCCGACTGATACTAGCACCATATAGTCTTTGACCAATGAGCTGAAGGGCATGCTGAAACTTCTTTCTGATAAGAAGCCAGGCAAAAGAAGAAACTTCCTCAACAGCTTCATCCTATCCCAAAAGCCAAGGTGTGCAGCAGATGGGCCATAGAGCTTCCTTCAGCGGCTTGGGAGGGTCATACGTGTAGACCCGTGGCTTGACCCTGTCATTTGAGGGGATGTGAGCGATATACACCCAATGCCTAGGCCAAATCCAGCCTACATCTGGAATCAATAAAGTTGTGGCCAATTCTTAAATCCCAGACTTTCCTGCCTGTTTGTCCCCCTTCTTGGCTCAGGCCTTACTCTGGGGTGGGGGTCCCTGTGAGCAGGTCTGCAATGTATAGAACACACTTGTTATCTTTCCTGCATATTGCTCTGATATCCAGCAGGTGGCAACAAGTTGCATCTAAACTTTATTACAGTATATTTTAAATACAGTGGTAGCTCTGGTTACAGAGGCTTCAGGTTACAGACTCCGCTAACCCAGAAATATTATCTCATGTTAAGAACTTTGCTTCAGGATGAGAACAGAAATCGCGCAGCGGCAGCGGGAGGCCCCATTAGCTAAAATGGTACCTCGGGTTAAGAACAGTTTCAGGTTAAGAACGGACCTCCCAGAACGTATTAAGTTCTTAACCCGAGGTACCACTGTACTATTTTAGGCACAGGGAGGAAAGACCTAAGGCAGCTGATACACTTCATTCAATGCCCTGCTGTGCTCCTTGCCAGCAGGGCAGACATGAGGGCAGACAAATGTTCTTGCACTCCTCCTTCCTTTCATTTCCTTTAAAAAAAAATATTTTCCTTGTCACTGAGAACTGGACGGGGGTAGTTTTTGCCATTGCTTGTGGGCGGGCATGTCGGAGGACTGAGAAGTTGCTGGATCTATCCTAGCACACAGCCTTTTCAGTTTTACCAAAATAATAAGGGTGAGATCCGCAGTAGATTCTGTAGTACTGGAGAAGGGGAATTTGACACTGGATCTCCCTCTCTGAAGCTGGAACATTCTCTCTGCCCTTGGAAAGGATGGTCCAATGCTTCCTACAGTCCCTGAGATAGCCTCTCATGGACCATAAGATTACATAGTTTATTTCATTGTTTTCTCTGTTACTGTTACTGTTTTGTTGTTGTTGTTGTTGTTGTTGTTGTTGTTGTTGTTGTTTAGTCGTGTCCGACTCTTCGTGACCCCCCTGGACCAGAGCACGCCAGGCACTCCTGTCTTCCACTGCCTCCCGCACTTTGGTCAAACTCATGCTGGTAGCTTCGAGAACACTGTCCAACCATCTCATTCTCTGTCGTCCCCTTCTCCTTCTGCCCTCAATCTTTCCCAACATCAGGGTATTTTCCAGGGAGTCTTCTCTTCTCATGAGGTGGCCAAAGTATTGGAGCCTCAGCTTCAGGATCTGCCCTTCCAGTGAGCACTCAGGACTGATTTCCTTAAGAATGGACAGGTTTGATCTTCTTGCAGTCCATGTTGTTGTTCCATATCCAGTTTTTCCATACCCAGTTCTAACTGTAGCTTCTTGTCCCACATAGAGATTTCTCAGGAGACAGATGAGGTGATCAGGCACTCCCATTTCTTTAAGAACTTGCCATAGTTTGCTGTGGTCGACACAGTCAAAGGCTTTTGCATGGTCAATGAAGCAGAAGTAGATGTCTTTCTGGAACTCTCTAGCTTTCTCCATAATCCAGCGCATGTTCACAATTTGGTCTCTGGTTCCTCTGCCCCTTCGAAATCCAGCTTGCAGTTCTGGGAGTTCTCGGTCCACATACTGCTTAAGCCTGCCTTGTAGAATTTTAAGCATAACCTGCCAGCGTGTGAAATGAGTGCAATTGTGCGGTAGTTGGAGCATTCTTTGGCACTTCCCTTTTCTGGGATTGGGATGTAGACTGATCTCCAATCCTCTGGCCACTGCTGAGTTTTCCAAACTTGCTGGCATATTGAGTGTAGTACCTTAACAGCATCATCTTTTAAAATTTTAAATAGTTCAGCTGGAATAATATCACTTCCACTGGCCTTGTTATTAGCAGTGCTTTCTAAGGCCCATTTGACTTCACTCTCCAGGATGTCTGGCTCAAGGTCAGCAACCACACTACCTGGGGTGTACGAGACATCCATATCTTTCTGGCATAATTCCTCTGTGTATTCTTTCCACCTCTTCTTGATGTCTTCTGCTTCTGTTAGGTCCTTACCACTTTTGTCCTTTATTATGGTAATCTTTGTACGAAATGTTCCTTTCATATCTCCAATTTTCTTGAACAGATCTCTGGTTTTTCCCATTCTATTGTTTTCCTCTATTTCTTTGCATTGCTCATTTAAGAAGGCCTTCTTGTCTCTCCTTGCTATTTTTTGGAAATCTGCATTCAGTTTCCTGTATCTTTCACGATCTCCCTCGCATTTTGCTTGCCTTCTCTCCCCTGCTATTTGTAAGGCCTCGTTGGACAGCCACTTTGCTTTCTTGCATTTCCTTTTCATTGGGATGGTTTTTGTTGCTGCCTCCTGTATAATGTTACAAGCCTCCATCCATAGTTTTTCAGGCACTCTGTCCACCAAATCTAAATCCTTAAACCTGTTCCTCACTTCCACTGTGTATTCATAAGGGATTTGATTTTTGACTGTTTATAGTGTATTGAATAATTTATCAATGCAGCCCAGTTTTTGGATACTGAGCTGAATTGGATTGTATAATTGGATTGAGTTGAGCTGAGTTGATTGTATAATTAGATTCAGTCTCTTTTGATATATGTGATTTATGCATTCAGAGTATTATTGCTCTCATTGTATAATATGGTATTATGTACACAGAAATGAATGAAATGCGTTGGCCTCACAATTCAGTTACATTAAAATTATTTCTTTATTCAATTCATTTTTTCCCACCCTTTATCAAAAGATTCCAGGGCAGTGTACAAAATGAGGAACACAAATTTGATAATTCTTTCTTTATATAATTTGTACTGTCTGTCTAAGCCACTAGCAGGTGCAAGAGGCACATGGAATGAGCCTGAATTTGGAATTCAGCCCTTGCAGAAATCCACCTGAATCTGACTGGGTCACCCGAGGAGGAGTATAGGAGAGGGAGGTGTTTCCATGACCTGGAGCGGAGGGCCTCTCCTTGCACCTTCTCTGGCCCCTAGGAAGACATTTTGTAGCAGATGATGGAAATAGGGAGGGGGGGAGAAAGAGATTCTTTTGAAGGGAAGCTATGGATGGGAGAGACAGAGGGGAGACATTCCAACTCTTTTGTGGTTTGGAAGTGAGGAAGAACACACACTACAGTTCTGGGGAGGGAAACTGGGGCAGTGAGAGGGGGTGGGAAGCAATGCAAGCAGGGGGACACCATCTACATATAAAGATCAGCTGTAGCTGGTGTGTGTGTGTTATCATTATATTATTGTTATTATTTTAGAAAGTTCATCCGCAACAGGAATGTGTTAGGAATGTCAAGTTATAATGTGCTTCCGGGTCCATGAGAAAAATGAAGTTTATTTCAATTAAAATCATTTCTGGAAAGTTACCTGTGGTTTATTAAGTTCTATGGCTATATCCTGAAGATTCACATCTAGATCTAGTTTTGGTGCAGAAAAGTCAACATCAGATCGTGGATTCATACGGAGCTTGGCTTTAGCTGATATTGGACGGAATACTACAACAAAAAACAGAATTTTTTTAGAACAAGGCAGTCAAAAGGGAAGTAGATCCTGTAAACAATTTTATCATTTATGAGTAGATCTTCTCTTTTTTGACTATTGTGAGCAAAGAAAACAGGATTCCCTGCTACTCACCAGGTAGTAACGCTTGTCTTCGTGAACACTTCCCCAATCACAAGCAGTGTGCTTGCTAATGTAGTCTATATGAGTAGAACTATGCACAGAACAAAGGTTCTGTTGTGAAATGAGGGAACCTATGAATGAGCCAGCATCCCTGAGGCAACCTCCTCAGCTGTCAGTGTGGTATAGTAGATGGAATGTGGTGGTTCAACAGATCTCATCAACAAAACACAATATGGCCTTGAGACGTCACTAGCTTTCCTAACTTTCAGTCAAACTTATTGGTTTAAACTTTAATAAGGATAAAATAGGCAAGCTTATGTTGGCCAGAGAGCTCCCTTGAAGAAGTGCAGCACATTGATGGGAGTCTGAATTTTTTGCTGAACTACTGCAAATTACCCAGGAACTAAGAATAACCCCTGATTTACCTTCTGACCACACCTGGGCTATATACCTCACTATCTACTTAAAGAAATTACCATTTTTGTTATTACTGTTATTGTTATTATTGAGGAGGAGGATGTAAGAACAGGAAGCTCATAGTGGAGAAAGATTCCAACATAACAGTCCTTGACCTGCTGTTATTACAGATATTCTCCTAGCTGAGAGACTACTGGTTCTGCGAGACTTCAACATCCATGCCAAAGCAGCCGGCTCTGGGGCAGCTCAGGACTTCATGACTACCATGACAACCATGGGGCTGTCCCAACATGTCACCAGCCCAATGCACATGGCAGGCCACACTCTGGACCTTGTTTTCTTGGGCAGAAAGAGGGTGCTTTGAAGCTGGGGGACATTGACATCAGTCCCTTGTCATGGTCAGATCACTTCCTGTTGAGATTTAGGATGTCAGCACCTTTTCCCCTCCAATGAGGCAAGGAATCTATTAGGAAGGTCCACCCTCGGAGACTGATGGATCCAGTGGGGTTCTAAACAGCTGGGGGGCATGCCAACTGATATGACTGGAGCCCCTGTCGAAGGCCTGGCCGACCTCTGGGACACCCGAATGACTCGGACTATTGACACGATTGCACCTGAGGATCCTCTCCCACTTTGTGGAACCTAATTGGGCCCTTGGTACACTCCAGAGCTTAGGGCAAGGAAACAAGCTGGGAGACAGCTTGAACACAAGTGGAGGAAAGATCTGAATGAATGTAACCGAGCACTGATAAGGGCTCATTATCGAGCCTACCTAGTGGCAATGAAGGCAGCAAAGTTTTTGCTGCCTCCATTGCATCCTCATTATGTCATCTGGCAGAGCTTTTCCAAGTTGTACAGGGCCTTTTACAGGCTGGCCCAAAGGAGGTGACAGAACCAATGGTAGCTCGCTGTGGCTTGTTTGCAAAGCATTTTGAGGATAAAAATCACTTGCATCCACCAAGACCTTGACTCCGCTGTTATAGCAGATGAATCCCATGGGGTGCGCAGAGCACACTCTAGTTCTGTTGTGTTGAATGAGTTTCAGTTGGTAAGGCTCAAGGATGTGGACAAGGTGCTGGGATCAGTCAGTTGCACTCTAGACCTTTGCCCTTCTTGATAAAAACCAGCAGGGAGGGAACAGCTGGCTGGGCCAGGGAGGTGATCAATGCCTCTTTACGAGAGGGGGTGGTTCCTGACTGTTTGAAGGAGGCGGTGGTAAAACCACTCCTTAAGAAACCTTCCCTGGATTCAGAAAACCTAACTAACTACCGGCCAGTTGCTAACCTCCCTTTCCTGAGCAAGGTTCTGGAGCAAATGATGTTCTGTATCCATTTCAACCAGGCTTTAGGCTCAGTTTTGGCACAGAAACATGTCCCTGTTAATTCTTCTCGACCTCTCAGCAGCTTTTGATACCATTTACCTTGGTATCCTTCTGGAGCGACTCTCCGAACTAGGGCTGGTTGATACCGCTTTGCGGTGGTTCCAGTCCTACTTGGATGGTCGTTCCCAGAGGGTGTTACTTGGGGAATGCTTTTCAGCCCTGTGGAACCTTCAATGTGGGGTTCAGCAAGGCTCAATCCTTTCCCCCATGTTGTTTAATGTCTACATGAAACCACTCAGTGTGATTATCCAGAGGTTCGGAGAACATTGTCAGCAGTATGCTGATGACACTCGGCTCTACAGTGGTACCTCTGGTTGCGAACGAGATCCGTTCCGGAGCCCCGTTCGCAACCTGAGGGGAACGCAACCCACGTCTGCGCGTCGCCACTTCTGCGCATGACGTCATTTTGAGTGCCTACGCATGCGCGAGCGGCGAAACCCAGAAGTAACCCTTTCCGGTACTTCCGGGTCGCCGTGGGACACAACCTGAAAACGTTCAACCTGAAGCAAACGCAACACGAGGTATGACTGATATTACATCTGCAGGTGAGGCAATGGAAGCACTGGACCAGTGCCTTCCCTTGATGAGAGCCAGCAAACTGAAGCTCAATCCAGATAAGACTGAGGCACTGTTACTGGGTGGTTCCCAAGACCAGATGGGTGGGAGTTTGCCTGCTCTTGATGGGGTTACACTTCATCTGAAGGAGTAGGTTTGTAGCTTGGGAGTACTCCTAGATACTTGGCTGTCGCTCAAGGCTCAGGTGGCCTCAGTGGCCCAGAGTGCCTTTCATCAGCTTCGGCTGGTAACCCAGCTATGCCCCTATCTGGACAGGGAAAGCCTAACCACTGTTGTCTATGCTCTAGTAACCTCAAGGTTAGATTACTACAATGCGTTACACGTAGGGCTGCCTCTGAAGACGGTTCGGAAACTTCAGCTAGTGCAGGATTCAACAGTTAGGTTGCTCACAGGAGCAAGATGGTTTGAGCATATTACACCGATCCTGGGCTGACTGCATTGGCTACCAATTAGTTTCTGAGCCCAATTCAAAGTGCTGGTTTTGACCTGTAAAGCCTTAGACGGCTCAGGAGTGCAATACCTCAAGGACTGCCTCTTTCCATATGAACCTGCCCAGACCCTGAAATCATCTTCTGAGGCCCTTCTTCATGTGCCTCCTCCTCGAGAAGTCTGGAGGGTGACATCATGAGAACGGGCCTTCCTTGCAATGGCTCCCCATCTGTGGAATGCTCTCCCTAGGAAACTTTACCTGGCGCCTTCATTATACACCTTTAGGGACCAGGCAAAAATGTTCCTTTTTAACCAGGCCTTTGGTTGATTTGATTGACATCTGATGCCCTTTTAGATTTTTCTTTTGGTGGGTGTTATTGGGCTGTTGATTTTATTTTGATTATATATATTATGATTTTATATTTTGATTTTGTTCTGTGAACCGCCCTGAGACCTCTGGGTATAGGGCAGTATAAAATAAATAAATAAATAAATAAATAAACAAACAAACATACATACATACATACATACATACATACATACACATGGTCAGAAGGGCCAGAGCTAGAGAACTACACAATCATAGAAACCATATGTGGAATTACAGATACTATGAAGAACTTACCAAAGCTGTAGCCTTCTGGAATCGTGTTAGTGCCCGCAACTCCACTTTTTAAGTTACTCTTTTGTAGAGGAAAGGGGAAATAGAAATAAAGTGTAAAAATGGAATATTAACATCCAAGAGCAGATTGCTTCAAATCAAGCTGTACTTTCCTGCTCAGCAGCTAAAAAAAAACCTATTTTCAAGATACAAGGTCTGATTGTCTAATTAAAGTCTCTCATTCTCTCTCATATATATATATATATATATATATATATATATATATATATATATCCCATTTCCAGAAAGATGATCTAGAAAGATACAGGAACTGGTCAGACTTGACTCTGTAACAAACCTTATATTTAGCAGCATTTTGCTACAAGTATGAGATTCCCATGACATTCAGAGGCATTGATACTTTCTTAAAAAACTGTGAGGAAGAAAGAATTTCAGCCAGTCCAACCTCTCCCAACCCTACACAATGTACACCTGTCAAAATCCCACCCTCTCTAATAATTAAAGGCACTGGGACTTTTTCCTATTTTGCATTTGGTCATCCTACATCATTTGAAGGTGAGAGATATTTAAGAATGATTTGATACTACCTTGGTTATGAACGACAGTACGTAAATGCCTTAAATAAATAAAATCACAAGTATTTAGAAGTAATTTCTACGAAGTTCAGAAGGGCTTATTCCCAAGTAAATTAGGACAGGACTGCAATGTTAATACAGTAGAAAGAACAATACATTTTGAGTCCAAAGACTTCAAATCCAACACATTCAACAAAATGCAATCCCTACTGAGCAAACCTTCTCTTGAAACAATTTATGGCATTAATATCATACTTTTTTCACTCACCAAAGATTCTTTAAAACCACCCTGATAAAACATTTCAGACTTCACATTCCAATATGCAAAAAAGTTGTCCAATCGAACGAGCTGAAATCAAAAATTTAAGCAGAATCAACGGAATTGTCACCTTCAGTACTTTTTCATGCAATACAAAGGATCCATATACCATATTTTTCCATTTATAAGACACCCCATGTATAAGACACCCCTGTTTTTGGGAACTCCAAATTAAGAAAACACCCCTCGGCACTATCAATGCATAAGACGAATCCCAATTTTAAACCAATTTTTTGGTTAAAAAAGCCTAGTCTTATACAGAGAAAAATACAGTATATTAAATATATAAATGTTTGAGAGGAAGCTTCTGCACACATGCCACATTTTGGGGGATTAATGCCATTAATTAAAACATATAGGCTTTTTAAACATGGTACCCGCAGGATTTGATCACAGACACATTTAATTAAAAACAAATCCTGTCAAAATCAATTAAAATAAGGATAAGGGTCAGAATACTATGACTGGTTTAAGGATCAGCGTTTTTCTTTTTCTCCCAGAATACCAACATATTGCAGTTTGGCCAGGTTCTATTAATATGCAATAATAGCTCAAGTATTCAGCACAAATTAGTTACCAGATATACACTCTAGACATCAATCCACTGCAACAACTTTTCTTTATGAGCTACTATGGCAGTTCTACAAAATTCTCCATTATGCTCTGGCAGTTTTTAATGTATGTGGGGGAAGCTGGTACTGTCTGTGAATTTTGCCTGTTTTTTGTGTTCCTCTGCTTTTTAGAGATTGAATATTTCACTCCATAATGCTGTATCTCATATGGGATTCAGCTCTCATGGCTGTGTTGTACTATCATATTACATGGTCAGGTGGTGGTGTGTGAAGTGCAAGAGCCTTTCGTCTCATCTTTCCAAGCACCAGCAATATTCCAAGCAGTATCTTTCCCTTAATCCTTCATATTCCAAGATGGATCATTGGGACTGAGAGATCAGCACCAGGAGGAGAGAGAAATTCCTTCCAGAAGGGAAGGGCATACACAGTTCAAAACTGCCACTCCCAGAACACTAGCTATACTTAGGCTAAAGTGAAAGCTGCAGTCACTGTCCTCGTTAAATTAATAGTGACTTATATACATAGCCAAGAAATCTGTAGAAAATGCATTATTTATTTGAAAATTACCCCTAGCCCAATGGCTTAGCAGCAAATAAGTTTCATTGCTAGCACCTCCATTTTCCTTGCCTTGTGAGAAACAGAGCTCAATGAAATTACATGCTGATTTTAAACATTACATTACTTGTACCTTGGAAGTAATGAGTTCTTATCCAATTTAAACAAGCTATTTCAGGCTTGTAACATATTCGCTATTCAACTTATTTCCTATCATTTGTTGTTTGGATGCCCAAATTGTATTAACTCCTACCACGTTATGACTGTAAATGGAGCCGTAAGAGCTCTGTAGGCATTAAAATCCCTCACTTGAATAGCATCATATGGCAGAGAGGGAAGACCAAGCTCCAGTTCTGTCACCCTGTGCAAGCTGCAGAGCAAACTTTTGAAGTGGGGAGCCTGCTGTACTCATGAAGACTCCCTACATGATCTAGAGCCCTGATCTTCCAAGGTACAAAATCATGCAGGGACTGCCATGAGGCTTCCCAATTAAAAGAAATGTCCTCTAACTGGTAGCCCATTCATTCCCACTCATTGTCACACCTGTGAGAGACTGTAATTCCTGAAGTCATACTTTTTAAAACAGGTGCAAGATAGCAGAAGAATGATCTAACCCTTCCAGAGTCATGTCACTGAAGCTGTATCATGTTAATAAATAATGATAATTTGGCAAAGTAATGTGTTATTTCATTTACTATGATGCATCCATAACCTTTTTAATCGTTGCAGATAAAGGGCCTGTAATTAAAAGGAAAAGCCATGCTTCTTATTTTGCCATAATTCAGCACCAGATCTGTACACTGCAACCATAGAGAGGAAGCTTTGTGCATGAAATGACACTAAATAGAAGAGTCAACAGTATGAAAAGTAATGTCAAATTCCAGATCAGGTAGAAATAATGACTAAAGGTGGTCTATAGACAGTTAAAAATGAGGTGGCCCAAAACATGTCAACATCAGAAAATTATCAAGACTAAGAAAAACTCCAGTCAAACATTGTGCCATTCACATACATTGTCAGACAGCAGTTTTACACCATCTACTCTGCACAATTTATCTTTCTCCCATATGTAGCTTATAGCTCATATTTATGAAGGTGTTGATTTCAAGAGCCTCAAAGTTCTTGGCAGCTAGGATGATATTCTCTAAGAGTTTGTCAATGGATTGGATTGTAGTTTCCTCTGAAAGTCAGTAGTTTTCTGCAAGTAACTTGGGAGGATTGGTGCCCTAAGGTCCATATAACGAGGCACCCCAACTGTAATAGTAGGTGTTATCATCAACATTGCTTAGTTAAATGATCACAGCAATTATTTGGCATACATTTAGGCCTTCTCACTGGCTCCTCCCAGAATCTGGCACTCCCTCTCTAGAGAAGTTAGACTGGTCTTCTTGTCCTTCCGCCAGCAGGTGAAGACATTACTGTTCCAACAGGTTTTTTTGGAACTGACTGCTTTGTAATGAAAGGGCTAGTCCTGTGCTGTTTTTATTTTAATTATTTGTATATTATATGTCTGGAAAGATAGAAACAGATAGCTATAGAGATAGATATATGTAGTTGTAACTCTGTCAATGTTTGATTGTTTTTCTTTATTGTTTTTTATCTGTAAGCTGCCTTGAGTCTCTGCTAGGGAAAAAGGCAGAGTATAAATAAATTAACAACAACAACAACAATTTCTGTCCACCAACCATGTATCCACATGCCTGCAAACTTCAGGTTAACACTTCAAGAATCTGAAGAAATAGGCTGTACTCTATGAAAGCTTATGCTGTAATAAATTTGCTAGTCTTCAAGGTGCCACAGGGCTTTTAATTATTTCTGCTACAACAGAAATTGTCTAATGGATGTAAAATGCCTATTCAAGCTAAAAAGGATGGCAACAAAACTGCATGCATGCCCTCCTTTGTCTATCTTCATGACAGACACATGACTGATCCAGACAATTTTTTAAAAGTAACTGAACAGTTGGAAAAATACTTAGTGCATAAATCACAAAACTTGATAATAGCAACATACCTGTGGTCTCCCTGACAACAGAAGATATGGCACTAAATAATTTGACCAATGGTCTGCTGATTGCTAATGAGTGAACAAACCACTGTTTGTTTGGAAGAAGAAATCTGACATCTTATCACTTATACAGTAGTGCCCCGCAAGACGAACGCCTCACAAGACAAAAAACTCGCTAGACGAAAGGTTTTTTCGTCCGCGATTTGCCTCGCAAGACGAATTCCCCTATGGGCTTGCTTCGCAAAACGAAGCTTGCCCCGGGGACAGCGGGTCTTCTCTTTTGAAGCAAGGGGCTGCGGGGAGATAGCGATCTCCCTGCAGCCCCTTGCTGCAAAAGACGTCCGGGGGAAGCGGGGAAGCGAAGCGCTTCGCTTCCCCGCTTCCCCCGGACCTCTTCTGAAGCAAGGGGCTGGGGGAGATAGCGATCTCCCTGCAGCCCCTTGCTGCAAAAGACGTCGGGGGAAGCGGGGAAGCGAAGCGCTTCGCTTCCCCGCTTCCCCCGGACCTCTTCTGAAGCAAGGGGCTGGGGGGAGATAGCGATCTCCCTGCAGCCCCTTGCTGCAAAAGACGTCGGGGGAAGCGGGGAAGCGAAGCGCTTCGCTTCCCCGCTTCCCCCGGACCTCTTCTGAAGCAAGGGGCTGGGGGGAGATAGCGATCTCCCTGCAGCCCCTTGCTGCAAAAGACGTCGGGGGAAGCGAAGCGCTTCGCTTCCCCGCTTCCCCCGGACCTCTTCTGAAGCAAGGGGCTGGGGGGAGATAGCGATCTCCCTGCAGCCCCTTGCTGCAAAAGACGTTGGGGGAAGCGGGGAAGCGAAGCGCTTCGCTTCCCCGCTTCCCCCGGACCTCTTCTGAAGCAAGGGGATGGGGGGAGATAGCGATCTCCCTGCAGCCCCTTGCTGCAAAAGACGTCAGGGGAAGCGGGGAAGCGAAGCGCTTCGCTTCCCGCTTCCCCCGGACCTCTTCTGAAGCAAGGGGCTGGGGGGAGATAGCGATCTCCCTGCAGCCCCTTGCTGCAAAAGACGTCGGGGGAAGCGGGGAAGCGAAGCGCTTCGCTTCCCCCGGACCTCTTCTGAAGCAAGGGGATGGGGGGAGATAGCGATCTCCCTGCAGCCCCTTGCTGCAAAAGACGTCGGGGGAAGCGGGGAAGCGAAGCGCTTCGCTTCCCGCTTCCCCCGGACCTCTTCTGAAGCAAGGGGCTGGGGGGAGATAGCGATCTCCCTGCAGCCCCTTGCTGCAAAAGACGTCCGGGGGAAGCGGGGAAGCGAAGCGCTTCGCTTCCCCGCTTCCCCCGGACCTCTTCTGAAGCAAGGGGCTGGGGGGAGATAGCGATCTCCCTGCAGCCCCTTGCTGCAAAAGACGTCGGGGGAAGCGGGGAAGCGAAGCGCTTCGCTTCCCCGCTTCCCCCGGACCTCTTCTGAAGCAAGGGGCTGGGGGGAGATAGCGATCTCCCTGCAGCCCCTTGCTGCAAAAGACGTCGGGGGAAGCGGGGAAGCGAAGCGCTTCGCTTCCCCGCTTCCCCCGGACCTCTTCTGAAGCAAGGGGCTGGGGGGAGATAGCGATCTCCCTGCAGCCCCTTGCTGCAAAAGACGTCGGGGGAAGCGAAGCGCTTCGCTTCCCCGCTTCCCCCGGACCTCTTCTGAAGCAAGGGGCTGGGGGGAGATAGCGATCTCCCTGCAGCCCCTTGCTGCAAAAGACGTCGGGGGAAGCGGGGAAGCGAAGCGCTTCGCTTCCCCGCTTCCCCCGGACCTCTTCTGAAGCAAGGGGATGGGGGGAGATAGCGATCTCCCTGCAGCCCCTTGCTGCAAAAGACGTCAGGGGAAGCGGGGAAGCGAAGCGCTTCGCTTCCCCCGGACCTCTTCTGAAGCAAGGGGCTGGGGGGAGATAGCGATCTCCCTGCAGCCCCTTGCTGCAAAAGACGTCGGGGGAAGCGGGGAAGCGAAGCGCTTCGCTTCCCCCGGACCTCTTCTGAAGCAAGGGGATGGGGGGAGATAGCGATCTCCCTGCAGCCCCTTGCTGCAAAAGACGTCGGGGGAAGCGGGGAAGCGAATCTCCCCCCAGCCCCTTGCTTCAGAAGAGGTCCGGGGGAAGCGGGAAGCGAAGCGCTTCGCTTCCCCGCTTCCCCCTGACGTCTTTTGCAGCTGTTCCGAAGTGGGGCGGGGGGGCGGGGTCACCTGCCCCAGCCGCCCCACTTCGAAAAGCTGTTCCGAAGCGGGGAGGGGGGGCGGGGACATCTGCCCCAGCCGCCCCACTTCGGAAAGCTGTTCCAGGAACAGCTCCATAGGAACCTCCATAGGCGCCCGTCACCTCTCCAGCCAGGAGAGCGCGCGCGGGGCTAAACCAGCCCCCCGCGACCCTCTCCCAGCTGGAGAAGTGACGCGCGCCTATGGCAGGAGCCTCCATAGGCGCCCGTCACCTCTCCAGCCGGGAGAGCGCGCGCGGGGCTAAACCAGCCCCCCGCGACCCTCTCCCAGCTGGAGAAGTGACGCGCGCCTATGGCAGGAGCCTCCATAGGCGCCCGTCACCTCTCCAGCCAGGAGAGCGCGCGTGGGGCTAAACCAGCCCCCCGCGACCCTCTCCCAGCTGGAGAAGTGACGCGCGCCTATGGCAGGAGCCTCCATAGGCGCCCGTCACCTCTCCAGCCAGGAGAGCGCGCGCGGGGCTAAACCAGCCCCCCGCGACCCTCTCCCAGCTGGAGTTGTGACGCGCGCATATGGCAGGAACCTCCATAGGCGCCCGTCACCTCTCCAGCCGGGAGAGCGCGCGCGGGGCTAAAGAAACCATAGCCCCGCGACCCTCTCCCAGCTGGAGAAGTGACGCGTGACTATGGCAGCAGCCTCTGAAGGATGCACCGAAGCCTGGCGTGGGGGGGGGGGCGGAGAGACCTTCTCCCCGCGCCAGCCTTCGGATGGCTGTCCTGAAGACTTGGGGTGGGAGAAGGGTTTTCCTTCCCACCGCCAACATTCAGAATGCTGTTCTGAATGTTGGCGGTGGGGAGGAAAAACCCTCCTCCCACGCAAGCCCCGGGAACAGAGGGAAAGCGCTGCGCGCCCTCCCCTCTGTTCCCGTACCTGTGCTGAAGGCTTGCGGTGGGGAGAAAAGCCCTTCTCCGCACCGCCAGCCTGGCAAGCGGTTTCCCTAGGAACGCATTAATTGATTTTCAATGCATTCCTATGGGAAACCGTGCTTCGCAAGACGAAAAATTCGCTAGACGACAAAAATTGCGGAACGAATTAATTTCGTCTTGCGGGGCACCACTGTATAGACAAGTTAACCTCCACTGCTGGTCTGGAATTAGTGACACATCGGTGCAAAACAAATGCTACACAGCAAGATGCATCTGTTTCAAAAACGATTTGATATGGCTATGATGGCACCAGCTGTTCCATGTTGTTTAACTATTTCCTTATACAGTGGTACCTCCAGTTACGAACTTAATTGGTTCCAGAGGTCCATTCATAACTGGAAACCACTCGTAACATAAGGTGCGCTTTTGCTAATGGTGCCTCCCGCTGCGTGCGCGCCGCCAGAGCATAACTTCCGCTCGCATCCCGGGGCAAAGTCTGCGACAAGGAGACCTACTTCCAGGTTAGTGGAGTGTGTAACTTGAAGCATTCGCAAGGAGGGGGGTATGTAACATGAGGTACCATTGTACTACTTATACAAGATGCTTATTATATAAATCTTGTACCTTCTTATAATTGAGCATGTCTGTACACAACCCTTATTTCTGTTGTGCATTTGCATCAACAGGCTATTTATAGCATTTTTCCATCTTCAAAGGCTGTGTCTCCTAGTACAGTCACAACTTTGTAGGCATCAATCTAATTTAGATGTCATGGGTCAGATTCAACTAATGTATCCCATCAGCAGAAGCACAGCTTAAGCATTTCCCCCAGCACTATATATAGGGCTTCACTCCACTCCCACTCCCCTCAAAATTGGCTCTGGGAGCTTTAGGAGAACCCCCAGGACAGCACACAGTGGGAGGACAGGGATTATTCTGTCTGGCAAGCCAAATGCTGAATTGCTCACCTTGCCTGGTAAGGACACTAAGATCAGCAAATGGAACCCAATTAGTTTTACCATGGCCTAATGATTATCAGCTTGCGATGGTGGGGAAGAAAGCTTTTTTTACTGTTGGCACTGGTTTTATAGAACCAATTTTATAGAACCAAGTGAAGTATAGTTCTTATAGAACCTGATGAAATACAAGAGGCCCCGATCTGTATTGGCATTGTACTTTAGAAGATGCACCTATTTACACAGACATTCCCTTAAACCAGGAGACTCTGGGAGTTCAACTGCTGTACTGTTTTAATGGGATTGTTTCATTGCATATTTTAATTAATTATCTTTTAATGTTTTGAGACAGGGAATTTCATTGATGCAAGCAGTTTCTGAGCTCTGGGTGCAATACTGTTTACTGATTTCAGATTAAAACTGCCACTGATGGAAGGAAAGGAGGACCTTTTGCCACCTCCCCACTTCCAGCCACTCTTTGAAGATTGGAGAAGGGACCCTCATAAGAATATTGGGGGAGCGGGAAGGGGAAGTATGGCTTTGTTTTTTGCAGCCTTCAGATGAGGACTAGACCATGTGAAAAATGAACACAAGATTTTAGCTGCAGTTCACTCATTTTCAGCTTTGTATTCTTGTTATAAAAAAGCACGCCTAGACACTCCATTGAGGCGCCCATAACCAGTGCTTTTTTTCATTAAAAAAGGTTAAGGGGTACTCTCATTTTCCTACTCCTATTGAAGTACTGCCCCTCAATGAGGCCAAACTTAGATTTACAAAATGCTTAGGGGTATGCATACCCCCAGGGAAAAAGCACTGCCCATAACCTAGGTTTAAGGTGCCATTTAGCTCTTAGCTTTCATATCTCAGCTTCTAACACTGTGTGGTGGGATTGTTTTTATACTTTTAAACTACTTAGAAGCTCAGTTTGGCATTCGGCTGTAAATAAAGTAAGAAACAAACAAACAAACAAACAACCTTGCAACAACTGAACTTTCCAGATACTTGCCCCAACAAAGACTGTACGGCAGTATCTTAATCTGGATGTAACCAAGGCATGCAAAAGATTTGCCTTCAACATCTAGAATAGGTTAAACACTTATTCCTTGATGGGCCATTCACTGCATCAACAAAACCTCCATCTCATCTGGAGTATGTCTCAGCTTGTTTACCCACACTCAGTCCATCATTGACCTCTAACATAAATTACATTAAAAACCCTTCTAAAATATTTTTAAGTGGCCACAAAACCAGCCAGTCTGGTTGCACCTTAACTCCTTCCAAAATTTAATGGTTTTAAGAAGTCATATGTAAAACATCTAACCTACAGGAAACACTTTATGCTTGATTTCTGGTAATTTACAATTATGTGAGGGGGGAAACGGCTGTTAAATTTAAGCAGGGGTAAATAAAAATAGATTAAGCCAAAGCAGTCAATATCAGGGCAGAGTGTTGAGATCATACCCAATGAGCGAATGAATTCCAACCAATGCAAATAAACTTTATGCTTGCCTTTTGGTAATTTAAAATTACCAGTATGCAATACAACAGACAGGATAAGAAAAACAAAACAATAGCTACTGAAAATTTGAAATGCGAGTAACAGAAGTGTTTATAGTTACAGGTAGGTAGCCGTGTTGGTCTGCCGTAGTCGAAACAAAATAAAAAAAATCCTTCCAGTAGCACCTTAGAGACCAACTAAGTTTGTTATTGGTATGAGCTTTCGTGTGCATGCACACTTCTTCAGATACATTCAGAAGTGTTTATGGAAAGCTTGTACTGCAACAAAATGTGATTTGCCACACAGCAACTGATATGCATTTAGAAAGGTTGTCAATATGCAACTGCAATATGCAATATGCTATTTATATTACATTCTGAACACACATTTATACAAGAAGCATTCCAAGCTAAGACTTACCTTATAAAACAATTTAGTAGATGCATCCTGTATACATGGATTCCAGTTTTGATCTGAAGTCTAGAAGACAAACAGTTATTATGAAAGAAGCACTACAAAATTATCTCTTGAATTCTATTTTTAGTATAAACACATAAAAAAAACCACATGGCTAATACTGTACAAAGATCAACTGAGCTTGAAAAAATTTCCTACAATAAAGCACAATATTAAATTTTTGAGAAAATGTACTTCCCTCTCCCTGGCCACCTAACAGGCTAGTAGGCTTATCAGCTGCATCACATCACACTGAACTTTGTGGTGTGAACACTGCTGTGATGCATAGCTGTCAACTTTTCCCTTTACTTGCGAGGAATCCTATTCGGAATAAGGGAATTCCCCTTAAAAACAGGGAAACGTTGACAGCTATGATGTGATGTGCATTGCAGGGGATTGGATTAGATGAACTCTGTGGTTCCTTCCAACTCTACAGTTCTATGATTCTATGAACAGAGTCTGGTCCAGTTCTTGATGAAGTGTTCCGCTCTCCCCTCCTGCACTACCAAAGATGAGTTTGCAAAGCTTCCACTTTTGATAAGCCACAGCTTATCATGTCACCCAAGCTGACAAACTGTGATAAGCATTCATTATGGTTAAATAAAAACAAGTCAGCTTCAAAAACCATGGTTTGAAATTGGCTTATTTTAGACTAACCATAGTTAATGCGAATTACACTTCATCAGTCGGTGACACAGCAAGCTATGGTTAACTGAAAGTGGAAGCAAAACCTTCCAAACTTGTCCTCCTGATTGTATGAGAGTCAAAAAGAAAGCAATGCTCATTCACATCTTGTTAAACCATAGTTGAGTGCAGAGGTGGGAAACCTCAGGCCAGGGACTGAATGTGGCCCTCCAGTCTCCTTTAGCTCACCCTTGGGACTCTCTCCATGCCACAGCCTTACTGGGACTGCTTTGCACCTTCCACGAATGTTTTTGTAAGGTAGGAATTTGTCCTCAATCTCCTGCCCAGCTATCATATAGAGACAACTATGTAACAAGTCTAGTGTACAAAGGTAAAATTTACATTAGCTGCTTCACCCTCTTCTGCCTCTTGCCCCATCTATTTTAGCAGAATGTGGCCAGCAGGTGTCTCAGTCTCCATTGGCTACTGATATCTGTGAAATCCCTGGTGAGTAACACCACAGTTCTTCCACTCCCTAGACAAGCCCATTCCATTATGATATCTTTTCAAAAAAGCATTCTATGATTGCCCCAAAGCTATACAAATGTATTTCCTAAGGGGAACTACCAAAAACCAAAATATTTGTATTAATAGTGGGTTTTAGCATTTGTTATAACATTCCATTTTCTGAATAATTTATATTGCAAATTTAATCATTATTGCATGTTCAAAAAAATCTACCTTTGAGTGTAGAACATGATTAAAAAAATAAAAATAGGGTTATGCAGCAGTAGTTGAAAGTTATGTACCTGTAAACTAAGATTTTGAAGTGAGACACCAAATGACAACGGAATATCTTTGTTTGTAATCTGAAAATAAACAAAAAAGGTTATTCACCAAAACAGACACGATTTGCAACTTGGATAAGATAACTTTAAGATTTGTGACTATTTATCTAATAAAACAAAACAGATTTCCAAGGGCACAAGGCAAAGATGCCCACTATCACCTCTATTGTTTGTTTTAGAATTGAAGTACTAGCAGGAAGAATAAGAGCAAATGCAAATATAAAACATGTGAGAGTAGAATGTCAAACATATAAATTGAAGGCATTTGCAGATGATGTAGTTCTTACATTAGAGGAACCAGGGAGTAGTATACACAAAGTGATTGAAGAAATAAATAATTTTGATGAAGTAGCAGGATGTAAAATAAAATAAATTGAAAACTAAGATGTTGGTTAAAAACATGAATGTGTAGGCAAAAAAGGATTTAGAATCATTGAGTGGATGGAAAATGAATAAAAAGGTGAAGTATTTAGGATTATGGCTAACAACTAAAAACCCCAATATATTTCAAGATAATTATGTTAAAATATGGGAATAAGTTTTTTAAAGACCTGGAAATGTAGGGGAGAATGAAATGATCTATGTTGGGAAGGATTTCAGCCATAAAAATGAACATTTTACTTAAGATATTGTTTTTATTTCAAACTGCTCCAATAATTAACAATACAGACTGCTTTAAAGAATGGCGGAAGGATATTTCTAGATTTATCTGGCAAGGGAAGAAACCCAGAATAAAATATAAAATATTAATAGATGCTAGAAAAGAGGGGGCTTCACATTGCCAGATTTTCATTTATATGAAGCAGCATGTTTGTGTTGGTTATAAGAGTGGATACTGTTGGAAAACACTCAGTTATTGGATCTGGAAGGTTATGGTATGAATTTTGGCTGGAATGCATGATTGTGATATGGTAAAGGTAAATTCATTTTTAAAAAAGAATGTCATTAGGAAAAATATACAGAGAATTTGGGAGAAGTATAAAAACCTGCTAGAGAGAAAAACACCCTTATGGCTATCTGCAATTGACGCAATCTCACAAAAAAACTTAACCTGGGAAGGAGATGGACAACATATAAGGAACTTTTGGACTTTATGGAGCAAGAAGTCAAACTGAAGAAGTTTGAAGATGTTGGTACCCAGGTGACAGACTGGTTACAATAACATCAAATGAAACGCTCAAAGCTGGTAAAAAATGTGGTTTCATTCATCAGAATTCACATTTTGCAAAGTATCTGATAGAAAACAGTGATAAATTAATATCTAAGATGTATAAATTACTGTTGGAATGGGAAATAAAGGATGAAATGGTAAAATCAGCAATGATCTGTTGGGTGAGAGATGTGGGTCACAGCCAGTAAATTAAAAGGGAAATTACATGAAAATGATCTGTAGATGGTACCTGACACCAAGTAAATTAACAAAAAAAATTCAGAGCCATATAAATGTTGGAAATGTAAAGATAAAGAAGGAATGAGACCACCACTGCAAGAATGTTAAGCTTTCATTGACTACAGGATGCTACATTGGCTACAAAAGACAAACATGGAGTCCTCGGGACATTTGTCCTTGCAAATGAAGAACCAAGATTGTGGTCTGGTTTTTCATCCAGGTATTCTTACAATCCCTTTTGCAAAAAAAGATTCCTAAAATGTGTGTTTTGGGCCTGATCCACTTGCCACAGACAGCAAGTGTTCATTTTCCAGTTCCATCCACAAACTGGCTCGTAATATGATGACAGGGCCTTATCTATTTTGATTTGGGAACAGTGCCTAGCAAAAATAATAGATTAATAGAGTAGCTTCATGCTTTTTCTCCTCCAAATATCCCAAAGCATAAAAAATTAACATACTATTTTGACCTCTCCCGGAGAGCTCCAAACTGCAATCATGCACAGTCACATGCAGAAAGCTAACAGTCATTCCCTGCAGCAGTGCAATGTTCAGTTTCTTTGTAGGCTTGCAAGTTTGATAACAAATTATCTGTAACCACATCTTGAATTATTTATAGATATTCCATACACAAATACTTACATCATCCTCATAGCGAATATGGATGTTAGAAATTTTCAGCTGAAGATTTTTGATGACCTGAGTAATTAGTTTTTCTATGAAAGTGTCTTGCTTCTCTTCTGGTTTATCTAAATTAAAGCACAACTAATGAATACCTAGTATGATTAAGCATAAGGAGTGGCATCCAGTGTTAGTGATACTCAGAGTACCCGTTGAAATCAATACACATTGGTCTACTTTGAGTATGGCTAACATTGGATATTCTCTACAGAGACTTAACCAATGTTGACTGATTAGCAAATTGATGTACTTAAATTCAATATATTTTAACCAGAGACCTAATAGGAGTAATATTAGGACATTAAATTGCAGGTGTGATTTGGGCTCTTCTTGTTGTTGTTCTGTTGGGTGCCTCCTTATGTTTTAAGGCAGGAATAAATAATTCCATGCCTGTCATATACAACAACAACAACAACACCCCCCGCCCTTCTGCAACTCCTCTCAACTTGGCTCCTCTGACTGGGACTAAAGGGAGTTATAGACCAAAATGTTTGAAGGTGTAACATTGGTTACCTTTGTTCTACCCCTTCCAATTATACAGGGTGAGTCTTTTAAAAGAGGCCCCGTGGAACATGTGTACTCTGTATCTACGAGGGCCTTTTTTAAAGGACTCACCCTGTAGAAACACACTGTTGAATAGCTCACCCACTGAAAAGCAATCGCAATTCACAGTAATGACTATGCACGTGTTAAAACTGAATAAGAAAGCAAATGTAGTAGAGCTGGATCTAGGATATTTAGGTTGCTGCCCTTTTAGGAATAAAAAGCATACTTTCCCCACTACCTCCCACATTTGAGCCAGAGTGGTCATAGCATGACAAAGGTGCCAGATAGTGTCTATACTACTGAACTGTTTAAGAGCATCCAGGTACTCAACCTCTACCTTCTCAGCATGGCATACCACAAAACCTACATGGAATTTGATGAATGCAGAAGGAGAAATATCCCCATCAAACTGACAGGTTCCATGGGTCGTTCCATGTCAAGTGATCCAAGGACTTTCACCTTACCATTTTACATTACTTTCATTTTCACTTTCCTAAAAGTAGTATAAGAGAAGGTCCCAGATCTCTGTTTTTAATTTTTTATCTCATCCCATTTTGAGTTATGAGAGTTGGAATTTTTTTCAAAATGACAATTTTGGCCTAGCCAAACACAAAAACCTTAAACGCTCAGCCCAGAACTGAGATATTTCCAAACTAAATATACCAATCTCATCAGAACTTCATGGGCTTTAATATGACATGGCACATGAAGAACTTACTTTAAATTTCAAAGTTAATTTACATAATTTAAAATTTTAGAAGATGATTTAAAAAATCAATACAGTGGTGCCTCGCAAGACGAAAAGAATCCGTTCTGTGATTCTCTTTGTCTAGCGGTTTTTTCGTCTTGCGAAGCAAGCCCATTGAAGGATTAGCAGATTAGCGCTATTAGCGCTATTAGCGGCTTTTAGTGGCTTATCTGCTGATCGGATCAGCTGATAAGCGGCTTAGCGGCTTAGAAAAAGGGGTGGGAAAAGGAAAAAAAACCAGCAGGAACTTGCAAGACATTGTCGTTTTGCGAAGCAAGCCCATAGGAAATTCGTTTTGCGAAGCACCTCCAAAACGAAAAACTCTTTCGTCTAGCGAGTTTTCCGTCTTGCGAGGCATTCGTCTTGCGGGGCACCACTGTATGATTAAAATCTCCCCAAAAATGTATTGATTATTTCATATTTCTATGAGCTTCTTGCAAAATTTCATCTTGGGATCTCAATGGGATCACATTAAGTGATATATCTACACACACACACACACACACACACAGTGGTACCTCCGGTTGCGGACGGGATCTGTTCCGAGCTCTGGTCGGATCCCAAGGTTTCTGCAACCGGACAGACCACATGCACATGCATGTGGCGCGGTAGAGTGCTTCTGCACATGTGCGTGAGGCAAAACACTTCCAGGTTTGCCGCTTTCGCAACCCAAAGTTTACGTTACCCGAGGGTAACGTAAGTCAAGGTGCTACTGTATTTTACATTGTTGTTTAGGATAAATAGGTCTTCCTGGAATAAAATGTAACAGAATAAACAAGACTCCACACCATATTATCAATTACTTCAGGCATATCTTTAAAAAGATATTCAATTAAAAGGTATCTGGAAAGCTAGTCAGGCTAGTCCGGCAAGGCCCAAATTGTCATTTTTTAAAAAATTTAAAACTCTCATAACACAAAAACAGGATGAGATAAAATATTAAATTTTTAGATTTAAACTTAGTTCCAATTGTTCAACAAGTGTACAAAATTTTAAGAAAATTCGACAAAATGAGGTAAAGAAAATCATCAAAAATTGGACCATTTGATATTGAATGACCCCATGTTAGTATTACAAATAACTATTTGAGATCTTATTGTTACCTAAATAATTCACAAAATGGGAAACCAATCTACCATAATTCATAATGGGTTGTGCCTCTTAGAAGATTTAGCAAAGTGTAGCCAAACCGTGGCACACTTATCTTTAGCAACAGCATGCACCACAATTAAAAAATAATGTTGGTTAACCAAAGACTCAGAATGTGACTCTTCTAAAATAAATCACAGTTGAGTAATAAATAACCACAACATAAAATCAACTATTCACAAAACATCAGCTTCAACTTTCAATTTTACCAGAGACTCTTTTAAAAAAAATTTCCCTCATCCCTCTGCACTTTCACTGAAAAGTAAATCTTATCACTCTCAGAGCACAATATTATACATCTCTGTTGAGAAGTGTGTCCCATCAATGGGACTTTCTTCCAGGTGAGTGGGTACAGAATTGCAGCTTTAGATGTTTGGCAACTTCTACTCCCACAAATAAAAATTGGTATTTTCTTTTTCCTTACTTATGTCAGCGATCTTTTGCTTTGCATCTTCTATTCTTTGAAGTTCTCTCTGCTTTGCTTCTAGTTGTTGCTTTAGTTCTTTTTCTGCATCATATTTAATACCTGACAAAATGGATAAATTAATACAGTACTTCGCATTTTTAAGATCACAATAAAGCCAAGTTGTGATGAAACAGGCAAATAATTTATTAAACAAATCAAAGCTATAAGATTTAAGACATTTTCACATATTAGTGCTGAATCCAGTTTAATAGAATTTCTCAATCACAAAGTAACTTCAAAATTTCTATATTTTGTCCTATCCTGTGTTTGTGCTTTAGGGTCCACACTCTTAAGAGTAAGGGGAAACCTACCAAAAGCCACTGCATTCCTTTTCTTTCAAAAACAAAACATTCCATTTCATTTTTAATGAGGATTGTGACTTTGGGAAAGCTACTTAAAAGTCATTCCTGTGTCTGCATGCAATGGTAAAACAGGTTTGGGGAACCTGTGGCCCTCCATACGTTGTTGTACTACAACCCCCTTCATTCCTTATCATTGGCCATGCTAGCTGGGGCTGATGAGAATTAGAGTCCAACAATGGCTCAATTTGCATATTACACTAAGGGCTTAGCCTGAACATGCTGGATCCTGAGGAGATTGCAGCTGTTTTGCTCTTCGCCAGGCTTTTGAAGTAAGTAAAGCAGTTAAGATTAAACATAACATGCTGCCTCATGATTAAGGCCTCTCTTGCTTAACCACAAGCTTTAGCCATGGTTTGTCGTTTGGTTACTAGTCATGGTTAAAGAGGAAAGATGCCCCTCCCTGCCAGCTACTCCTAGTTGAAAACCTATACTAATGCTCTTAGTACACAGACACTGGCAGCTCCTATAATCAGTGATCATACCAGAGTAAGGAAGAACCACTCCATAGAGCTAGACAGGGATGTAACCTGCTCTTTAATGAACCATATAACTAGGCATAGTAAGATAGCTCAGGCATTAGTAATGGACCCTAGACACTTGACAATACTGAACATTAATAGCCAAATTGTTGACTTGTAACTTGGGAAGGCTGGCAGCATTTTCCAACTCTCTGAGAAAGATTTGTTTTGTCAAAACATGGTAATATCTGATATATAGATCATACTGACTAAAACTATTGCATGAATAAAAACAAAAAGAAAATCAATCAAATAAACATGATTTTATCTTACAGAGTTACATAAAGAAACAAAACTACTTACTGGCTGTAGGCACAATAAGTAAGAAAACTTCATCTAAAACAGCTTCAACTGGTTGAGTATAAAGATTTTTCCATGGAATTTGCAAATTCAGTTGACCTATGAATACAAAGGAACATATACTCTTACTGCAAATATTTGTATTATGTTTAATCATATTAATTATTTTTATAAATAAAATTAACCCTGTTTCTGGTCACTTGTTAAGCCAATACAACATCTCCAAATGCATATTTAAACCAAGGAATATAACATCCTACTATTACAATGATTTACACAATCAGGGCCTCACTACACATTAACACTAAAAACGTAACTTGAAGTTGACTCTTTAAAAAAAGAAAACAGCAAGGACTGAGTGTTAACAGTCACCTTAAGGCAGCTGTGGAAAACCTCTGATTCACAGACCAAACCTGGCACACCAAGCTTCCCCAATTGGCCCGCAAAGTCATTTTGGTCAAGTCACACCCACCTGCCCTACACCTGTCATCATATAAGGGGTGTAGGGATAGAAGAGTTTGGATTTGATATCCCGCCTTTCACTCCCTTTAAGGAGTCTCAAAGCGGCTCACAATCTCCTTTCCCTTCTTCCCCTGCAACAAACACTCTGTGAGGTGAGTGGGGCTGAGAGACTTCAGAGAAGTGTGACTGGCCCAAGGTCACCCAGCAGCTGCATGTGGAGGAGCGAAGACGCGAACCCGGTTCCCCAGATTAGGAGTCTACCGCTCTTAACCACTACACCACACTGGCTCTCTGTACTATCCCACACTGGGATACTGTACTAAAACAAAACGGGGAAATCACTTTAGTAGGGCATTGCTGTCTGTGAAGTGCTCTGATGTACCTGACTACAGAAAAATCATCTGAGATCATTTATGATGTCATGTGACTGACAAGTGGGTGGCCCTACCCACTTGTCAATTTTGGCCTGCAAGACAGGTCATTATAATGAAGTGACTAGTGGAGAGAAAAAGATTCCCCATCCCTGCCTTAAGGGATCCTAAGGGTCAAGACGTACAACCCAGATCTCATCTGTCATGTCACTAGCATGTCACACAGATGGTTCACATCACCCGCTATTTTTATTCATCCTGTTTCAATCAGTAGACAGGATGGTGCTTCTAAATGCAAAGAAGTTGTGCAAATAAATGTTTGTCCTGTTCTAATGAAGTTCCTGCAGGCTGCATCATTCCTTCCTTCACACTTCTATCACCCCACAGTCTTCCCACTGCAGACACAAAGTCTGAATCACCATTTCATAGTCAGAAGTCTAAAAAAATTAATATTCATGTTCTAATTAGGTTTGTAAAAGATAAAAAGCCACAGTCTAAAGCTGCTTTAATCATACTGGAAACCAAACAGCTCTGATTTTTTTTTTAAGCGAACATTATCTGATAGGATTCTCCAATAATAATAATAATAATAATATATTATTATTATTATTATTATTATTATTATTATTATTATTATTATTATTATTTATACCCCACCCATCTGGCTGGGTTTGCCCAGCCACTCTGGGCGACTTCCAATGGAATATTAAACAGAAGAAAACATCAAACATTAAAAACTTCCCTAAACAGGGCTGCCTTCAGATGTCTTCTAAAATTCAGATAGTTGTTTATTTCCTTGACATCTGATAGATGTAATAAATGCAAACAAATAATGCCCCAAATGAAGAAAGCAAGAAAAATATATATGAAACAAACAGAAAAGGTATAAAGAAACAATCTGGATATTTGAACCAGAATTCAAGAATTTTTTATTGATATAATAGAAAGGATGTATTTCAGAGATAAATCTAACAGAATGAGAAAACCAAGAAAATACATTATCTTTTCTGTAAATTAAATGTCATTTGTAAACTGCCAGTTATAAACCAATTTACTATGAGTCATCATGTACTGCAAGTTGCCCAAAAAGGTCAAATTATTCTGGAAGTAAGAAAATAGCTATTTTAAAATGAAATGTGCATTTTCTCATGTTTATGTATATATATACTTTTAGGTCCAAAGCTGTATTAATTGGGAAATTTGGGGTTCTTTATAACCTATCAATGAAAAGCAACATTTAATGAACAAAAATAACTGAATGCTTAACCTACAATGAAATTGTATGAAAATGGGACATTTAGTAGTCCACAACAAATAAAACTACACTGCATATTAAAATGCTATTCAATAATTATTTGTAGAGCTGACACCAAAATAAGGAAGTCTTACAATGCAATCCTATCAATATTTAGATTTACATATTCTATCATGCTACAGAGCCTCACAAGTAGTTATAAGAACTCCAATGTTAAGGAATGGTGCCTCAAATTTCTTTTTTCCTCCTCTGTCCTCCTCAGTTCTTCCTTGCGCATTGCTGCCTGAGAGAAGCAACTGTATTTGTTGGTGTGTTTTTTTCTGTAGCTCACTCTGGGCGCATTGTCAGTTAAAAAGCAGTATACAAATGCTTTAAACAAAATAAATAAATATTTACTCATAATTTTTTTTTGCCAGGGGAAGGGGGACCTTAATGGCTTCGTGAGCCAAATCTTTATCTCCCCCCCACCCCAAATGGCAACTTTCAACATTGGGGAGACCACCCACCTGTCAATCATCTGACATCATAAAGAGACTTCAGGTGACTGTCAGGTAGGTTGTCCCACCCAACTGTTCAAGCTGCCCATGAGGATGGGAGGCGATAGAAACCAAGTACAACTGAATTCCTGTCACATCAGCTGATGCACAGAGTTCATTCCTTTCTGCAGGGTTCAAGTGTACCAGCGAGTTCCCCACAGGAAACTCACTAGTGCACCTGAACCAATCAGAAATGAACTCCCTGCATATAAACTGATGCAGCAGGAGTTCAATCCTGGTGCCTGTAACAGTAGCCAATCCAGCTGCCTCGCTATCGTACCAGACTTCACATATGACATCAGATGTAGCGCAGGTATGCATGGTTTAAATGGCCTGGCAGGCCAAATTTGGCCTGTGAGCCAGAGGTACCCTAACCCTGTTCTAATGCGTTCAATGAGCCTATTTCCAGGTAAACTGGAGTAGGATTACAGAATAAACCAATTAATCATATGGATTTTAGTTGATTAAATATGAATAAAATTTGCATGTGAATGAAAAACATGCTTTCTGTGTGCAAGAGAAGGTGAAATGCTTCGTCTATAAGATGACATCTGGCATCTACTGTTTTTATAAGAACTTGTGTTAAGAACAATCATTTCTTACTTTTTTAATCTGTTTCCTCTTTAATTAGGGGCACATTCAACTAAGACTGCCTCCCTCCATTCCACTTATCTGAGATAAAGTCCTACTAAAGTCAATAGGATTTACTTCCAAGTAGACATGCATGGTAAAAAGGGACCCTGACCATTAGGTCCAGTCGTGGTAGACTCTGAGGTTGTAACGCTCATTTTGCTTTATTGGCCAAGGGAGCTGGCGTACAGCTTCCGGGTCATGTGCCAGCATGACTAAGCCGCTTCTGGTGAACCAGAGCAGCTCACAGAAACACCGCTTACCTTCCCACCAGAGCAGTACCTATTTATCTACTTGCACTTTTACGTGCTTTTGAACTGCTAGGTTGGCAGGAGCAGGGACCGAGCAACGGGAGCTCACCTTGTCCCCGGGATTCGAACCACCAACCTTCTGATTGGCAAGTCCTAGGCTCTGTGGTTTAGCCCACAGCGCCCACCCATGTCCCAGGCATGGTATTGCATAGTAAATGTTCAAATCCTAAATATATCAAAATCTAAGAAGTCAACAATTAACTGCTTATCCAAATACAGGTCAATAAAATAGAATAACAAACTAAAATCAACTCAACTCCAAGTTGACAATTTTAAATATAATTGTTTATTGCAGCAAAATATGATAGAATTCAACTTACCGATATGCCCTGCCTTAACTTTAAATGGTACATCAAACTGATACTGTAAAGATAATTTTTAAAAAAAGTTATTTCAGCAACAAAATTATAACAGTACAAACCATACACATATATTTTACTGCTTTTCAGCTTTGAAGATAAATAATTAAATATCATGCAGCAAGTGAGACAATTTTCTGGTACCAACTACGTTGGTCAAATATTGTGAGCCCAAAAGCCTGTATACGATGTGACAACACAGAATTAATGACAACAAAATAAGTGGGATTGTGCCCATTGTCTCTGGACTACACTCATTCAGCATAATTCACAGAACTCACGTGTATATTGTCTGTCCATGCACAGACTCTCCATGCATGACTGGGGACCTTGAAAAAAGCTGGATTCTTGATCATGTTAACAGGGTCTAGATCATACATACATACATACATACAGTGCCTATGCACAAACCATTCTGCTTATTTACTCTAATGATGTTCACTCTGTGAAGCGTTAGGAAGTCAGAGATTTCTTGTTCTGTTCCCCTTTATAATGCCAGTGTTCACTTTAGACTCCATAGATCAGAGCTGGCAAACCTGTGGCCCCGCAGATATTGTTGGACTTTCTCATCAGCCCCAGCCAGAATGGTTAGTAGTGTGGGATGATGTGATTTGTAGTCCGCACCACCCAGATATCCATGGGTAGGGAACCCAGCCTTTTTCATACAGCTGCATGCTGCAAGCATGTCCCTGAGTGAATTTCTGCACAGTTGTGCAAATGTTTATTTCATATATACTGTATTGCCATTTCACTTACAGAAAGAAGTAGTTTCATTTTGATTCATCCTTGGCAATGGAAACTTATGAACTTTCACAAGGAAGGTTGTAGTTCTGGGGTACAGAATCTGTTTTGCATGACAAAGGTCCCAGTTTACTTCACTAGTATCTGGAACCCGCAGACCCATCTGAAGAGTCACTGTCAATCAGTGTAGACAATACTGAGCTAGATGGAGGATTGGTCTGACAGTATAAGGCAGCTTTCTATATTCCTATGATGTTACATTACTGTCAGGATGACTGCATAGAGAAAAATATGGTTTTCCCCATGTGTTATGGGAGAACCATTCCATTTTCTTCTGGCAATCTCCCCAAGAGCAACAGCAACAGTTCCAGGTGGGTGCTATCTGGAATCTGTAGGAATCCAGTTTTATTGCTGGTGGTGAGGCCAAACTCCATGGAGGTTTGGGCAAAACAGTTGATGCGTCTCTGTAGAGCTTCCTCAGAGTGCACTGTCAAAGCTGCATCATCTACAAACAATATCTCCCAGATAAGAACCCATCACTCCTTGAAGGCATAGGAGAGCAACAGGGGAAAGAATATGCCAAAGAGAGTTGGCACGAGGACACAGCCCTGTTTCACGCCACTTCTTTATAGGGAAGGAGTCTGATAATGAACCCTCATACTGGATGGTGCTGTGCATGTTCTTGTGGAAGGACACAATCATATTGTGAGGTGGGCATCTTATCTTGTTCAGCAGTGTGAAGTCATTTTCAACTGACAAGGTGAAAGGCCTTTGTCAGGTCTATGAAGGCGATGCACAAGGGGCATCTCTGCTCTCAACACTTCTCCTGCAGTTGGCGCAGTGAGAAAATCATGTTAACTGCTGACTGCTGAACTCTAAAGCTGCATTTTTACTCTGGATAGATCTTTTCAGCAAGTGACGGTAATCTGTTGAGAACTACACGGGCAAGGCTTTCCCCACAGTACTCAGCAGGGAGATTGTATTATAGTTGATACAATAATGGCGGTCACCTTTTTTTAATAGAGGGTCACAATGCTGGGGTCCTGTACGTCTTGTGGCATGAATCCTTTTTCTCCACACTGCAGGAGAAGCCTTCTAAACTGGTAGTCAGCCACCTTAGGCTAATATTATGAATGATGACTCACATTCATCAAAATTTAGCAAGCATTGTGAAATAAAGATCTTTGTTCCTTTTTGCAAATATTAAATTTCATATTACATGCTTATTTGATTGAACTTTGATGTGCTAATTTAAGAAAAGTTTTTGTGTTTTCAGTTTGGAATTGCAGATACAAAATGTTTTCTGTAAGCTATAATAAGAGACCACTCTGCTGATGACCCTACAGAAAGACTACCTTACATTATATATTTAATGTATTTAGTAAAAAGAATTTACTAAACCATATGCATGATTATCCTTTGAGTTTAAACATGGAAAATGTTTAAAATATGCATTTGGCTTTTTGCTGCTGCAAAAGATGGGCCCAGATTTGTTTAAATACATGTGAAATCTGTTCAAAGATGTTTCATTTTTAATTTAAAATTCTGGCTGTATTTTACATTGATTATTGGGTCTCATGTTTTATCTGTATTGCTTTATATATTATGTTCTATAGAGCAGGTTGGCTCAGGACTTAGTTATGCATTGAGTAGACCCACTGAAATCAGTGGGACTTAGTCATGACTAATATTAGCTCCATGGATTTTATGGATTTATTCTTATTATGACTGAGTCTCAAACTACCCCAGTGTTTTTGCTAGCTTTAAAATTGTGAGAATTTATGTTCAATTACTTGTACTAAGGCCTAATGATGTAAACGGATAGAAATATATTCAATCCTTTGTAGGTTTACTCAGAGCTAAGCCTCACCAAGCTAAGTTTCTCAAGTAAATGTGCATAGACTTAAAACCTTACATTTCCCTCTGCAACACACGTCCGGTGCTAAGACAGTAGGTCAGGAAATAGAAAAGATTTAGAAAGGGCAGCAAGCTCAATAGATTTTGAATTACATGCATAAATTACTTGTCCAATGGCAACACAGTTTGTACTGTACTGGTTCATTTACTAAAGAACAGGGACAGGGGATCTGTAGCCCTCCATACGCTCTTGGACCACAATAATCATTGGTCATTGGCCATACTGACTGGTGATGATGGGAGTTGGAATCCAACAACATCTGGAGGACCACTGGTTCCCCATGCCTACTACAAAGTTAACACTTGACAACAGCACATAGTTAAAAGTTTTGTTTGCTCTGAACTTACCAGTGCATTTTCTTTTATTTCAAGATTCTTAAGTGCTACAGCTCCTGTTATGAAATATATATATATATAATTGTAATTAGCAAACTACTTAAACACATCAATCTCTTTTATAGCAGGCAACTGACAAATTACCCCAGGTTAGGAACTGCCCACCACATAACATCCATCTTCCCAGGATTCAATGTCAGTTAACTTGCCCTTGACCAGGCATCAGGTTTTGCACGGCCTCTCCTGATTTGGATGTTACAAAGACACAGAGCTGGGTATTAGAAAGGTACTGATGACACCTCACCCCAAAGCTCCAAATGACTGCTACCAAAATCTTCATATAGATCAGTGTTTCCCAACCACTGTTCCGCGGCACACTAGTGTGCCGCGAGATGTTGCCTGGTGTGCCGTGGGGAAAATTCGAAAGATTTTTTTTTTTTTTGTAAAAGTCAAATTAGGTCCTAATCTATCCCTCGAGCGCCTCTTGTCCGTTATTGTGACGCATGAAGCGTGTTCCCGCCCACTCCCCGCCCTCCCTTGCTTCTCTCTCTCTCTCTGTGGCGTTCTCCGCCGCTTCCTGCTGGGCATGTGCAGCTCGCCTCGCGCTTCCATTCCGGCCCCTCCTTCCCCCGACTACCCCGCCGCTCCATTCCTTTCTCTTTCTCGCGTGTCAGAGAGCGGCGGCGCGAGCGCGGCGGTTCCCTCAGGGCTGACGGAGGGCTCGAGGAGGAGGAGGCAGGACGTGGAGGCGGAGAAAGCGGCGGCGGCCACCCCCCACCTCCGGCTCGAGGCCCGCGTAGAAAGCTGAGGGGGAGAGATAGATAGAGGTGGGCGGCGGCGGGGACCACGACCAACCGCCACAGTAGTTGTAGCGGTGGCGACGGCGAGCAGGGACTCCCGCTCTCTCTCCGTCGTGTGTCTCTCTCTCTCTCCCGGGCCCGTCCGTTGAGTCTCCCGCGCGCCTCGGCTACAAGATGAGCATCGAGATCCCGCCAGGTCTGACTGAGCTGCTGCAGGGCTACACGGTGGAGGTGCTGCAGCACCGGCCGCCGGACCTGCTGGCCTTCGCCGCCGAGTACTTCGCCAAGCCGCGCTCTCCTTCCTGCCTCGCTTTGCTGCCTCCTCCCCCCCACCCCCAAAGCTTGGAGGTTCCCCGGCGCCGACCCGCAGGTTTGACCCCCTTCTCACACCTGTTCGCGCTCCTTGCACGGAATGGGGCGGATGGGGAGGAACGGGGCTCGCCGCTGCCTCCGCTCGCCCTCCCCCCCTCCGCCGGTGGTCCCGCGATTCTTGGCTTTTTGGCGGTTGGCACAGAAGGAAGGCAAGGGGGAAGGGGGGAAATTGAATCTTACACTTTCGTGCGTCCCTCCCGGCGTGACGCTGCGCGCTGACGTCACGGGGCTGTAATGGTGGTGTGCCTCGAGATTTTTTTCATGAAACAAGTGTGCCTTTGCCCAAAAAAGGTTGGGAAACACTGATATAGATGATACCCTGCAGCACCACACAGCACAACTGCTGGAGGACTGAGAGTTAATCACCTAACACTATGCTCTGAAACTGACTCTGGAGATAGGATCAGAACCACTATAAAACAACAACCCCCAATATCCATCTCACATAGCCAGTTCAAAAGGATACCATGGTCAGTGGTATCAAAAGCCACTGAAAGATCTAGTAAGAATAATATGGTCACATTCCCGCTGTCCTCTTGTTAAGGTCAGGGGGAACAAGGCAATTTCAGTCCCATAGCCAGGCCTGAACCCCAACTGGAATGGGTCAAGATAATCAGTTTCATCCAAGAGTATTTGGTTACCCTTGTGTCACAACCCTCTTAATCACCTTCCCCAGAAAGTGGGTATTTGAAACCAGGTGGTAGTTGTCACAAGCCAATGGGTCCAGGGTAGGCTTTCTCAGGATGTGTCAAGTCAATGCCTCTTTAAAGATAGCCAGGATCTCTTCTTTCCACAAAGATGTATTTACTATTCCATGGATCCACCCAGTCATACTCCCTCAGAAACTATGGACAGCCATGACAGACAAGGGATGAGGGAACAGATGGTTTGCTGCATTATTGCAAGCACCTTGTCCACATCATCAGGCTGAGTTCCAGTTAAAGACTGCAAATGTGAGGCTATGTGCAATTCTCAAAGAAGAAAAATCCACAAGTGTGGGGTCACTATTAAAAGGGCCCTAATATTGCAAACCTGATCAACTTTAATGGTAGCCCAGACTGCACGGCCTCTCAGGCTGATCTTTGGACCTAAGAACTTGTCTCAAGCCATTCAGAACATTAAAGGTCAACACCAGCACTTTAATCTAAACCTGGAACCAAATAGATAACTAGTTCAATTTTAATCAAACCAAGTACAGTGGTGCCTCGCAAGACGAAATTAATTCGTTCCGCAAGTCTCTTCGTCTTGCGGTTTTTTCGTCTTGCGATGCACGGTTTCCCATAGGAATGCATTGAAAATCAATTAATGCGTTCCTAGGGAAACCGCCTTCAGACCAGGTCCGGGGACAGTCTGTCCCCGGACCTCTTCTGAAGGCTGGGGGGGGGGGGAAATAAGGGCTTTTCTTCCCACCCCCAGCATTTTAAAAAACCCCAGGACAGCGGAGGACTTCTCCGCTGTCCGGGGCGATCTTAAAATGCTGGCGGGCGGCATTTTAAAATCGCCCCGGACAGCGGAGGACTTCTCCGCTGTCCGGGGCGATTTAAAAGCCCCTGGGAAGGCAGGCAGGGGGGACAAAGACTTTCGCCCCCTGCCCGCCTTCAGAAGGTGTTCCCGCCCCCCGCCCCGCTTCGGAACAGCTTTCCGAAGTGGGGCGGCTGGGGCAGGTGTCCCCGCCCCCCCTCCCCGCTTCGGAACAGCTTTCCGAAGTGGGGCGGCTGGGGCAGGTGTCCCCGCCCCCCTCCCCGCTTCGGAACAGCTTTCCGAAGTGGGGCGGCTGGGGCAGGTGTCCCCGCCCCCCCTCCCCGCTTCGGAACAGCTTTCCGAAGTGGGGCGGCTGGGGCAGGTGTCCCCGCCCCCCTCCCGCTTCGGAACAGCTTTCCGAAGTGGGGCGGCTGGGGCAGGTGTCCCCGCCCCCCCTCCCCGCTTCGGAACAGCTTTCCGAAGTGGGGCGGCTGGGGCAGGTGTCCCCGCCCCCCCTCCCCGCTTCGGAACAGCTTTCCGAAGTGGGGCGGCTGGGGCAGATGTCCCCGCCCCCCCTCCCCGCTTCGGAACAGCTTTCCGAAGTGGGGCGGCTGGGGCAGATGTCCCCGCCCCCCCTCCCCGCTTCGGAACAGCTTTCCGAAGTGGGGCGGCTGGGGCAGATGTCCCCGCCCCCCCTCCCCGCTTCGGAACAGCTTTCCGAAGTGGGGCGGCTGGGGCAGATGTCCCCGCCCCCCTCCCCGCTTCGGAACAGCTTTCCGAAGTGGGGCGGCTGGGGCAGATGTCCCCGCCCCCTCCCCACTTCGGAACAGCTTTCCGAAGTGGGGCGGCTGGGGCAGGTGTCCCCGCCCTCCCTCCCCGCTTCGGAACAGCTTTCCGAAGTGGGGCGGCTGGGGCAGGTGTCCCCACCACCCCCTTCGGAACAGCGTTTTAAAATGCTGGGGTCGGGAGCGAAGCGCTGCCGACCCCAGCATTTTAAAACCTCCCCGGGACACGGGGAGATTTTAAAATGCTGGGGGTCGGCAGCGCTTCGCTCCCGACCCCCAGCATTTTAAAACCTCCCCGGGACAGAGACTTCTCTGCTGTCCCTTGGAGATTTTAAAATGCTGGGGGTCGGCAGCGAACGCTTCGCTCCCGCCCGCCAGCATTTTAAGATCGCCCCCGGCAGGCGGGGGGAAGGCAGGCGGGGGGGAGCAAAGACTTTTGCCCCCCGCCGGCCTTCAGAAGAGGTCCTCTTCTGAAGGCCGGCTGTGGGCGAAAGTCTTTGCTCCCGACCGCCAGCATTTCCCTATGGGCTTTCGTCTTGCGATGCAAGCCCATAGGGAAATTCGTCTTGCGAAGCGCCTCCAAAACAGAAAACCCTTTCGTCTTGCGGGTTTTCCGTCTTGCGAGGCATTCGTCTTGCGGGGTACCACTGTAGTCTGCACAAGATTTCTAGTGGCTGAATTTTACACCAGCTGAAGTTTCTGAACTGTTATTAAAGGAAGTCCTACACAAAGAACATTCTGGTAGCCTAGTCTAGAATATAACCAGAGCATGTGCAACTGAGGCCAGTTTCTTGTTTACTCCTCTACCTCTTAAATTATGAGCCCAGATCCTATGCCAATTAAATGTGCTAACCAAACTGAACCGCCTTGTAACTCTTACTTATGTATACACGGCTTGGTTGTGGTAAACCTGAAAGCGGTTTACAAAAAGCTAACACCATAAAATCAGGGGGAAATACAATAAATTAAAACAGACAAGAAGTTAAAATACTAAAGCAGATTAAAATTCACATCAGCTTTTCTAAGCATATCTGGATAGCCTTGACTAAACAAGAATGTTTTTAGCAGGCACTGAAAAGAATATATTGAAGGCACCTGCTTTATATCAATAGAGTTCCATACTAGACGATTAGGTTCTTACACATAATGAGTATTACATGGCACCTGTAATAGTGCCAATTCTGTGGATGGAACTGAAGATACAGATTAACTCTGTCAAGCAAACTTCCTAATTTTACTGTTAATATCACATAAGGTTTAAGAGACATTACATTAAATCTAGGAAAAAATGAATTTCCTTTACTATACATAGGCACAGCATGTCCTCTTGTTAACTACAGAGTTCAGACAAAGCTGTCTACTTTAACTGTTTATCTTTTTTCAGTTCCAAACAGTTATTTTCACTCAACACTTTAAAGATACTTTTAAATACAAGCACTTTTACACACAGCTTTCAAGATTCATCTGGCTTAGTTGCAAGCTATATACTGAAGATCCGGGCACTAATACCTCAAGACAACTCTTGCCGAGTAACCATTCTGATTTAGGTTTACATGTGACCCTATTTCACACTAGTGCAGCTGCCAGAATTTGCCTCCTCTTAGATTAGACCGAATTTTGTGCTGCTTGTTTGAAACGAACCATGCCAATACACTGACAAGATGGAAAACCTGTTTGTCTACATTTTGTACATAACTCCTTCTATTGCATTCAAAGCCAGTATACATTACAGACCTGCAACATCTGAAGCAGCCATGTGTTTCCCTTTTACATGAGATGTACACAATGGATACACGTGGCTGAGAGCCATCTGCTTATTGTATGTAATGTATGTTGTTGTTGTTATTATTATGCCAATATCTAGAGTCACATCAGCTTTTTAAATATACATACACATTACAGACCTGCAGGATCTACCTGCTAAAGTGGTAATCTGTAAAAGCAGCCTTCAGTGTTTCTCTTTCCTTCTACAAAAAGTTTAGTAAAGCAATGGCCCCATTAAAAAACAGTCACTCATTTGTGGCAAATGTAGTTGATACAGTTTTAAAAAGTACTTATTACTTGTTTTCAATAATGCAGTGAAGCAGCATGGCAGCTGCCTCGTCAAAAATGCTGAGAGGTTAGTGTCACAAACTGAGGGACCAAAATGATGCAGAATGATCATACAAATACACACTAATTTCTATATACAGTATTCCACTTTTAAAAAAGAAAGCAAATAGTACTGCAACCTCGCTGAAACTAAGCAGTTCTTTATATGATCAGAGTGGAATGCTGCCTGGGAACTTTATGAATGCCACTCTGAGTTCCTTGAAAAGCAGAAAGGATGGATATGAAATAAACTGCAGAGAGATTAGGGCAGATGGATGCAAATGAAACTTTTTTTTAACCGCTGCCGCTCAAAAATACATCGAATGCTTTGCTTCCACAAACAGTCGTTAAGAGTCGTCAACAGGCTCATCCCAGCTATCTGCCAATCACCCATTCCCACCACCCTTCTGAGTAATACCCCTCCCCACCTTCTCACTATATAGAAGGATCTGGCAACTTCTGTTTCAGTGTATCTGAAGAAGTGTGCATGGACACGAAAGCTCATACCAAGAACTAACTTAGTTGGTCTTTAAGGTGCTACTGGAAGGATTTTTTTTTGTTTTGCTTCCACAAAGTGAGCGGTCAGATATACACAGAAAAAAACGTGCAGTGCCAACGGCAAAAGCAGTTACGCTGGGTGGGTTTTTGTTTGTTTCCGCTCCAGCCCAACTCCAGAACTCGACCCAGCCGAGCTGGGCAGGGCGTGGAAAGGAGCGAGCAGCTGGCCCATAACGTGCTCCTGCCTCACCCGCCCGGTGCGGCCAGGGCTCTTGGCCACCCGAACTTCCGACCCGGGAGCAAGAGCTGCGGCCGGCGAGGCGGGGAGGGCGAGGCGCGCGGAGGCGCTGCGCACGTGACAGGGCCTGGAGCGCGCAGGAGCGCCGGCCGGACGGGCGGGCCCGGAGAGGGAACGCCAGCCGCCTGTGGGGCTCGTCAGGCAGCCACAGCGAGGACGGCCGCCCTGGGCTCCTTCACGCAGCAGCAGCAGCAGCACCGGCCGAGAGGCGGCCTCGGGAGGAGGAGGAGCAGCGCCGCCTCTGCGCCTTGGAGGGCGAGGGGTCGGGCAAGGGCGGCCTCGCCCCTCACTCACCTCCCCAGATGCCGAGCGAGAGCTGGGAGCTGTCCAGGTTCACCACATAGTCGCCCAGGAAGCGGTTCAGAACGTCCACCACCACCGACTCGAACACCATCCTGGGCAGCGGCTCCCGGCGAGCCTCGCTCCGCCTTCAGGACGCCAAGGGAGGCGCAGGAGCCCCTTCTCGGGCTCGCCCGCCGCGCCGCCCGCCGGACACAGGTCTCCGCCGCCGCCCGCCCGCTGCCTCAGCGCGCTGTGGAGCCAGACTGGCCCTGCCCTGCCGCGCAGGCGCACCGGGACGCTGGGGCGCTACCGAGGGCCGGCCATGAGGACTCTCTTCCCGCCTCTCCCTTCGCCCAGCCAGGCAGCGCCCAGGCAGCGCCAAAGATAGGCTGGCGGCGGCGGCGCGCACGCGCGGCCTCCCGCCCCCTTTCCGTCAGGCGGGCGGCGTTCTGCGTCGCGCGAGACTGTGGCGTCGGTTAAACTGCCCCCTCCGCCCGCCCCAGCAGCCCCCCAGGGCCGCCCTCCGCGGGGGCCTTGTCCTTCCTCACGTTAACGGGGAGCCGCGTGTCGACCTAATTCTGCCCCAAGGGAGTGGCGAGGAAGCAGCGGGTGATGCCGCCCTAAAGATCCGTGGGACCCGCGAACGGGTGAAAGCGGAGCCGGCGCTTCAAGCCAGGGGAGGGTTGCCGTCTGCTGCACAGCCCTTTAAGTCCCGGGTGCGTCGATGTCACTTCAAGATTTCTAAAGCCCTCTGGGTGTTATTTACACGTTTCTATGTATTTTTTTAAAAAGAAAGTATTTATATTTAATTGTAGAGTTGGAAGGGAACCCGGTCATCTAGTCCGACCCCCTGCAATGCAGGAATCTCAACTAGATCATGCATGACAGACATGGGGGGTCAGCCAAAGTTAATTAAATGCTTTTCAATAATACCTGTGGATGCTCCCTCTTGGCTAGACCCATTGTGATAGACAGATGGACCTCCACCTGGGCAACATTTAGCATGGTAAGTCTACATTTGATGAAGAAGTACATAAATTGCTTTCGGAAAACCAAATAAATTTTACCTTCTGAAAATGTCAGGTAATGCTAAGTAATTATAACGTAGCTGCAAGTACTTGGCAATCATTTTTAATTATTTCAATGCAATTTTACACAATTTAACTTACCAAGCAAAACTAAATTATATTTATATCCAAAATATATTTTCAATTCCCAAGTCATGTCGCAACCCATCATTTTTGGAATTTGAAAGTTTAAAAATTCAACATGTCCTTTGGGTCGGCATAGCTAAAAGTTCCTATGTCCATAAATAGCTGCATTCAAAACACACACATAGACCATCAGAATACAGTATATTATTTTGCTAATGGCAGGAACAATACCATTAAACTGCAGTGTGTTCCTTGAAGTGTTTATTTGTATAGCTGCCAGAGATGAGGTTTACATTCAGATGCAAGTGCTGACCAACATGGTTTGATAATTGATTCGATTTAAATTTTATTTTATTAGCATGGTTATACAACTGTTCTTCAACTTTTAAAAAATCTATGAAGAATACTTTTCAGAGATCTGGCAGGGTCAGGAAGAACATGCAACAGAGAATTAGCCTCAAATTCCATTATTAGAATGCAAATTGTTTCCCTCCAACTAGACCAGGCCCATTTTTACCATATATAGTTATAAGATTCAGGACTATGGCGTCGTTCACCAATTACTTTTGGGTATGAAATTCTGCATCAACCTGCCCTGACACCCACCCACCCTCGCTTTCCCTTAAAATTGTGTTTCTCTACAGAAGACTGTAAATATAGGCTTAAACATTTAAGGATGGTGCTTAGTAAAATCTCAGAAATGAGAGTGGGGGCTAAGCAAGATTTCAGGTAAACAAACTGATTCACGTCTAATGTTAAGTCATTTGTCGTTTAACAAATCACGTTAACCATAACTTGTCCCACACGGTTTCAGATTGTGGTTTGTTTGTAGTAAACAATCATAGTTAAACTTCCAGGCGGTTTGAACACTCAAACTATGGTTTAATAAACCACGACTTAGTGCTTTGTGTGAAACAAACCAGTTGCCGTTTTATCACTATGTCCCTACCCTATGACTAACCGAAACAGAATATATAGTGCACTAAAAAGTAAACATAAGATAGGCTAAGTTATACAGTTAATATTAATTATACATTAATATTGAATTTAGATGTGTTTTTAAGGCACATAATATCGTTATAGCTTTGGGGGGGGGAGACCCACCCCCAAACCCTAGAAATGAATAAATGGTAGGAATTTGTTTATTTGGGATGTGGAGGGAGAAATACATGATGCAGAGGAATTCCTGGGCTAGCCTTTGCAAAATGACCTGGCCAAACTAGGGCCATTAAGAAACAGTTGAGGGCCATTGGCAATGCAAGAGAACTATCCTGCCCCCTTGCCCAGAGGCAGGGGTGCCAACTTGAATAAAGTATTAGGGGGCAGGTAAGTCTTGCCAAGCAGTGTAGTGTGGGTTGCCAGCACCTGGGGCGGGCACATGCACGCTGGGCGGGGGCGGAGGGTGAATGGAGCCTGTTGCACCAGTCCCGAAGGCCTGGCCCGGGCACAGCTTGGCTTGTGTCTCCATGGCTCTGGCCTTAATGAGGGAGTCTGTAGTGGGGCACCTGGATGCGCCCCCTCAGAAATCTGGGGCCATGGGCCCCCTGGCTCCTCCACGCTATGCACCTGACCCCTCCCCACATAATCAGTCACAAGACACGGCACATGCACACCATTTCAGTGGCAATGCACATGTGAGCCGCCCCAAGCGAACTACCGCTCCATGCATCTCCGTCAAAGAGGCAGCCCGGCGAGCCTCAATGCCTGCTGCTCTCTATCCCGCCACCGATTAAAATTTCTTTTGTTTGAAAGTGCTTCCATTTTAGAATTAAAACACCCAAACCACTGCCCCAATGAAACTTGATTGAAGCTTTCCCATGCTGTCCATAAAGAAAGGCATTCTGCCAAAATCTTTAAGACACCTGTGCTCTTATCAGCATAACTTTTCCAAAGATACACCCCATTAACAAGTCAATGAAGTACTGAGCATTGATTTTAAAATTACAGTCGAAGTTTTACGATCTAATTTATTTTAAATTTATTTAAGATGCTCTGAGATGATCAGGAGATTGATTTTCACTCTTAATACATAGATCTAGAACTAGGACGCAAAATAACAGTTATTTTGACAGCGTAACATATACAGGTAGTTTGTTTTTAGGAACGGAAAATCTTCAGAGTTCAGAATTTGGGGTAAGCATATTTCTAATAGATGACCTTTCAGTATAGTTGCTCTGCAGCTTGCTGAAATTTATTTCTTAAGTGTTTTTGTAATACAACAATACCCTTTTGTTGAAAGACTTTATTACTCCCCTGACAAGAAAATAATAATAATTATTTATTTATTTATTTATTTATTTATTTATATCCCACCCATCTGGCTGGGTTTCCCCAGCCACTCTGGGCGGCTTCCAACAAAATATTAAAATACGATAGTCTATTAAACATTAAAAGCTTCCCTAAACAGGGCTGCCTTCCGATGTCTTCTAAAAGTCTGGTAGTTGTTTTTCTCTTTGACCGCCCTGGGAGGGCGGGTGCCACTACCAGGAAGGCCCTCTGCCTGGTTCCCTGTAACTTGGCTTCTCGCAGCAAGGGAACCACCAGAAGGTCCTCAGCACTGGACCTCAGTGTCTGGGCAGAATGATGGGGATGGAGACACTCCTTCAGGTATGCTGGACCAAGGCCGTTTAGGGCTTTAAAGGTCAGCACCAACACCTTGAATTGTGCTCAGAAATGTACTGGGAGCCAATGTGGGCATTTCAAGACCGGTGTTATGTGGTCTCAGCGGCCACTCCCAGTCACCAGTCTAGCTGCCGCATTCTGGATTAGTTGTAGTTTCCAGGTCACCTTCAAAGATAGCCCCACGCAGAGCGCATTGCAGTAGTCCAAGCGGGAGATAACTAGAGCATGCACCACTCTGGTGAGACAGTCTGCTGGCAGGTAGGGTCTCAGCCTGTGTACCAGATGGTGCTGATAAACAGCTGCCCTGGACACAGAATGGACCTGCGCCTCCATGGACAGCTGCGAGTCCAAAATGACTCCCAGGCTGCGCACCTGGTTCTTCAGGGGCACAGTTACCCCATTCAGGACCAGGGAGTCCTCCACACCTGCCCGCCTCTTGTCCCCCCAAAACAGTACTTCTGTCTTGTCAGGATTCAACCTCAATCCATTAACCGCCATCTATCCTCCAGGCACTCACATAGGATCTTCACCGCCTTCACTGGTTCTGATTTGAAAGAGAGGTAGATCTGGGTATCATCCACATACTGCTAACACCCAGCCCAAGGATCAAGGAGACAGATGGTTGGTTTCACTGGTCCAAGTAGCCTATCCACATCCTCAGAGGTAACAGATTGGAATTGATCCCACACAACTTGACTAGACAGGACTCTAGCACTCTCCCACCCCTGCCCTGTTCCCACTGTGGAGTCTACCTCTTCCCTAATCTGAGCAACTTTATCTGCAAAAAAACTTTGCAAAATCATTGCAGGAGATAATGTGGCTCTTACTGGGCCCTGATGAAGCAGGTGGTTCTGCTAAATTGCGAACCACCTGAAAAAGTCTCCTGCTGCTGTTTTCTGCAGATGCAATAGAGGTGGTGAAGAAAGTCTTCTTCGCCATCGCTACCACCACTTGGTAGGGTGGCCATTGAGCTCTAACCCGTGTCCGGTCAGCTTCAGAATGAGTTATCTGCCACTGGCATTCTAGCCGTCTCAGCAATTGTTTCATTGCACTCAGATCTGTGGAAAATCACGGGGCTGTCCAGGCTCCATGTAATCAGAGAGGGCGCTTCAGAGCCAAACAGTCAATAGCCTTGGTTAACTCCACATTCCAGCGGGCCACCAGGGAATCAGCTGGAAGAATAGAAGAGGAAAAAGAGTTTGGATTTGATATCCTGCTTTATCCCGAAGGAGTCCCAAAGCGGCTAACATTCTCCTTTCCCTTCCTCCCCCACAACAAACGCTCTGTGAGGTGAGTGGGGCTGAGAGACTTCAGAGAAGTGTGACTAGCCCAAGGTGGCCCAGCAGCTGCATGTGGAGGAGTGGAGACGCGAACCCGGTTCCCCAGATTACGAGACTACTGCTCTTAACCACTACACCACAGTGGCTCTCAACCATCAACATGGGATAAAGCATCCCCTACCACTCTCTGGAAACCATTTGGATCCATTAAGTGGTGGGGTTGGACCATCCGAATCAGTCCCTCCTCCCTGCAGAGGGGAAGGGTCACGGAGAAGTCCAGTTGTACCAGGAAGTGATCTGACCATGGCACTTTAGTTTCGCTTTTACTTAGTGTTAGATCACCAACATCCAGGTCTAAGGCATGTCCGCGGCTATGAGTTGGGCCAGACTTATTCAGGGACAGCCCCATGGAGGCCATGCTTTCCATGAAGTCCCGAGTGGCCCTTTGTAAGGTCATGTCGGCATGGATGTTAAAATCCCCTAGGACAACCAAACTAGGTGCCTCCAGGAGAACATCCGCCATGACCTGAAGCAGCTCGGGCAGGGAATCCTTGGTGCAGCGGAGAGGTCGGTACACCAAAAGGAATCCTATACTGCCCCTATTGCCCAACTTCCAGAACATGCACTCAGAGAACTGGGTCTTCCCAATAGGATGCCTGGTGTAAACTCATGACTTCCTAAAAATTACTGCAACCCCCCCTCCCCGCCCACAAGGCCTGGGTTGCTGTGCATAAGAGGAACCTGGTAGACAAGCAGCGGTAAGGACAGGCCCATCTGCTTCATCCAACCAAGTCTCTGTTACACATGCCAGGTCAAGTCCTCCATCCACAATCAAGTCATGGATGGCAGTGGTCTTATGAATCATTGACCTGGCATTGCACAGCAGCACCTTCAGATCATGTGGGTTGCTGATTCCCTTGCTGATTCCAGTATAATAGCTGACATATCTAGATTTCCAAATGAATTAGAGTGGATATCATTTCCCTCTTCTGTAGTGCTGCTTACTTCCAGGTAATCACATACCCAGCAACATTTGTCCAATGAAAATAGGGATATCCTAGGAAAAGTGGGACATTCCAGGATCAAATCAGAGACCGGGACAGCATCTCTAAATCAGGGACGTCCCTGAAAAATAGGGACTATTGGAGGGTCTGCTATACCTATTTATAGTTTTAAAATAATTCATGGTATCCTGATCTGCAAAAATAATCTATGCTTTCTGTGTGCTATTTTTGTATTTGGCAAAAGGAAATGGAAGACTCAACCCCACAGCTACATGGGCATGCAGGTAAGGCAAATTCAGCGCTTAGCTTAGTGCAGGGGCGAAAAAAGGCTTTATTTCACCTGGGTCAGTGACCCAGTTTGGCACCCCCCACACACATTTGTGTACACACAAACACAGGCTGGAAGCCTCAAAGGTGCCCCTCTGGAGGCTTCACCTGGGGCAAAAAAGCCACCAGCTAGCATCCCCAGTAGCCCAGTAGCCATGGCTCTGCTTAGTGAATGTGTTAGTTTGACTATTGTTTGTTCTGCATGAAATGTACAAAGGGGGAAATGGCATGTTTTGCTTAAAATTAATTTCCTGTCTTTTTTAATGCTGCATTTGAGTTTGGCAGTGGAAAGGTGATGGTGATGGTGATGATGATGATGAATTCATTTTACTCCCTTTCTATTAGGTTATTAGTTCTGTAGGAAAGGCAAATGGAAGACAAAGGGCTGTATTGCCGCAGAGCTTATCACCCTGACACTATTTTTCAAATAAATGTACAGTGCTAAATAAAATACAGACACCATTCCAGAACATAGCAGACAGAAGTATAATTATGTTTTACAAATTCTTTGGGAAAATGTAAATTGAACAAATTCTAGCAAAAACGAAGAAAATTGTTTATTGGTTGATTCAAATAGCACCATCTGGTGGACACACAATTTCCTATTTTTCCTTGGACAGAACATTTCCCAAATGTTTTTATTAATTAGAATTGATTACTTGTGTTAACCACAGTTCTAAACTCCTTGTTCAGAGGCATCCCCTCTCGTGCCTCCATGCTCCAGCTCCAGTGCTGTATTGATTCAATGCTCGTATGTCACCCATTACTGAATGCACAAGTTAGAAGCTGATAATGCGAGCTACAATTTTATTGAAATTGACAGTTTTGCTTTCCCTAGCAATATAATTGTATCCTGGGTGTATATGTTGCTCTGTATATTCACTTTCTTCTTTAAGTTGACCATGTTTAATGTCAGGTCTACTTTCTGGTAAATTAAGCTTCTTTTTCTTAAACAGATATCCAATTCAGAAGCTTTCTACGAAGCCTTAAGCTTTAACCTTATGCTGACTTACTTAGAAAGTAGAAGCTTTCTACTAAGCATTAAGCTTTAACCTTATGCTGAGTCCCACTGAACTCACTGGGATTAGTTCTGAGTAGACATATATAGCATGCCCTTTAATACCAAACTTATGATTGTCTTATGCCTATCATATTGTAAGTTAAACTGATCCACCAAAAATGAGCTAGTGGTTTTTGCATACTTGGGTATAGAGAAGTATATTAGTTTTCACATTAGAAGAAAAATAAATGTTTAGAATGCCCTGACAAGAACCTATGTTCAGTGATCAGTTTTGGGAAGGTTGTTTCTTAAATTAAGAATGCCCTAAGTACTTTTCAAAAGGTTATTTAAAAAATGTATAAAACATGGAAAGAAAACATAGAAATAGCCTGGTAAGCGAGATGCTGAACTTTGGGAAGGAGGCAAGAGGGCTCTGACAGGGTCCTAGAATCCTCCCACCTCCTTCTCAAAGCCTAGTTAGCACTTTCCAAGCTTGGGGGGAAATGTCCAGCTTTTTTGAAAAATTGGACTGACTTGCTGTATCAGGCACCTATACCTTCTCAAAGGTTTCCAGTCTTTGGTGTGAAAATGCTAATGACTCTTAAAGAGAGATGGAAAGATCTGCCAATTTTTGTTCTCTCAGTTTTTCATTTTTCCAGTACAGTGGTACCTCGGTTTTCAAACGTCTCCGTTGACAAACGTTTCAGGTTTCAAACGTCGTAAACCCGGAAGTAACTGCTTCAGTTTTCGAACACTTTTCGGAAGTCAAACATGCCACACAGCTTCCGTATTGAGTTTTCTGTATTGTATTGAGGCTTCTGTATAAAGTTTTTTGGTTTTTGAACGTTTCGGAATTTGTACGGTCTTCCAGAATGGATTACGTTCGAAAACCGAGGTACCACTGTATTAAATTCTGTTCTCGACATTTTGTAGCAATTTGCTATAATTACTACTTTAAAAGCCTCCTGAAAATTCATCACTATTTTAGTGCAAATTTCTCCGTTTAAACACATCTTTATATGCAGTTTTGACTAATGTACACATTCTTGCAAGCAATTTCTCAAATAAAATGCAAGTTTATGTTATTTTCACTAATATCTTCACTTTTATACACATTTTCCCCAAATATATTCCTCTGGAGCCTCCTTTAAACGTTGTTGCCCTCTTCTTAGCTTAGTGATAATATTATGCAATTACTGGGAGAGTTGCCTGTAGGCAATATGACTGATGGGAGCTATGCCATTTCTAAAAGCTTCGTAGGACTCGTGGTTGCTGTTATTCCACTGGAAAACCAGTGATGGGCTGAACAATGATTCTTGGTATAACAGAGTATGGTCAATAGCATTGGCTGAAAACCCATCAAAATCCACAATTGCTCCCTCCAAACCTCCTTTTTCAATCTCTCACTCTCCACAGTCCTCAGAGGTTGATGCAAAGGCTCAGGGGATTGCAGTTGCCAAGGTTCCTGAGTTTGCTAGCAGCTTTCCTATACTTTTTGCACCATTCTGACACTTTCCCCACTCTTTTCAAGCTTTTTTTGCAGCTTTTTGCAGTTTAAATCACCTTATTTATTTCCTGGGGTTGCGCATATATGCAGTAGCACATACGTCCAATGTGTGTAAGTTGGATGACAGCTGGAAAGCTATATGAGGCAGAAATCCCAAGCTTTACAATGCTAAACTCCAGTCTCTGCTGCAAGAAGAGGGTAGGATCAGGCAGAGGGATCCCTCCGCTGGCCTCTGTTGGTGTCAAAGATGCTTCTGGGGAGGCCCCTGCTGTTGCTATGCACCAGCCTGGAACTGGTGCAGCAAAAAAGAAGTAAAAACTGTTCCACCCTCCACCTTTGCCAGTGCAAATGACTGCAATTTGTTTTAATACTGAATTTTGTGACTTCATTCTGCTGTTCCCTGGCCAGGACTTAGAACTGCTGTTATGTAGAACTTCGTACCAAATACTAAGTAAATCTCTGAGACATACTCCAAAATAAAGGTGTTTTTAACTGAGGTACTGGTGTGTAGGGGGGAACTTTAAAAAACACACCTACAAAAAAAACCCAGTTGCTGGCACTTACCAGTTTTCAGGTGATTTTTATGTTTTGCATTGTGGAATAATGGCTTAAAATCTGGATACTTCAAAATCACTTAATTTATCTCCCTTTCATGGTTACTATTTCGTTGGTTCTTCATGGTGAAGTATGAAGGACTAGTCCTTCTGAAATACAGTCAAACCTTGGTTTTCGAATGTCTTGGCTGCCAAATGTTTCGGAAGCTGAACGCCGAAAACCTGGAAGTGAATGCTTCCATTTTCAAATGCGCCTCGGAGGTCAAACATGCATTTCTCCATTTTTCCAATGGATTTTCTGCCAGCCCTTTGACCATTGGTTTTCGAATGTTTCGGAAGTCAAACAGACTTCCAGAATGGATGATGTTCGAAAACTGAAGTTCCACTGTACAGCAATTGGGAGCGTTTTCAGATGGCAGGGTTGGTTGCTAAGAAATGGTGGCAATTGTCAGCTGCTTAATCCACTATTTTACCTTTTGGGGCAGACAGCATATATGAATTTTCTCTCCCCAGATGCCACAATGATTTCTACAGGCTCTTTTTCCAGGAGGGAAAAAGAGATGGCCATCTGCAGCAAAACTGAACTGTAACTGTGACTGTAATTTGTTTTTAACTGTTTTTAACATGGTGTTTTGAATTGCTGTAACCCACTCTGGGGCGTTATGGTGAAGGCAGGTAAAAATTTGAATTATTAATAACAACAGCAACAGCTATAGCAATTCTTAAGGTGGCCATCCTCAAACAAAGGAATTTCAAAGCATGAAACTGCTGAATTACAATTAATCAGGAAATTCAATTCAATCACCAGTGACTTAAATCAAGATTTAATCAGACCATACATGTTAATTAGTTGACCCGATGCCCCATATTTGTCTTTTCAATTGTCATGGTAACTGTTTGTCTTTTAAGTAAGTATCACTATTTACTCTTTTTGCATTTTGTTTGATCTCATTCCTTTCCATTCCATTCTCTAACCAGATGTGTGTATATGCCTCCTAATTTACGATTACACCATTCATTTTCAGATATTGACTCTTGGTTCACGTTTCCTTAAGACCACACTCTTCTTCATTCCACCTTCCAACCATGTATGTGTATATGCCTCCCAATTTAGAATAACACTTCTGGCCCATGAAATATTATGTGATAAGAAATTGTTAGTCTTTAAGCTACTCCAGGACTCTTTGTTGTCTTTGGCTACTCCCTATGCTGAGGCCTCATTTGGGCAGTTTTGGGGTGCTCCATCATTACTGAGGGTTTTTTCTGCTTCTGCAAACCTTTAGGTTTCCCCAAACCTATTGATATCTCCCTCATTTGTGTAGATAGTGCCGTTTTGGCAACATAAAGAATGGTGCTTGAATAATTCATATTTACTTATAGTAAAAATAAAAATAAAAAGGTAAAGGACCCCTGGATGGTTAAGTCCAGTCAAAGGTGACTATGGGTTGTGGTGCTCATCTTGCTTTCAGGCCGAAGGAGCTGCCGTTTGTCCATAGGCCAGCAAGACTAAACCGCTACTGGCGCAACAGGACACCATGACGGAAACCAGAACGCTCGGAAACACTGTTTACCTTCCTGCCACAGTGGTACCTATTTATCTGCTTGCACAGGTATGCTTTCGAACTGCTAGGTCGGCAAGAGCTGGGGCAGAGCAACGGGAGCTCACCCCATCGTGGGGATTCGAACTGTCGACCTTCTGATAGTATTGTGTGTATGTAGACTAACCAGCCTTAAAATGTGATAATTCAGAGAGCACAAAGTGAAATATACACACATTGCTGTACCAGTATGTTTGAATACATCACTGAACTGGTGAATTGGTTATGGCAGAGCTTTCCAAACTGTGCCACGACACATAAGTGTGTTGGCTGCAGTGTGTAGGTGTGTCGCATGAACGCTCCTTGCACTCCTCCCAGGAGTGGAAAGGGGTTATTTTAACTTCTGGTTTGCTAGTCAAACATTACTGTATTGTGAGGTGATGCATGTCTAAAAATTGTGTCACCAACAAGAAAAGTTTGGAAAGCTCTGGGTTATGGTATTGAAATAACTATGAATATAATCAGCAAGTGAGAGATAATACTCCTGTAGACCATTGCATATTATCACACCAATTCTTGTGATCGCCATATTGCAAAAGATGCCACTGTAATCATTGTAACTGCTGCAGTTTAAAAATCCTGTTAGTACGGCAGTATTAAAATTATTAAAATTATTTGACTTTTGTTAACTTGGTAGATGAAAATTTGGTGAAAGAAAATATCACTAAACTGAAGAATAGAATTATTCTACATGTGAACTGTCAGTAGGTTTTATTAATTTGTTACTGCAGTTATTTTTACTAAATTCTGAGCACACTTTTCTACTTCCAGTGGCTTTCAAAAATACTTGCTCTTTTTAATATGGCCAGAAGATGGCAGTGGATGGTGTTGAGGAGTACAGTATTCTTTATTTTGAACCTCTTCCCATCAGAGCAAGCAATAAATGAATGAATGAATGAATGAATGAATGAATGAATAAAATACAATGCACTTGCTTTGAATATTGAGATCAACAACAAAAAATAACATTTGCACCAGTCATGCATACATAAGGAAATCTGTTTTAAAGATTTCTGAAAGTTGAAAGATACAAAATGTCCATACATCTTGAGGCAGTGGGAAGAAGAGTTCGCAATTTTTAGTGAAAATAAATGAAATTTTGGGCAAAAAATAAATATATCACAATTCTTTTTTGTCAACTTGAACTTACTTTACAGCTGCAATTTTGCACTCGTCTACCTGGGAGTAAGCCTCATTGAAATCAATGGGAGACTGAAGCATGGATAGAGTAGACATGGGTTGCACTAAGGTTGCAATAGTGTGCATTCTTAGTGTGCATACTTAGCAGGCATAATCCCAAAACTTGTGCTATCAGTTACTTATCCTGTGACTGAACAGAAGTGAGTTAATGGTGGTATCTGCCCCATTAATAGTTGTGTTGAAGAGGGAATTTCAACAGGTACAACTTGTCATACAGGGTGCATTAACGGTGCAGGAGCTCTAACTTATTTTTCACCTGCTACTGCTAGGTAAGAGTGTTTTGTTATTAAGAGAATGAATTCAGCATTTTCAGGTTGCTTAACCCCTGGCTAAGGATTCGTTGCTACCATGGTTTAATCTTAGAAAGCAACATTTCTCAGAATGTGCAGAGTCAAATCTCCTCAATAAGCAATAACAGCCTGCCCAGTACCTCTAAGATTAGGAAGGTTAGCATGGCTTTCAGACAGACAGAGGGCTCAACCACCCTACATTTTAGAAACTGATTGCAGATTGATCGTACATTAGATCTAAGTTGATGAATTTCAGTGGGTCTGCTCTGAGTATGACTTAGTGGGATATCATAGACCCATAGAACTGTAGAGTTGGAAGGGACCCTGAGGATCATCTAGTTCAGTGTTTCCCAACCTTTTTGGGGCAAAGGCACACTTGTTTCATGAAAAAAATCTCGAGGCACACCACCATTACAGCCCCATGACGTCAGCGCGCAGCGTCACGCCGGGAGGGACATGAATTGCTAGCAAATTACATAATCACCTCCTTGAGGGCTGGCTCATCTTCTCCGAAGGCAGAACCCCATTAATTAACAGCACAGACTCACACCATAGCCAAGACGAGGGGGGAAAACCTCAGTCATGCACAGTCATGCACATGTGGGGGCTAAATGAGGACGAAGACCGGGCAGAGAGCAGGGTTCAAATCACCCCACCTGGCCAGGACAATCCCTGGGTGCTCCCTTGGGCCACTCGCCTGACCCACCTCGCAGGGCTGTTGTTGCGAGGATAACACGGGGAGAACCACGCGCGCCCCCGGGAGCTCCTTGGAGGAGAAAGCGGGCGATGAATGCAATGCACGAAATATATGAGAGGCGACCAGGTTTTGCAGGTGAGGGGCCCCCGCCAGCCTCCGCTTCCAACATCCGGCGCAACGACGCCGAAGTTTCCCCCCGGGCTCGGCTCGGGGAGCAGCGCTGCTCCCCCCCGGCTCCCCTTCGCCCTCCCAGCTCTCTCTGCCGCCCACTGGGGACCCCCCTCACCTGCCAAGTCCGGAGCGCCGGTGGAAGTTGCATGCATGCATGCAGGGCGCCGCGTTGCCATTGCATTGCACTGCACTCCATGCAACGCCTGCACGCATGCATTGCCTTGCACGCCCGCCAAGGGGTCTCCCCGCAGTCCGATGCGTCCCCTCCGGCGTGGATGCAGCATTGCAAAAATAAAAAACCCCCGACGCAGCCCTACCTGGGGGGCAGCCTCCGCCGCTCCGCCTCCGCGGGGATCCCCGGGCTCCATCCTGCCGCCCGATCTCCGGGGGGCGCAGGCAGGCTGTGTGGGGTCTGCGTGGAAGAGCCCCTGCCCGCCCGGCCGCCGCTGCTGCGCTCATTCCATGGCCTGGAGAAGAGCGCTTCAAACAAAACGCCCGGCCTGCCAGGCCACGCTGGGAAACGTAGTTTGCGCACCCCGCGCGGGCGCGGAGCCCAAGGGCGAGGGGACTACGGATCCCGGCAGCCCCCGCACCGGGGACGGAGGGGGAGAGGCCGGGTGCAGGGATGGAGGGATGGGTGGGCGAGCGAGTGAGTGAGTGGCAGCCGCCAAGCCTTGGCCGAGAGCCAGGAAGGGCCTCCCCGGAGGAGGAGGGAGGCGCAAAGCGGGAAGGAGGGAGGGAACCCCAGGGGTCATCTAGTGACGGCGCCCCAATCGAAAATTTGACTTTAAAAAAAAAATCTTTCAATTTTTTAATTTTTCCCGCGGCACACCAGGCAACATCTCGCGGCACACTAGTGTGCCGCGGAACAGTGGTTGGGAAACACTGATCTAGTTCAACCCCCTGCAATGCAGGAATATGCAGCTGTCCCTTATGGGGATCGAACCTGCAAACTTGGCATTACAGTGGTGCCCCGCAAGACGAACGCCTCGCAAGACGGAAAACCCGCTAGACGAAAGGGTTTTCCGTTTTGGAGGCGCTTCGCAAAACGAATTTCCCTATGGGCTTCCTTCGCAAGACGAAAGCCCATAGGGAAATCTCTGGGACAGCGGGGAAGCGCAGCACGTCTTCCCCACTGTCCTTGGACCTCCTCCGAAGGCTGGCGGCGGGGCGGAGAGACCTCCTCCCGCCGCCAGCCTTCGTTTCTCCGCTATCCCGGACGGCTTTTGAAGGCAGGCGGGGGGGGGAGCAAAGACTTTCGCCCCCCGCCGGCCTTCAGAAGAGGTCCAGGACCTCTTCTGAAGGCCGGCGGGGGGCGAAAGTCTTTGCTCCCCCCTGCCTGCCTTCCCGGGAGAGCGGAGAAACGCAGCATGTTTCTCCGCTGTCCCGGACGGCTTTTGAAGGCAGGCGGGGGGGAGCATAGACTTTCGCCCCCCACCCGCCTTCAGAAGAGGTCCTGGGCCTCTTCTGAAGGCCGGCGGGGGCGAAAGTCTTTGCTCCCCCCTGCCTGCCTTCCCGGGAGAGCGGAGAAACGCAGCGTGTTTCTCCGCTGTCCCGGACGGCTTTTGAAGGCAGTCCTGGACCTCTTCTGAAGGCCGGCGGGGGGCGAAAGTCTTTGTCCCCCATGCCTGCCTTCCCGGGGGCTTTTAAATCGCCCCGGGACAGCGGAGAAGTCCCCCGCTGTCCCGGGGCTTTTTAAAATGCTGGCGGGCGGCAGCGGAGGCTTCGCTCCCGCCCGCCAGCATTTTAAGATCGCCCCGGACAGCGGAGAAGTCCCCCGCTGTCCCGGGGTTTTTTAAAATGCTGGGGGTGGGAAGAAAAGCCCTTGGTCCCCCCCCCCAGCCTTCAGAAGAGGTCGGGGGACAGACTGTCCCCAGACCTGGTCTGAAGTCGGTTTCCATAGGAACGCATTAATTGATTTTCAATGCATTCCTATGGGAAACCGTGCTTCGCAAGACGGAAAAATCGCAAGACGACAAAACTTGCGGAACGAATTAATTTCGTCTTGCGAGGCACCACTGTATGAGCACCATGCTCTAACCAGCTGAGCTATCCTGTCTGTTAACTGCCCTCTGTGCCCCCCGGCGCGTTCTCCCTGGCGCCGCTGCACAAAGCAACCCTCTTCACACACAGGTTGAGTTTCTTGCCGTCCTCCTAGAAAAGGGATAAATAAAATCATTGAAACACAATGATCTGGCAATACTGGAAAATTTCTGCATAATGAGATTGCTTCATTTCCCCTCAGTGCATTGCAAAAGTGGAGCCCTTTCTCAGCACGATGAGATGAAAGATGGCCATTGAGGAGAGATGGCTTCCTTTGTGGTGCAGGCGAAGCAAGTGTGGCTTCCTGGGCATCATGTCAGTCTCAGGGGCTAAGTGAAGAGGCCTGTCAGGCCAGATTAGGCCCTTGGACTGGAAGTTCCCCTTGCCTACTGTACCTGAAGTTGGGCACAACTCCTTTTTCTCAAATACATTGAATGTCTAGTTTTGTATTTTTTTGAGTACAATTTTTTTT